TTAAAAAGCTAATTGAAAAATCACAAAAAGGATAGAACTCGTAGACTAAGCGTGAAATAATTTGTTTGCCCTCCGGCCCACGGTGTGGACACGCAAGGGGGGATGAAAGGGATGGGTTTGGATGGGGTTTTAGTTTGGTTTCGTCATCCTTCTGCGTTTGCTGTTTGTTGGCTGCTCCTCGCCATTGCCACAGCACTAATCCGCCGGACGCTTTTCGCTGTGCTTCTTGGTGTAGTCCTCGGCATTCTTCACGAACTTCTTTCTGTCCTTCAGGAACTCCTCGGCCAGCTCGGCGCGCAGTGGATGCTCGGGCTCTGGGTCGTTGATGAGCGCTATCAGAGCCTGGACGACCTGCTCGGTGCGCGTGGCCGGCTTCCAGTTCTCGGTGCTGATGATTGGCAGGCACACCTGACCCTTCTCATCGATATTGGGATGATAGATGCGAGTCTTAAAGTTGATCTTTGGCGGCTTGAACGGGTACTCGGCCGGAAAGTTGATCTCGATGCGGAAGGCGCCCTTGTTGTACGGCGGATTGTCGGGCACAATGAGTCCTGTCCAGCGCAGCAGGTTCTCATCGTCGGCCTTGATGTCGCGGAAGGATTTCAGTGTATTATCTTGCAAATCGCCCAGCTCTTTTCGAAGACGTCGAGGCGCAGTCATCTTTTTTCTTCGTGTGTGTGTTCGACTACCACGACTGTGTGTGTGCGTGTGTGCACTTCGGTGAATGTCAAATCGATGGAATCAGCAGATATATAGCTTCTTCGGGTGAGTAAGGCAGCGCTTATGGGTCTCGCTTGTAGCTAGGGGGGGTTCCTTTTTAGGGCGGAGGGTAAACTGTTTTTTCACTGTTCTGCAAGCCTTGTTACCTCTGAGTGTGACCGCTTAGGTATCGATTAAATATACCGCCTGACCTTCAAGCATATACTGAAATATACCAGCTCATTTTCAGAATATACCAATGAAATTCATTTACCTCGTTTTTGACCCATCACTATCGCTGTCTGCAACACGTGCGCCGCGTTAGTTTTGTTTTCTGTTCAAAATGGCTAAAAAACTGACAATAAAGCGAAAAGTAAAAGAGCCAGAGCCACAAAAGGATGTGTCCGACAGTCCCGAATCTTCCGACAATGAGGAGGAGGAGGTAAGCAACCCAAAATACTACTTTAGCACACAGTCTAATGTCGGTATTTTGAAAGGATCTGTTGCAAGCTGTGAAGGATCCAGGCGAGGACTCCACCGACGATGAGGGCATAGACCAGGAGTACCAGACAGACAGTAGCGAGGATCTCGAATTCGAAAGCGATGGAGAAGGCAACTTTCTGGGCAGAAGAGGTGCCGAGCGCAGTTCAGGAGACGATGACGACGAGAGCGCAGAAGAGGAAGATGACGATGAAGATGAAAGCGATGCTGATGCTGAGAAGTCTGGCAAAAGCAATGACGAAGAGACTGCCACAACGTCCAAGTCCAGCAAGAAATCCCAAGAGAAGCCCTCCAGCAGCAAGAATGGTAGCGCATCAGTGGTTCCCGCACGGGATCCCTCAAAGGTGGAATACGCCGACTCGGACACCTCCGACGAGGAGGACATCCGCAACACTGTTGGCAACATTCCCATGCACTGGTACGACGAATACAAGCACATTGGCTACGACTGGGATGCCAAGAAGATTATTAAACCGCCAAAGGGAGATCAAATTGACGACTTCCTGCGCAAGATCGAGGACCCCAACTTCTGGCGCACTGTCAAGGATCCGCTGACCGGCCAGGAGGTGTTCCTCACAGATGCTGACATTGCGCTCATCAAGCGCATCAACTTGGGCCGCATACCCAACGAAGAGCACGACGAGTACGCGCCCTGGATCGAATGGTTCACCTCGGAGGTGGAGAAGATGCCCATCAAGAACGTGCCCGACCACAAGCGCTCCTTCCTGCCTTCCGGATCGGAGAAGAAGACCGTCTCGCGCATGGTGCACGCCCTGAAGATGGGCTGGATGAAGACCACCGAAGAGGTGGAGAGGGAGAAGCAGGAGAAGCGCGGACCCAAGTTCTACATGCTGTGGGAGACGGACACCAGTCGGGAACAGATGCGACGCATCCACGACCCCGTGTCAGCGCCCAAGCGCGATCTGCCTGGCCACGCCGAGTCCTACAATCCGCCGCCCGAGTACCTCTTCGACGCGAAGGAGGCCAAGGAGTGGCACAAGCTAAAGGACGAGCCGCACAAGCGAAAGCTGCACTTTATGCCACAGAAATTCAAATCGCTGCGTGAGGTGCCCGCCTACTCGCGCTACCTCCGCGAACGCTTCCTGCGCTGCCTTGATCTGTACTTGTGTCCGCGTGCCAAGCGCGTCAAGCTGAACATCGACGCAGAGTACCTCATCCCCAAGTTGCCTTCACCGCGCGACCTGCAGCCATTCCCGACCGTCGAGAGCTTGGTCTATCGCGGCCACACAGACCTTGTGCGGTCCGTCAGTGTGGAACCAAAGGGCGAATATCTCGTGTCCGGCTCCGACGACAAGACAGTCAAGAGTAAGTCTGGTCCCATAAAATTAACATAATCGATTGCTAACAATTTGCTTCCTACTTGCAGTTTGGGAAATTGCCACGGGTCGTTGCATCCGCACCATCGAGACCGACGACGTGGTGCGCTGCGTGGCCTGGTGTCCGAATGCCAAGCTCTCCATCATTGCGGTGGCCACCGGCAGTCGTTTGCTGCTGGTCAACCCGAAGGTGGGTGACAAGCTGCTCGTAAAGAAGACAGACGACCTGCTGGCCGAGGCCCCTGTTCTGGACGTCATCGAGAGCGAGCGCATCAAGACGGCAGTGCAGTGGACCAATGCGGAGCCCGCTGATCAGGAGAAAGGCGTCAGAGTGGTCATCACCCACTTCAAGCCCATTCGGCAGGTGACATGGCATGGACGCGGCGACTACCTGGCCACGGTGATGCCCGAGGGCGCCAATCGCTCGGCCCTGATACACCAGCTCTCCAAGCGACGTTCTCAGATACCCTTCTCGAAGAGCAAGGGCTTGATCCAGTGCGTGCTCTTCCATCCGGTGAAGCCGTGCTTCTTTGTGGCGGTAAGAACAGGAGGAGGTTCTACCCACCTTTCTGTGGATACTACAAATCTGTAAATTTTCAGACCCAGCACAATATACGCATCTACGACCTGGTCAAGCAGGAGCTGATTAAGAAGCTGCTGACCAACTCCAAGTGGATTTCGGGCATGTCCATTCACCCGAAGGGCGACAATTTGCTCGTTTCCACGTACGACAAGAAGATGTTGTGGTTCGATCTGGATCTGTCCACCAAGCCCTACCAGACCATGCGCCTCCACCGCAATGCCGTGCGCAGTGTAGCCTTCCATCTGCGGTATCCGCTCTTTGCCTCTGGCAGCGACGACCAGGCGGTCATTGTCTCCCACGGAATGGTCTACAAGTGAGTGCCACTGAAACGGATGTGCAAACGATTGAATCATTTCTAATTCCGACTCTTTCCTACAGTGATCTGCTGCAGAATCCACTAATTGTACCGCTGAAGAAGCTGCAGACACACGAGAAACGCGAGGAGTTCGGCGTACTGGACGTCAACTGGCATCCCGTCCAGCCCTGGGTCTTCTCCACAGGCGCCGACTGCACCATCCGCCTGTACACATAGATGAATCGTCGTAGTTGTGCTCTGTAATGGCGATTGTGTGAAATTTTGATAGTGAATATATTAATTTTTAATGGAACCCATTCATTACTTGATTTTATGAACATCGATATGGTGCAACCCTGGTGAAAGCTGCTTTTCCCTCAAAGCTATAACGGAATTCCAGAAAGCTTTCTGCTCTTTTGCGAAACTTGCGCACATGTGTGAATTTGTGGCAGGAATTCAAACTGTATAGCTATGTGGAGGAGCGGAGGAGCTTTCTCTCTCGCTCTCTCTCGGTTTTGGGCACCTTTTGGCGCCGCCAGCATATCGTTCTGGGTGGGAAGAGAGAGGTGTGGGAATGTGCGCGCATTGGAAAATCAAGCGCTGCCATGGCACTGCTTGGAAATCAGCCTTTTGCCAGAGCGAAGAGAAACACGTCCGACACTTGTGCTCGCGCCCGCCGTCGAGGAGGATTTGTGGGTTCTGTTCTGTGTTCTGGCTATCGCAGAAAAAAAATCACACACACGGACAGGCTCGCTTGTGTGCATGTGTTTGTGCTGCAGTGAAAATGAAACGGCAATAATGTGTGGTCGCCGCGGAGCCCAAAATATGGCATCAACCGAAATGTGAATCCAGAGATTGTGGAATACGTTTTTACGCCATCCATCTCAAAGAAAACTGCAGTTTCCGTAAAGAATCATCCACAAAACGAATCGGAACGAAACGGAACGGTACGAATCGAATCGGTTTGTAAATCTCAATCGAAATCAAGGCGCAGGCAAAACAGTGAAAAAATAGAGATATACGAATACAAATACGGGTATATTTTAGTGGCTGTGGCAAGGCAGAAATTCGTATGTACTCGTTGCTCCTAAATACATACAGACAGAGCGCCCGCGCCCGTGCCCGTACCCGCGACCTCTCCTTGCCCACTCAATCGCCCACCCTCCTACCCCCAGCCCACCCCCTCCCATTAACCAACAACCAGCGCTGTCAAAACCAAAGCACACTGCATGCGAGTGTGAGTGTGTGTGAGAGAGAGTGAGTGAAAATATTAACGGAAGCGCACAACACGAAAAAAGGAGATAAATAGTGAGATAGAGAGGAGAGAGTGGAGAGTGAAGAGCGAGGGAGAGAGTGCTTAACTGTTAAGAAAACAACAAAAGCAGCTGATTTTGTGATAAAAGCAACCGATCCCAGATCCCCCGCCACAACGACACCACAACGCTCTCTTGATAGTGCAGTGCGGAACACGTTGCAGCTGTTGCAGCAACAACAAGACCTAGGAACAACAATCAGAGACAGCAGGCGACCCCCGCGAGGAGAAAGAGAGACGAGTCGACACACACGCACACAAAGGGAGGCAATCACGCATACGCCCCGCCACCAATCGAGTCCCACACACAAAACACACACGGGAGTCTGCCGTGTAATGACTAGCACAAGAAATAAATAAAACTTAGCCAAAAAAAAAACTACATAGAGATAGAGAGCGGAACGAGAGCGGGAGAGAGTCAGCTCCAGCTGCTCATAAATTTCGTAACGCTTTTGGGTGTAAATGTGCCCCTTGGTTCAGGGCACGCACCCAGTGATTGAGTCGTTTGTAATTTGTACGCCGTAAATACAACAAAATATGTAAATTCTAAGGGCGCCCACCCACCCACCACCACCCAAAGCCATACACAGGCAGCCAGCCAGCCATCCCACGCACAAACCAACGAACGGACCAGAGCAGGAGGGTGGAGCAGCAGGTGAAGGAGAGTCAACCTATTAAGGAACGTGAATCTATTTGGCGGTCACACTACCATAAAAGAGACAAACGAGTCCGACTAGAGCAAAGTAGAAGATCAAAGGGAAAAAGATTTGCTGCTCCTCAAGGCATAGCCAAGCCACAAAAAGAAGCACTAAAGGAGAAAGAAGAAAAGAAATCAAGACCAGCCATTGTCAACTGAAAGTGTAAGGAGCGGGAACAAGAAGCAGAGAGAACGAGAGCTAAAGGAAATCAAACGATAACGGGAGAGAGAGAGAGAGAGAGAAAGCTGGAGCAGTCGATAAAAGAATATTAGCAAAAACATAAATACGTAACGGTTTCGGCTCTCCACCACATTGCCATCGCTGTCCAGAGAGAGTGTGAGTGAGGTGAGGGTTGAGAGAGCATCGAATTAAGAGAGCAAGAGAACAGTGAGTGGGTAGGTCAGTGGCAGTGGGCGGTCTGCCAGCTGTGGCAGCCACAACACACCAACGCCAGCGCCAGCGTCAACTTCAAATTTCAAAGGGCAGGTAAGTGGCGTTGATTTTCCCCCCTACTCCTACTCTTTGTCCCATCCAGCAAATACTCATTCCACCCTCTACCTGCAGTAAGGGGCCAAATGTCCTGTACCGTTTCGGAGCTGCCAAGTGGCTGTCGACTGCGCGGCGGAATGACTGCATCCACACCACAGAGCGCTGCTAACAATGGCTCCAATAGCGGCGGGGGCAATGGCAACGGAAACAACGGTAACGGCAACGGCAATGGGAATGGAAACGGCAACGGGGGCGGCGGAGGGGGCAGCGGTAGTGCCGTTTCCGTGTCCGTGTCAGTAGGGGGCGGCGGCGTCACGGCAGGCAGTGCCACCTCGAATGTGCTGCAAGAGTCAAATGCGGCAACGTTGCAGCGGCCGCAGTCGCAGAAGCCGTGCTGCTTCTGCTGGTGTTGCTGCTGTTCCTGCTCCTGGTGAGTATCCTTGAGAACAGCTCATTATTTTGTATGGCCACTAAAACGAAATCAATTTCTTTCCACGTTGCTGCCTGCTGTACCTGTCCCCATTCCGGTCCCCGCTTAATCACAACTACAACTGTAATAAAAAACAACCGCTAAAACAGGGGCAAATGGTAAGTAACACCCAACAATCCAACCCACCGAAATACACAAACTTACATACATAAATACATTGGTTAAGGGCTAGAAACAGCGAACACAGATGGCAGGCAGGCAGGCACATTTCTTGCCTCTGGCAACGCTCCACGGTGAAAGCTCACTCTCTCTCTCTCTCTTTCGCATATTTATTCGTCCCGCTCTTTCTTTGACTTTTGCTCTCCCGCATTCATTCACAATTTCGGGAGCGCCAAAAATTGGGCAGGCAAAAGCTCCACCGCTGGACGAATGGATGGGGCGGGCGCTGTTTAAATCAAATATAAATAAGTATGTGGCTGGCTGCCTGGCTCCTCGAAGTGTTGCATTCGTTTTTCGTGAATGAAAGCGAACGTCTTTTAGCCCTCCTCCGCACCCTTTGTGTGCTTAGCTGGTCACACAAGCACACGCTTCGTCGGTACATGCCACAATTGGATTCTTACGCACTCGATTGGGCATTGGGGGGGACAACGAGTCGAGTCGCTTTGATAACTGTCAAGCAGATAACGAAGCTTTGTCATGTTCGAGTGCTTCGTTGATATGGCATTAGCCACTTTATAGTGGTATCTACGCACATAATAAATACATATATAGGAGAACATGTACATATGTAGGTTTGTTTCTTTGTTACCCCAAATGTACGTATGTACAGGTGGCTCCACACTTTGAGCCAGAGAGTATTCAAGCATAAATCGTAGTCTACTTTGAAGGGTGACGGTTGAGTGGATAATAAACTACCCCGCTAGGAATACTTAGTATCAAAATCACATATAAATATACTATAATACGTAGCACAAATATCGATTTGAATATGGATCCCTTCACCTACATATTCCAGAATAAATCAAATAAGAATAAGTACACACAAGGTTTATTCCACTCCACAAGGTTTTGTCCGTACCCATTGATGATCAGATGATAGCCAATATATAATTTCCAATATTTTTTTATTATGCTTACAGTCTGGCCATCAAGAATGCCGATGAAAATGCGCCCACAAAGCGTGATCTCGCTAATTCCGAATTCCTAGACGGCGAACAGTGAGTGATAAACATTTAAAATTGTAATAAATAATTTACTTTTATAATATTCCCCTTGCAGACCCACATTAGAGGAAATCCGTAGTTGGGGCAAGAGCTTTGACAAGCTGATGAAGAGCTCAGGTGAGCGATATTTCACACGGAACTCTGAACACCAACCATTTACGATATTTTTCCACAGCTGGTCGAAAGGTATTCCAGAACTTCCTGCGCAGCGAATTCAGTGAGGAGAACATTCTGTTCTGGCTGGCCGTTGAGGATCTCAAGAAGGAGAACAGCGCAGAGGTGGTCGAGGAGAAGGCTCGCCTGATATACGAGGACTACATCTCGATCCTGTCGCCGAGGGAGGTGTCTCTGGATTCGCGAGTGCGAGAGATCGTCAACCGCAACATGATCGAGCCCACGACGCACACCTTCGACGAAGCTCAAATACAGATCTACACTTTAATGCACAGAGACTCATATCCGAGGTAAGGAATTCCACCATCTGGATGAACCACTGATCCTCTCATTTTCGCTCCATGCAGATTCCTAAACTCTCAAAAGTTCAAGACACTCGCTCAAATGCAAGACAATTCGAATGCCGGCTCCAAGGCGGAAAGTCCCACTTAGGTCGCATCGGATCGTCGTCAGTTCTGCGCTGTGTTGATTTCTGTAGCTGCTCTCCATTAGTATTTCCTTCGTTTGGGCCATGAAATTCCTGTAAAAGCCGCTGTCGCCTGCCAGCCCGCTGCCACTGCCGCTGCTGCAATCCCCTAAGCAATATGTATCCATTAATAGAACCATTTAACCATTTTGCGTGCAGCCCCCCCGCACTTGGGACCAGGGCAGTGGGCGAGGCAAAGACCCGCGGGGCCCAAACCAAAACCCTAGACGATATCGCGCGGTAATACGTGAAACGGATTCCTTCTCTACCTACGTTCTAGTCGTTAACAAACCAAAGAGTTAGGAGCTAAATTAATTGTTTAATTTTAGTGTGTGTAACGGATCGGACTCTCCGAGACGTGGCATTTGTTCAAGGCGGTTCCGGAAGCGTGCGAGCGAAACAGCGACCATGGCTAGTGTAATATTAGTGACCTAAGAGACGTATTAATCAAATTGCATCAGAGATAACGGAACCGAGAGGAGTACAGTACATTTACCGTTAACCGAAATACTTTTTCCAGAAGCAAACCAAAAACCAAACAGAACTTTTTAAACGTATTACATAACTTTATATTAATATTAATATATACATACATATATACACGCATATATAGTACTTACTTACGCATATACAAAACCATTTAACTTAACTAGTTTTGAAAACGATTAGGATCATATATGCATATGTATGTACATATGTGTGTGTATGTATGGACCATGTTTATGTACATGTGTATGTGTATATGAGTGACGACATCGAAGCATTTTTGTAAATACCACAAACAGGCAGCAGCAGCACATACACCACTCTTTATATGTATATTTATAATGCTGTACCGATCAAACAACCCCTGACCCCCACTACAATGCCTCATCTTCCGATTGAGGTCCGATCTAGTTGTTCCCAATCACCTCTTTGAAGGCAAGCTAAGGCAAACACAGGCATAGCTACATAACTACATAACTAATACTATATTTATAGTTTCGATTAGCATTGATTTCCAAATCGAGAGAAAACGTTTTGCAATATCACTGCCAACAGAAAATGAAAGAACACAACAACAGAAAACACTACAAGAGTTTTATAAGTCCAAATTCAACTTACTATGGATCTGTATATGCGTTTACGAGACTTCCAAACAGTATCACCGCTCGGCCCCCAATTGATTTAACTCTTCAAAGAAAAAACAACTATTCAAACACACAGTATTATAAATAAAAACAAAACAAAAAAACAAAATAAAAATAAAAATTCGAAATGTATGGTTAAATTTAAACTTTTAGCAAGAACATGTTGTCGAAGAAGTCGCGAAAAAAGAAACTAAAGACAAGTCAAGAGAAAACACGGAACAAATAGAGACGGAGATCAGAGCAGGATGTGAAAGAAAGTCTCTGGCGAGGAGAAAGAACCCTAGGCAAAAAGTTAACATTGTATTTTCGCATTAAGTTGGATTTTATTTAAGTGTATGTATTGTCTTTAAGTGGCTTCAGCTGAGGCACAGGGATTTTAGAGCACAATATGTATTTAAGTACCTTTGTTACGGGAGGGAGGAGAAGAGAATGTTTTTAGTAGCTAGTCGGTGTGCCTAGTTTTAACACATGAAACAAACATTGAATATTTTACTAGCATTTAAGCGTCTTCCAGGTTCCCTCAGTCATAGTTTTACTATAGTTTCATTTTGGGTGGACATTTTTATCCAGTTTATTCGGTTTCAGTGCAACTTGTTATAGATTTCCGCCACCCCTTAGCTTTGGTTATTAATCGTAGTTAATGTTCCGTTTTTCATTTACTGTTGTCATAAATTATGTGATTCTGTGCAACACCGAAGCCAGTTCCTGCCATCAGTTTCCTTTTAATTAATCACTCAGGCTGCTACTTGGAATTGAGAATCCGACAATCGCTGTTGCACTATGCATTGCAAGTACGAGTATATGCATAGATGGACCGTTCGATCAGTTACTTTCTATGGTTTGTTAAATTAATTTTAGGCAATTCGGGGAGGGGCTATGTACTATGTGGTAGTTCCAGGACAGCCCCTCGGAGGAGCAGGAGCGTTTGCTAATGATTGTTTCCCTTCGGTTTCTTGCGTTGCAGAATGGACAAACATAAGACTTTTTGAACAAAAAAATCAGATTATAAGTACGTTAAATACGATTGTTGTTTGTTTAGTTTTATACACGAAAACACACACATACCCATACACGCGCACATGCATTGTATATGTGTACTACATAGCGGTATACATATAAATGTATATACAATTTGACAAAAAAAAAACAAAAAAAACCAAAGAAGGAGGCAAAACGTAATCAAGCATTAGTGAAAAGTTTCGACCAGTTAAAAACCAAAACAAAAAATTACCATTACATTTATTAAAAACAAACAAACAAAAAAACACAATCTAAATAAAACCCACGTCAAGAAATCAATAATTAAAAATGTATTAAACTAAGCCCTACATTTAGTTTTAAACATTAAATATATTGCAACAATAAACAAACATGAAAATTAAACTCAAATTAAAGCATAAACAAAACAATTCTCAAAAGCACGTCTCCAGGTGTGTTTTTAAATTTTACATGATTGTTACATTGGTGTACAATTACATTCAATTTCTCCCATAGAACTGCCACTTGGGTCAAGCGACCGACCACAATTTGTAAACCGAGCACAGAGCTTAAACAACCGACGGCTCTGCTCGGCTACAGCGTACTCCACGCGTGCGCTCCTGCGCCACATAAAGAACCCAGATTGGTGAGGCGGGGAAGGGCGAACTGCTGGAGACACCCTTTCCCGTGGTGGTGGAGCGTCAGTCTGTCCACGACACAACGCTGATTGCCGTCGCAGTTGCTGTTGTTGTTCAAACCGAAGCTGAGGTTAAGTAAAGTCCAAGGCATACCGAAAAGAAGGCGAGGGATTCCACATGAGCAGCAAAAACCCATGCGCTACATGCTCATGTATGCGCCACCTTACACTTAATGTACCATTGATCTCATTGTCAGCAGCGGGGGCGGGAGGCAAGAGGCGGCTGCCGACAACCAGCGGCGTCGTGTCCGGAGTCTGTGCTGTGCCGTGCCGTGCCGCGGCTCCCTCCGCTACATGGGATTCGTTTGTGGTACATGCATAACTATTTTACGTATTTCAGTCTCTCAGTATGCTTGATCTCTCTCTCTTGATTGTGCTCTCTCTCTCTCTCTCTCCTGATCTCTGAGCTTCCATGTGTGCACGTGTGTGTGTGTTTCTCTACCTGATGCCCGCGACTGCACTACCACTTTCACACGGCTTACAGAAAAGCAAAACAAAAAGGTAAGAAAAAGAGAACAAGGCAACAAGGCAACAGGCGGCAGTAGAAGCGGCCGTGGCGGTGGCGCGGCAGTGCGTTCGAGTTCGAACTTTTGCAAATGAATGCAATGCACAAGCAAGCCACAAAATGAACAGCGGGTCTGAACAGATACAAAAGCGCACTCTGCGTCCAGGGCCGGTTCAGACAAAATGCGGTGGAGGAAGGTTCGTGTCCTGAGTCTTTTGTCTTTTTTATACCTGCACTGCCTGAGTGCAGGTGTCGTTGCTAACGGTGCGGGAAGGGACAAGTGGACGCACCGAAAGAGTGACTGAGAGAGAAAGAGAGTGCGAGAGCGTCAGTGGAACTACCTGTGGATCAAGAGAGCGGGTGAGAGCCTGCCAGCCTCTGCCACACACATACAAATCGATTCGAATGAATTTTGAGTTTTCGTTCACTCGCGCTCGGTTGCTGTGACGCTGTTGCTCTGCTCGCTCGCTCAATATCAGTTACGAAAGAGATGAAACCATAAAAAGCAATAATAATCGGGCATACCGACGCACGCTCTCCTCGCTCTCTCGCACAGCCAACCCACCTGTGTGGCTCACACGGACAGCACCTTGACACCAACACACTTGCACCTGGGACGCTGCGTCGGCGTCAGCAGCAGTCTCAGCCGTAGCAGCAGCAGCAGCACTCACAGCAGCAGCAGCAGCGGCGGCAACAGCAAACGGCAACGGCCAAGCGCACATTCAACAGTTGAACAATCTCCAATTGACTCTTTGGGCATTATAGCCGAGCCGATCCGATCCGCTCAAAACCGATCCCGTCCCGAGAGCTCCACTACTCCACTCGCCTCAACTGAACGTTCATCCGCGACGACAAGTTTTGCGTGTACCTTTTTCCGTGCAGCGCGCCACACTCCGTGCCCACAGCTCGCCCTGGCCCCAACGGAAAACCTGGACACTGCTCCACGCACTGTACAGTAAATAATAATAGAAGTAATAATAATAATAGTTCTATCGTGCGAATCTGTTCGATCTGTGAGTGCCCAGTCGTCGTCGTAGCCGTAAAACAAACACAAAAATCCGCGCTTAAACTTTTTCGAACGAAAAAAAAAAACACACACAAATTTCAGTCAAGAAGAAGAAGGGGAAAAAACGAAAAATATCTATATGTATGAGGCCCCGTACGCGTGTGTTTGTGTAACGGTGTGCTGGCTCGCTCTTTGCTGGAAGAGTGTGTGTGTGTGTGTGTGAGTGTGAGTGAGCTGAAATGAGACGCCATCAAAGCTGAGCGCAAAAGCAAAAGCAACAAAAGCAAATAATAAAATTCAAAATAAAAATAGTGATTAATAACAGTGAAGCGGAGAAGAAGAAGAAGAAGAAGCAGGAACAACGCAAAATAATTACAAATTAATTGTGCAACAGCGGAAAACAAAACTCAAAGAGAACGAACCACCAACATGAAAAATGTTTAAGCATTTTGCGAGCAAAGAGAAAATACGCAAATGCCATTTTCCACCTTCTCTTTACACCAAACAATGGTAAAAAAATGTTAACTTCTTTGTGATCAAACGCCCCTTCACACACTCCCCCCAAAACCCCCTCTCACACGACGCGACTGGGGCCAAAATGCAACAACGTCCACCCGCCCGTCAGCAGAAAGAGCAACAGAAACAGCAGCAGCAACTGCAAAAACAACAACAACAGCCCCACATACCACAACGAGTGGTATATTAGAAGCAAAAAAAAAAAGAAAAAAAACATCAAGCCAACAAAAGAGGCCAGCCAGAGCTTGGGGACGGGACCCAGCAAGACGCATACAACAACAGCAACAAAAAGTACACACACCAACAACACGAAAGTGGCGAAAGGTGCACCCACCAGCAGGCAGCAGGCAGCAGGCAGCAGCAACGGCAGCAACAGAGCAAGCAGCAGCAACAGCAACAGCAAGCAGTCGTAACATTTAAGCGGGCACCGCATTCGGTTGGTCTTTTGCCTTTCCACGCAGTGTTAGAGCCAACTCCAACTCCAAGTCCAACTTCATTTGCAGTTCCAGTTCCAATGCCAGATAGAGTGCCATAGAGATCCTCACTAAGTGCCAAAATCAACAGCCTAATCCTGATCCCTGCGCTTACCTGCCAGAAGCCAGAAGCAAGAAGCCAGAACCACAGCTTAGGACGGACGCGACACAGCTGCTCAAGTAAGTAGTAAAGTAAATGCCAAGAAGTAATTATAAACGCATCAGTGGCACTGCAGCCCTGGGTTTTGGGCCAACCCTGAACGAAGCACCCTGTATCCGAGGCGCAGACATGGCCTAAGCCTCGGTCGGGTCGGTCTCCGTCTCAGCCTCTGTCTCAATTGTTGTTGCTTTCCTCTTCTGCTTCGCCTTCTTCTTCTTCCTCTCCATGTTGTTGCTGGCTGGTATCTTTCGCGCACACATTCCTCTTTGTTTGGTTTTATTTCCAAGTCGTTCGCCGACTGCGCAGTGGCAGAGCAGCGGCAGCGGCCGTGTCAGAGCAGCGTCAGGTAAAACGCTTAAGTATTGGTATTGCCAAGAAAACCATGTTGGAGAGGGAGAGCGAGAGAACGCGCAAGAGCAAAAACAGTGAGAGAGTAAGAGCGCCGCAGCAAACAGAACAGAGTGGGAGCAAAAAAGGGATCAAAAGGTGGTAATCACGGTGTATTTTGTCAAGGTGAGGCAAATGCAAAGATATGCTCCCACGATAGTGTTTTGGTTTTTTGAGAGGAAACACACATAATACGTAGCTTCAACAGGTGAAATACAACTATTCCATGATATACTGTTACATGCAAAAAGGAGAGTGGCAAATAGCAATACAAATAGGGAATACAAAGGACACGAAAGATCCACCTTGCTCAAACACACCTTGCTGGTATTTGCCTGTTAAGGCGGACGCCACTGTCTGTCTCTGCCAGCGTCGCTGTCGCTACCTCTGCTTCAGACTCTTTCGTCTCTGCTCACAGCCTCTGCTGCCGTGTTGGTCGAAAATCGATGATGTTGCCTGTGTTTCTGATTACGTTTTCTTCTGCCTCTGCTGTCCATGCTGTTGCCTCTTCTACCGCTGCGCCTGCTCCTCTCTTGTTCTTTTGCCTCTTTTTTTTATTATCATTTTTATTCTACCTTTTTGTTAGTGGCCGCCGCACGTTGATGATGATGGTGATCAATTTGGGAGCCCCGCGATTATGGTACAGTAAAAGAACATCGTCCGTTCCGACGTTCTCGCTCGCTCGCTCTTTTACGCAGCACACACATGCTCATACGCACATGATCGCATGCGATACACAGCCACAATACCCATGGGCAGGCACATGTAACCCACACACTTAAGCATAGTTAAGCGGGGGAATAGAGGGAATGGAAGGGGGAACTCTTCGTGAGAGAGTTATTTTATTTTCGTGTTCGTGTTAACGTTTATTGTTTTTCTTTTCTTTACCTTTCTTCGTTTCTTTCGGTTGTTCTTTGCCTTCTTGACTCTCCCCTCTTTCCACAACACAACACACCACTCCCCTACACTCCTCTGCTCTTCAGGGTTTTGTGTTTTCTTTGGCTTTGGTTATTGATGCCATGCCCAATGGATGCCCCGATGCTCTGACCGTCGATGATGGCTTAGGGTTACGTTGCTTTTTACCAATTCCATTCTCCCTCCCTCTCTCACTCTCTCTCTTGCTCCACCATCGTTCGTGGTAAGGTTATTTCGGGGCTATAAAGAACAGTGGGTTACGAGGGGGCAGGTAAAAATCAAATTTCAAATTATGTCAAATCTTAATGGGATTTGAAATGGAATTGCTTTTGGTATTCCCTTCATATCGGAGATGAATCGAACCCACAGGGTTTTAGAGGGGAAACAAATAAAGGGGGTGAATACATACATAGATGATCGTCAGATTGTTAGGAGTTGTAGGCGTTGTCTCTCTCTCTCTGCTTTGAATGTTTGAGTTTCTAGTTGTGGTGGGAAAGCGAAGAATTCAAACGGATGTACTATCTATGGTATGTAAACTTATCTGACTTTAAACTTTAGAGTCTCCCATAAATAAGCTCCTCCATATGCGGAAAAGACTTAAGACCTAAATGCCTAAACGTTTAGGTTAAAGCTCGACCGTTTGCTCTAAGGTATTACAGAATGCATTTGTACATAAATACTTACATATTCACATACATATATCGTAAGAAAATACATTTCCTGACAACCATCTTCATTGGGTGTACAATTATAAAGCTCTTAAAGGGGAGATTCAATCTACTCGTATTTCCGCATAGTTTTCATGTCTTTGTTCACGGATTCATTGTTCTGTCAATCTATGAAAAAATGGAAAGCAAAAAAAAAACAGAACTTTCAGGCCATACGCCATACGCCACGTTAATCCATAAAAGCGAGATGAGATATTGGTACATACTCAAAATCCTTAAACCCGCATTTTGAGAAAGTTCTTCCCCATCTATTCTAGCGCAGATTAACTTTGATTACTTTCCATATCGAAGCGATATCGCTTCGATTTTGAGGGCAAGTCCACAGTGAATTCTTTGTGGATTTCTTGTGCACCTTCCGAATGAATAATTGGCTCCATCTATCAGCATCTCCGCCATTCATGCGGCAAGTAAGCCCCAGAGGCCTTCTGTTGTCGGACTATCGGGTTCGCATTCGAGTTGGAGTCATAAAGTCATTGGCTGCCCCGAGGGCCACGGATCTCGTTCGCCTTACCATAGCTGGCTGACCCACATAGATCACTTCTTATCCGGGGTGTTGATGTTGGTTTAATTGTTTCCTAATTGCCTTTCTACTTTCTACGCAACTGGATCGGTGATTGCCCCTGTTGCGGATCTGGATGCGGGAATCTTTAGCATGCCACGCGCCGCCGCGACCCACACAACGCTGGGACCGGACCGGATCGGATCGGATGGGGATGGGGATGGGGATCGGGAGTGGAGTGTGCTGTGTGCTGTGTGTGCCCAAAACTAGTCTATCAGCACGCCACATGACACTGACCTCACCTACTAACGGAACCCCCCGATGACTGGGAGTAGGAGGAGAGTGCGGAGAGTCATGAACTCGCGCCGGTTGCCGTCTTGGGTCTGACCAAAACGGGTTTATCCACATCCCAGCCGCAGCGGCAGTGAACTTTGCAGCACCACCGCACCATCCGCCATCCGAGGCAGCAACAATTTTTGGCTTTATCATCAAACAACAATACTGGGGACTGGAACTGAAACTGGGACTGGAACCGCTGCGACTGGAACTGGGACCTGGGACCTGAACCTGGACCTGCCAGGCTGCTGCTGCTGCTGCTGCTGCTGCCCGAACCGGCTACAGCTTCTGGATTAGGTCAAGGATTGAGGCGTTTGTTGTTGTCTGGGCATGGGTCTGCCTCTCCACTCTGGCTACCGGTACCTGTTCTCGGAGCAACAGCCCCAGAGAGAGGGAGCAACTTGTTGCTGTCGAAGTTGATGTTGTTTTGTTTAGTTTGGTTTGGTTTGGTTTGGTTCAGTTTCGGTTTCAGTTTTGGTTTCAAAATCCCTCATAAACATGTTTTTGCAGTGCTGTGCTGTGCGGCAGATATAACTAAGTCGGAGATGAGATTCTGGACTATTAACAGCTGATCGACAGACTGGTTGGTTGCCTCTCCGTTTCGCTGCGCTGCGCTGACTCTGCTGCTGCCACTGCTCTGCTTGTTTGTTGCTCGTTTGGAAGTGTCAGGGCACGGGGCGATGTGTAGATCTCTGTTTAATTTCACACAAAGCACCGTTGTAAACAAAACAACATCGCACACAAATATGGCAGCGCTGCCAGACAGCGGCTTCGCTTCTGTCTGCGTCGGCAGCGAAGCTTCCCCGACTCCACGTGCCTCTTCTTCTTTCCCACCTGTTGTTGTTTGCCGCTGCTGATGAGCTCCGCCTGAGTTGTGTGTTGTGTTGTGTTGTGGTTGTGCTGTGTTGGGTTGGGTTGAGTTATGCAGTTACACGTTTGACATTTGCGAAGGAGTCAAACTTGTTCGACTGGCACGTGTGCGCACTGGCCAATCTGGCTTGCTTTTGTTTACCCTCCCCCTTTTCGCTCCGTCTTTCTGTCTGTCTGTCCATTCGTCTGCCGTTCTCTCGGTTTCCGTTTTTGTTTGTTTGTTTGTTGGTCTGTTTTGTGTGCTTGCAAATCGCTCACCTCACTAACAACAACAACAACAACAACAACATCGACTCATCGACGACGTTTGAACCCGTTCCGTTCCGTTCCCTCTGTCCGATTATGTTTAGGTTGCGTCGCCTCGTTTTGTTGGGTGGGGGTGTGTGTGTGTGAGACAGGGGTGTGGGGTGTGTGGTGCAGGGCCCCGGGCGCCAAGCAGACTGCGATAACGACAGCGACATTTGTTGCTTTTGTTATTAGTTGAGCATGCACATGGGGAGGGGTGGGTGCACTTACCGTGAACAAAGTGACAAAGGAGGGGCAGAGGTGTGAGATGGCTATGATTCAGTAGGGTATTCCCTATGCAGTGAGGGGCATGAATGTCTGCATGATAAGCAGTACACATAAAGCAAGCAGTTCGCAACATTCTTCTGTAAGCAGTTGTTCAGGTGTAAGCAGTTTATGCTTTCTTTTGGAACTATCAATGGAGTATTTTAGTCTCTAGAATATGTGTATTTATTTTGACCACAGTCTAATCATTTTTGTCCATTGTTTTTTGTTGTCTTTTGCAGGCGAAGCTGAGAAAAACAACGAAGGAAGTTCCTTAGTGCCATAGAATGGAGTAATTGCAGCGACAACGAAGAACAGCAAACAGCAGCAGCAGCAGCAGCAAGAACAACAACCTGAAGCGCAGCCGAATCAACACAGTGCCTTCAATCAATCCGTTGATAAGTGATATTTATTATGTTTACACCCGCGAGGAGCTATCGAAGCTGCAGCAACAGTGAGAGCCTTAACCATCGGTCGGGAATCGATGAGCAGGCCGCGTCCTAGGCGTTGTCCTTCGCAGTCCTGATCCCCGCACGAGTGCAATCCCGAATCCAGTTCAAATTAGTGAAGTAAGCCAAGAGGAGCCTTAGCCAGGAGCGACAGCCAGCTCGAATAATGTCCACATCCACCGCCACAACGAGTGTCATCACGTCCAACGAGCTCTCGTTGTCCGCCCACGGGCACGCCCACTCCCACACACACAACTCCCACACGCACAACTCCCACTCGCACGGCCACTCGCTGCACCAGCACCAGCACAGCCGCATCGGAGGAGGCCTAGGAATCGGAGTCCTCAGTGACGCCTCTCTATCGCCCATCCAGCAGGGCGGAGGAGGAGGAGGAGGCGGCGGCGGCGGAGGTGCCAACAGCTCACCCCTGGCGCCCAACGGTGTACCCCTGCTGACCACCATGCACCGCTCCCCGGACAGTCCACAGCCGGAGCTGGCGACCATGACGAACGTCAACGTCCTCGACCTGCACACAGACTCCTCCAAGCTCTACGACAAGGAGGCGGTCTTCATCTACGAAACGCCCAAGGTGGTGATGCCCGCCGACGGTGCCACGGAAGATGGCCATGCAATCGATGCGCGGATCGCGGCCCAGCTGGGCACACAGCACGCCCAGCAGCAGCAGCAGCAGCAGCAGCAGCAGCAACAGCAGCAGCAGCAACAGCAACAGACGGAGCACCAGCCGCTGGCCAAGATCGAGTTCGATGAGAACCAAATCATCCGCGTGGTGGGACCGAACGGAGAGCAGCAGCAGATCATCTCGCGAGAGATCATCAACGGAGAGCACCACATTCTGTCGCGCAACGAGGCCGGGGAGCACATCCTCACGCGCATCGTCAGCGATCCCTCGAAGCTGATGCCCAACGACAATGCGGTGGCCACGGCCATGTACAACCAGGCCCAGAAGATGAACAACGACCACCAGGGCGTCTACCAGACCTCGCCCCTGCCCCTGGACGCCTCCGTGCTGCACTACAGCAACGACAACAGCAACGTGATCAAAACGGAGGCAGACCTCTACGAGGACCACAAGAAGCATGCGGCCGGCGGTGGCTCCATCATCTACACCACCTCCGACCCCAACGGCGTCAATGTGAACGTGAAGCAGCTGCCCCACCTGGCCGTGCCGCAGAAGCTCGACCCGGACCTCTACCAGACGGACAAGCACATCGATCTGATCTACAACGACGGCAGCAAGACCGTCATCTACTCCACCACCGACCAGAAGGGTCTCGAGATCTACTCAGGCGGCGACATCGGCAGCCTCGTCTCCGACGGCCAAGTGGTGGTCCAGGCGGGCCTGCCCTATGCCACCACCACCAGTGCCACAGGCCAGCCCGTCTACATCGTGGCCGATGTCAGCGAGGACCATCTACAAAGGTGAGTGAGAGTCTGATGCAAAGGGGTAAATGGTTGCCTTGCCCTAAGTGTTTCGGTGTGAATGCGAAACACTCTTGAATTATTTGTACTAATTGGCACATTGCGGGGCGGCTCTCAATTAGGAGAAGTCGTTGCATAGTTAGGGGAAATACAAATATATAATATCAAGCTGTTTCCTCAATGTTCACACAAGCATTCCTCGCCATGAATATATTCCATATGTAAAGTGTCAAAGTAGCTGCAGCAGGATACTCATTGACATAGTAATAATATCGTAAAACCAAGGGAATTCCCAATCAAAGTATAGCCAAAAACTATCCAAAGCTAACCTCTAAGGGCAATGATTTCCACTCCACACTTGAGAGACATCTCTGACTGAGTTCTCTGCTCTTCTATCTGCAGCATAAGATACGAGTTGCAGCTTCACTAATTGCTGCATCGTTGGCTGTGTTTCTGGTTCCTGGCAGCTGCTGCTGCGGCTGCTGCTGCTTACAACATCAACATCTTAATTGGGGACAGTGCGATCATAGTTTTTAGCTTCGATTCGGTTGTCCAGTCTCCACAGTTCTCTGCCTCTCTGCCTCTCTGTGCTCCGTTCTTCGGTGTCTTCCAGGTCCTTTCAAATCAATGTTTGTCATTTGCATTTCTCATGCATTTGAATTAACCGCTTCTGCCGGGCGCGCATTTTACTGTTAATTATTGCGATAGGCCAACATCAGCAACCGGCAGCAGCCACAGCCACAGCCACAGCCACAGGCACAGCCACAGGCACAGCCACAGCAGCGGCAACGCCAGCGCATTCTGGCATTCTCCATGCCCATTCCCCCGTTCCCCAAACATTGAGTTCAAGCCAGAGTCCTCATCCTCATCCTCAGCATCGCCCAATCCCCATTCCCCCAGTGGAATGACAGCTTCCGTTGTAACTGTTTCTTCTATACGTTATTGCTGCCCCTGCAACAACAGGCCACAGCAGCAGCAACATCCACAACTTTGGCATTCTGGCGTGCATCGAATGCGCAAGTAGGCGAGCTAATAACACCCAGATCCAGGCACCAGCTCCAGCTCCAGCTTCAGCTCTACCACGCGGATGTCTGTCCCAAGCACATAGAGAGAGAGCCCCACCGATTGGGTTGGCAATTCATTTCAGAGCAGTCGCCAGTGTTGGAGGGGCTTTTGGTATGCGCAAGTAATAAAAATTTGAATATAAATTAATCTAATAGAGAACCGTTAGCGAGGTGAGATGCAAGCGCAGCCTCCTCCGACTCCTTGAGCAAGGTGCCGCCAGGGGCAGGCCCCGGACCGGGCTCTGGCTCGAGAGCGACTAAGTCATCGTCATGTGGCATCGGTTGGCTCGTTGGTTGCTTGGATGGTCGGACATCTGCAACGCCATCGCATCTGCATCAGCCGCTTCAGCATCAGCATCAGCATCAGCATGGCCATCGCCATCGCCATCGCCACTCCTCCGCCTCCATCTGCCTCCATGCTGTTGCTCGCCGTATTCTTATTCTTATTCTTATTCTTCTAATGCCAACGTCCCATCCCAACCCATCCTGTTATAGCAGCAGCCAGCCAGCCACAGAGAGTCGTCCGTTGCATGTTGCATGCGCGGCAAGGTCCATAAATAACGACAAAATTGCGTTTCCGCATATGGACCGACGTCGTCTTCGATTCGGACTTTGGGTCTGGCTTTGGCCTGGCTCTGCCACTGACTCTCTCACTGTGGCATGCCGTGGCTGCTGCCGCTTGACCAGCCTGGGACCTTGCGTGTTGCCCGCTTGGACTTGGCCTCAGTCAGAGCCCCTGCCACACAGCCTCACAGCCGAGTTGATGTACAGTTTGTTTTGTTTGCTCGTTGATAAGCAGCCGCAACCGAGGACATGTCCAAGTGTCCAAACGTCCACATGTCCACATGTCCGCGTCCACATCCCAAAAGTGTTCGCTTTGCCACGTTTTCATTAAAGTCAAATTAAGCCGAAGCGGTATACAGACTGGAGGCTGTATAAATTCCCGTTGACCTTTGTTTCGTGCGATCCTTTCCATTGTGTCTGTCACCACATCAGCCATGCCTATCCCTTGCGGCGTCACAATCTACACTCGCCAACAAAGATTTGTAAGCCTTGGAACGAAGAGCTTAAAGCTCGCGGGCCGCCTAAATGCCAAGTCAAAAGCTCCGTCAAATCATTTTCAATTCAATTGCATTTTGGGAAATTTGCCGCTGCTTATAGCCGTTTTACGGCCACTTTATTCCGCCGAGTTGAGTGCAAACCAATGTTCAATTTTACTACGTGAATTCTCGCCACTTGACTATAAACTGTTTTATTACCCTGCACATTTGGCATTATATCATTTAGGAGCTATGCAATAGGCTCGCCACCCTCAAGCTGCAAGGATTTTTGTGTAATTTCATTAATTGGCAGCGAAAAAAAGTTGTATTGGAAAACGAAAAAACAAATTTGAAGTGTAAAAGTACACTTGTCGAAATGCAGCAGTTCCTTCACCAAATAAACTAAAATTTGCATACCGAATAAATATTATAATTTAGGTAAATCTGCACATGCAATGAATAACACTCACAGTCAATGAATCCATAAAATACGAAATCTTTGTGTTCAAATCCAAAGTAAAAAAAAGCAATCAAAATGTTATAAAAAAAATTCATCAAAATTTGCATTTCCTTTATTAAACAAATATGTCGGTGGTTTACCTTTGACATTTGATCGCGCTATAAATAGAATTGGCTTGGAATAAAAGCTCAAAGTGCTATATAATTCGATGGCCATAAAATAAGATTATTATTAATTGACGTAAGCTTTTCTCTCTGGCTGGGAAATATTTGCAACTTTTGACATTTTGTTGCACAGTGTTTCGAGTGTTGTTGTTGTTGTTGTGGTTGTTGTTGCTTATGGCGATGCGGAAACCCCACAAATTGTGCAAAATGAATGCATTTTGTGAAATTTCCATACACAAGGATAACCTTCGGCAATAGCCTTCTGAGCGGGGCGTTCGCGGTCAATGCGTATGTCACACACGTGTAACTGCACCTACACACATATAGATATATGCAAATATATATGTAAATTATGTAGGTGTGTGTGTGTGTGTGTGTGCGTGTGCGCCGCTTACTTTCACTTTAACCGATCGTATTAAATTTCTGAGCTGTAAAGCATATTTTTGCTCGCCTTTTTTTGGCTTTTGTTTCCCCCTGTTTTTACATGTTTATATATGTATGTTTTATTTGACTTTAATTTTTCGATTTTGTTAAAGGCTACACTCCTGTTCAAACGAATAGCTCCACGCTCGAGTGTCTCTTATCTGGCAATAGAATTGAGATTGAGTCCCGCGTTGCCTGTCTCTGCCTCTTTGCTCACGATTCTCCCGTCTCCTCTTTAGTCTGCCGCCTGCTCCCCACCCCTTGTTCGATCCCTGATTGACAATATTTCTGTATTTTTACTGTTGCCATTTCACAGCCTCTGGCTGTCCGCGCAGTCGCGCTGTGCAAATGGAGCATTTCCATGCCCTTCCCGAGCACACGCCCGCAGTCCATCAGCTATGCTGAAGTATTTGTGCAGCGCACACTTTGCGCACTTTTATGCTGATATTTCTGCACAGAAATCAATTGCTAAGCTCCTGTAACATAAATTAAATGATCGAAACATACAAAAAGGGAATAGTAAACACATTTAAGGAAGGTTTTGTGGTGCCTAAAATGATCATTTATATATTGAAACTCCACTAAAAGAGTAACTGAACTTCGTTAAATGATTTCTTCCGTTGCTTGCTGCTTCTTGTTGCTCATTTTATTACGAGTATTATTAATATTAAAAGGTGCAACAGCGTTTGGACATTTTGATACAATAACAAACCTGTTCACCTGCGCAGTCTACCTGCAGCAAGAAGACAGAGCGCAAGAGAGAGAGAGAGGGAGAGAACACAGAGAGTGAGAGAGATGAAGAGAGAGAGAGAGAGAGGGAGAGGGAGACAAGAAAGAAACATGTTAACACAATTCAGAGTCTCCATACGCTCGGCTGTCGCCTCTGTTGTTGTTGTTGTTGTTGTTTCTTGTTGTCTTTGTTGTTGTAATTTGGCCGTTGCTGTATTTTTGTTGGTGATCTTAAAGTCTCTCCGCTCCACACTCGAAAAAAAAAACTCTGAATTGGCGCTACAAGTTTATCGAACGCTCAAAGTGGTTTTCAGTTGATATCGAAAAGCCACAAGGTCGACAACAGCATCAAGTTTATGTATACATATGTACAGCAGTACATATATACACAGTTGTACATAGTTGTATCCACATTCTGTATTTACGCATAGTTTTTGTTATTCTTTAAAAATCAGTGAAAGAACAGCGGGCGCCGTCGCATCATCCGCCTGAAAGTGTGACCAAAAAGTGATCTATTAAAAATCGCGCGTAATGCTGCCCGACTGCATGCAGCGTGGGGGCTGATGCACATAGAGGATAACCCACCCCCTGGCCCCACCGAAACGAACGCCATGCAGGAGGCGACGAGCAGCAGCAGCGGCTATGCGCTGTCCTATACGGATTGGATGGCCGAGCCACGGTAGACGCTCGTACAACTGTCCAGGCAGACCACGCCCATGTCCTTGCGGAAAAGGATCCAACAGCAGAGCATGCCATGTGCGTGTGCCTGTGTGTGTGTGTGTGTGTGTGTGTGTGTGTGTGTGTGTGTGCGTTGAGCTTCCCGAAAGCTTTCGCTTCGTTGATCTCTAATTTTCAATATGGCAGCTGTAGCAGATGTACCTCAGTGTGTGTGTCCGTGTCTGTGGCTATCTGCTGATAATATTGTAGTAATTAATGCGATACGAATGAGAAATTTATGGCCCACGCCCGACAGCGCTGCTGGCCATCGCCACTGGCCCGGCCCCTCTCTCGCTCCCGACACAGTCGGGGAGCCACAGTCGGACTCCCAAGACAGAGACACAGACAGAGACAGAGACAGAGACAGATACACCGTCGCGAGCCATTTGCATAAAATATGATCATGTAAATGACACAGACCCCAGGGACTGGGCAAAGAAAAACGAAGCAGCGGCAGCATCGAACAAAAAACACAAAAAACGAATACAAATAAATGGCTCGAGAGTTGATAGTTTTCACTGCATGCTGCTGCATGAGGTGCAGCATTTGCTCCAGCTGCTCGCTGGCTGCTTCCCAATCAGAATCTCGAAAGGTTTCTCACAGTCGGTCGAGCCTGTGGTCCGAGAGAGTTGCCTTCGCTGCAAAAGGATGCGTCGCCTCGGGGACATATTAATGGACCTACTGTTGGTCCTTTGGCTTCTGTTATTCTTCTTTTTTTGTTGACTCAAATCTTAATCAATCTCGCAGTGGTCCCGGAGCATCTGCAGCTTGGCTTTGGCCGCAGCCTTGAAGGGGGTTGAAAGCGTTACCTAAGTCGTCCTTGTCCGCCTTTATGCAAATCAGCGCGCAGGACGCTGCCCAGAAAGGGGTTGAGCAGGCGCAGAAGACACAGCGTCGGACATAGGACCCGGACCCTCTGAATGGGTTGCATGCGGAATGAATGAGGTGCGATGTCCAACGTCGAGAGACAATGACAAAAAGGAGCATTCACTCGACCGTGTCAAATGCCTGAGACAGAGACAGAGCCAGAGCCAGAGCCAGACGACGCAGGCCAGGGTCCATCGCGGTCCGCGATTCTTAGATCCTTAGACCGTGTGTGTTGTCCGCGGTCCGCACGAATCCCGAACGAATCTTGAATCCTTTTTGTAGATGCCTGGCTGAAAGCATTATGCAAATGAGGGGCTTTGTTCGGGTTTCCCTGGAAGATCTCTTGCCCCCCCCTCCACCTCGGACGGTGTCCGAGCAAGCTGTAGCTGTCTCTGTGTTTTTCCCTGTGTTCTGTGATTCTTCCGTTGTCTGGGATCCGGCAAAGAGGTTCCTAATATCAATAATGATTGCCTGGGATTAGCTCTGCTGTGGCATGCAGCTGCTCGAACCGGTTCTCTCTCTCTCTCTCTCCGTCTCGGTCCGAGCGGATCACCTTGCCCTGGGCCAGCACTTCCCAGGCCCAGGCCCAGGCCCAGGCCCAAGCTCGCTGCCAGCCCGACCACAGTAGCAGCCTCCTGTTCCTCCTCCCGATATTTGCAATCTGCGTGCCCGATTCAGGTGGCAGAGCCACGCCACGCCACAGGACTGCTTTTGTTTGCTTTTGTTTTGCCAAAATGTTTGCTACTTGTTGCACAATCGAGCAGCGCCACAGGGGGGGGGGCGACAACTACTCCAGAGGCGTGGCCCAAGTGTTGGCCTAATCACGGGCTCGCTCACCATCGAAGCCAGCCTGTGCACTTAGCGGCCTCCTCCGAGGGGTTAAGCCAAGAAAAGCTTCATGGGAAATAAATAATTAGTGAATGGACCACTTGCAGAGTACACCCGAAAGCGGGAAGGGGTTCAAGTTTGAGCGGGGTGCAGCGGGGCAGAGAGTGCTAACAAAAAATTGACGCTTTTTTTTGTTGCCCCTGCCCCGGTGGGTTTCTTTTTGTTTGGCGCTAATAGCGCTAAACGAATCAATTCCAAGCGCCGAAAGCAGTAAAAAGCGTTGCCGCGAAACTTACAAATCCGTAAGATACGGATACAAACACACACACACACACACACACGCACACCTGGCTGACAGTGTCCAAAAATGTATTATGTAAATAAAATAAAAATCAAAATAGAAATGGAAATGGAAATGCTAATGATGCCGCCGCATCTCCATCACTGCCAAAAACCCAAATGCACGCACATGGGCGTTGTCTGTCTGCGGCTGCGGCTGCGGCTGCCACGCCCCGTTTTGGCTTGAATCAATGTTGTAATTCACTGCCCAACAGGCGCGGCTTCAGCCTGGACTCGCTGCCAAGCGAACACCAGGAGCAGCAGCTCCACTCGCACTACCCGGATCATGGCTTAAGTTTGTCCCTGCCACTGCACCAACAGCAGCCTGCCCTGCCAGCCTTGCAGCATCAGCAGCAGCAGCAGCAGCAGCAGCTTCCTGCCCACAGTCCAGGTGCAGTTACAGAGTCCTATCCCATCTACAGCTACTACCGCCAGCAGAGCCACGAGGCCGCAAAGGAGACCAACAACAACAACAACGATCACCATGGGTCGGAGCTGCTGTGGAGGTAAGTCGCCAAGCTGGCCATTTCCCTGGAAATCCGCCACAAGCGGCACGTCGCACATCGGAACGCAGTTGCTGTTCTGTTTTATAGGGCCAAGCCGTGAAGTGATGATGAAACCGTAACCGTAATACGGTTCGGGGGCCTGGAAAAGGTCGAGCGTCCGAGCACTTGGCTTAGAAACACAATTCAAAGATAGCCCCTCCCCCCCCACACACAGTGGAGACTCCCAAAGTGCACGAGAGAGCTCTTCCTCTATGGATCTTCTCTCCAGCCAGTGCCCACCGTAGCCACAAAAATAAACACTTAAAACAATGAAGAACAAAGATATGAGCAGCACTTTGTGTATCTAATAAATGCTTGTGTCCGCCTGTGTGTGAATGTTGTTACTTTTTCGCGCTTCCCCGTAACCGCTACGTGAGTTACACGGCTCTGACCCTAAACGCGGCTTGGACATCGCTCACATATCGCATTACGAAAAGATGTTATAGCGCAGCCGGAGGGAGCGGTAGGGGATCAGAGTGTCATTTTTAATAGCGAAAATGTTCTGCAGAACAAACTCGTAAAAAAAAGCCAAAACAATCTTTTTTTCTTTGGTCGTTGTTTTTGTTATTTGTTGCTGCTTTCTGCTATACCCATGTCGATGTCCGTTGCGGAGTGGCCGAAAAGAAACAAACAACTTCGGGTGAAACCGGGACACTGGCTGGCAGGCCGCAGAGGGAGACTTGGCTGCGGCGACACGCCAAGTGCCACAAAATGGGGCAAGAGCGTAAGCGATCGCAATCTCTGCCGCGGCCGTTGTCAACGTTGAGCAATGCCAAAAAATAAAGAACAACAACAACGAAGAACAAAATACCGCAAAAAAAAGCACACACAGCGGAGGGAAAAACGCAGAAAGCGCTTGCAACAGCTGCTAACGGAAGAACGGACAGCGGACAGCGGACAACGGACAGGGGACAGCGGACAGCGGACAACGGTCACTGATACGTTAAGATTGGTAGAGCAAACAAGTACATATCTGCATCTGTATCTGTGTGTCGAAAGGTGTGGCTCGGGCTCGCAAGATTGCCAATTTCGACAAATTTAAAACTAATTTGGGACTTTCTAGGGGAATTTCTACACCGAATTTCGAGGAGAGTATTTGAAGTCCTTTCCCCAGCAGACTTTTGATAGGTTTGGAAGCTTCCCACAGCCTGAGGAAGGATTAATGCCAGAAAAACAATCAATCAATTAATCAGCTACACAAATAACTCATACATAAAAATAAGCATAAGAAAGTACTCACAAAATGTAAGCACAAAAGAAGCAGTACAAAAATTGCATAAAATAATAACATCTATGGGGAATCCTTGCAGTGGTTTCTGTGAGTGAAATCCATTGATTGAGCAGCACCACATATGCTCTATCTTTTCTCCATCTGGTCATTCGGTTCCCTCTCATTATAATTTATCCAGGAGAACTGTTTTGGGTTGCCCTTTTTGTGTGTCTTGGGCCAGAGTTTCCCTCAAAGAGCTTTAATTGTGTCGCCGAATGATGGGAAGGTGGGTAGGAAGTAATACCTCGACCAGATCCGGTTTATCAGTTGCCAGCTGCAAGGACTTTGCTTCGTTTGACCTTGGTGGCACGTCTCCTTGTGTGTGTCTCTCCTTTTCCCTTACCACTCTCTTGGTGTGTCTGTGGCTTTGTTTCTGTTTCTGTTTCTGTTTCTGTTTTTCGCTGGTAAAATGCCAAAAAGTTATCAATATTCGATTATAGCATGGAGACAGCGATCGTGTTGCCTAATTTATGGCTGTTCCTGGCGTTGTCTGCGATAGGGCGCTCGATAAGCGCATCGTTGGGGGAGAGGCGATTTGGATTTCCCCTCTACCTTTGATGCTCTTTCTATCGGAAATTCGCTACATTCTGCTGCCATTCAATGGGTTTATTCAATGGTATACCCTAGAATAAGGTACATGCTATTATTCTTGATTAAAACTTTCTACAATACGAAGGTAATCCTAATCCTAATCAGCACCTGGAAGCTTGGACATGCTTTTGTTTTCCCACAGGAATCTTCTTTGGCTCCTTTTCCGACCAGTATTCCCAAACATTTGGTAATATTTATGTTTAATTTTTCTGATCTGAATCGATCCGCCAGGGTATCTAATGCTTCGGGTTGGCAGCTTGCCCTTGCCTTTTCTGGTTTCTCGTTTGTTGCCAACTGCCAACTGCTGGCTGGCTGGCTGGCTGGCTGGCTGGCTGGATGCTGGCCAAAAAGTTGTTTTGGTTCTGGATGGATGTTGTTGTTGTAGTTGCTGTTGCTGTTGCTGCTGCAGTTGTTGTTTCTGGTGGTTGTTTGTGTCGCTGGGCCTGAGCACTTGCCGCCGCAGCAGGCTGGAATCTGGTTTATATGTACGAGTGCCAGTGCCAGTGCCAGTGCCAGATCCAGTGTTGTTGCATGTGTGATTATAGCTGGGGATTGCTCCCATTTGGGCGAGGCAGGTACGCCATCCCCCCCATCCAGGTTTCCACTTGGCTTGCGCACAGGTGTCTGCCGCAGGAGTTGTTTCTGTTTCTGTTTCTGTTGTTGTTCTTGTGAATGAAATTAGCCTTGTTGCACTTGCAGCAACTTGATTGTGATTGCCTCTGTGTGTGATTTCATGTGCGATTGCTGCACTGATTGGCGGTGATTCGCTGATTCTGATTGATAAGCTCAGGCTTTGATTGTGTGGGTGACAATGGGGAGGGATTATGTAGATTAAGCACTTAAGTCATTTATCAAACATTAACTAATGCACATTCTGCTGCATTCTCTACCCTCGCTCCACAGTGGAAAGCTCAATGGCCAGACCACACCCATCGATGTCTCGGGCCTATCGCAGAATGAGATCCAAGGCTTTCTGCTCGGCTCACACCCCTCATCATCGGCCTCGGCCGTCAGCACCACTGGCGTTGTCTCCACCACCACCATCTCGCAGCACCACCAGCAGCAGCAACAGCAGCAGCAACAGCAGCAGCAGCAGCAGCAGCAGCAACAGCAGCAGCAGCATCCCGGCGACATTGTGAGTGCCGCAGGCGTGGGGAGCGCAGGCTCCATTGTCTCGTCGGCGGTGCAACAACAGCAGCAGCAGCAGCAGCAGCAGCTGATAACCATCAAAAGGGAGCCGGAGGATCTGCGCAAGGATCCGAAGAACGGTAACATTACCGGAGCGACGGCAGCGAACGGCGGCGCGGGTTCGGTCATAACGCAAAAGGTAAGCGAAACTATCAGAATTAGTTTGTTTTTGTTGCTTAGGGAACAATTAATGGACACGCACGCAAATCTCGAAACAGAACTTAGATAGTACTACCTCTAGTATACGCATTCCCGCGCCCATTCACAATTATTCATAGCATCCCAACCCCAGTGGCGCATCCTGTGTGTTTGTGCCACACACATCAATTAGCCCAGCCACACAATTGCGGTTGTAGTTGTGGTTGTACTTGTTGTATGCCTGTCTAACAGACTTGCAATTGGTCTGTCAATTGCTGGTGTGAGTGAGTGTAAGTGAGAGCAATGAGTGTTAGTGGTTGCAGCCAATACGAATCGTTGTCGTCGCTTTCGTCGCGCCGTTCGGTTCGGTTCTATTGAAAGCAATGTGGCAGCAATAACAACAACCACAACAGCTACAAACCTCATAGCGGGCAAAGCAATGCCTGCATTGAAACTGTTATACACGCTTCTTGTTATACGATCTCGAGTCTCGCTCTCTCACTCTGTATGGTGTGTGTATGCGTATGTAATTTGTATAGTCTTCTCGCTCGCACTCACACTGATTGCCCATGGCAGTGGCTCATGTTCGAAGCGTTTCCTTTCGCATGTTCGAGTTGCATGTTGTATATATGTTCGAACGGTTTATCAAAAACAAAGCAGTGCAAAGGAGCAGAGCGAGTGGACAGCAGAAGCAGTAAACTGTAATTAAATGTCTTGCAATAGGCAACAATTCTGCACTGGTGGGAAATTGCAGTAGCAAAACTCAGGGCGACAATCGCTGGGGGATAAGTGTACACTTCCGGTGGCTGGGGCTGCCTCTCCCTCCATCTTCACCTCTACCGCTGCCCCTTCGACTACTCTCTTTCTTGTTTTGCGCTCTTCCTGTGATTGGATTTGGATCAATGAATGGTGCAAGTGCAGCAACAACTTCTTCTGCTGCTTAGTGCTTGTAACGCCCTGTCCGGCCATCCCTCCCCACTTCACCCCTTTCCTTTTACATGTCAGAATATTGCGACAGCTACAGATTCCAACCATTTTGAACTGATATGAGCTGCGCGCACAAGTGTGAGTGAGTACGAATGCTGATCGCTGGTCCAACTGGCCGACGCAACCAGGTGCTAGAGTGTGTGTGTGTGTGCTGTCAGCAGAGCCCGACGTCGACGCTGTCATACCTGGCCCCTCAGCAGCAGCCACAGCCTCAACCACACGGCACGGCGTCATTCATTCGTATCACGCTGTCGGAGTAGGATCGTTTTCGATTCGTCTGATTTTTGAGCAGTACCGCACCGCTCGCGTATGTTTCGTCCGCGCAATACCGTGCAAGCGCACAAACGTAATCCGTGTTCGTGTATCGGTATCTACCCCTCCCTGTGATTGCAACAGTGGATCGCAGCGGATCAGTACATTCAATTACATTACTGTTCTCGACCGTAAGTGCGAATCGATCGGGCATCGTGCATTTGTGTGAGTTCTGTGACCGAATTCGATATGCATCAATTTGCATATTGTTTGATACATGATATGTACCATGTGATACACATATAGTTATTGTAGTTATGAGTGCCGCTTGATTGGAATGTGTGGGCTGCTGCTGCCGCTGCTGATGCAGTCGAGAGTAATGCCATACCATAACATACCATACCATACCATACCATACCCTATCGTATCAAATGGGATCGTATCCCCCGATCCACCTGCAATCCAAAACGTGCGCCACAAACAACAAAACAACTATCAATGAATCAAACAAACAGCAACAACAAATTGAACAAACGCACACGCGCAAAGCAACACGAGCAACAACAACAGTAACAACGACAGCCAAGCGTCATACTTGTGTGTGGGCGTGCAGCGGCACCAGCTGGAGCTCACTCGCAACGCGTTGCCTTTCAACACCCACACAGCGAACAAGTTCGCAGCTCAAGTCTTTTGTTTGGCGCGCAATTGCGGCCCGGCCAAAGAGCAAGCGAGAAAGAGAGAGAGAGAAATAGTGGAATAGAGATGGAGATGGAGAACAAGAACGAACAGTTGGACTTTTATCGCCTTGATTCAATGATTTTCGGTTGGGGCGGCCGGGTCTGTGTTTGTGTGTGTGTGTGTGGCTCAGAAAATTCATTGAGCAGAACCTTAATTGCTCTCTTCAGGTGTTACCCCACACCCACCCCCTCTACATCGCCTCACAGTGGGGAACACAAACTCGAAATGCGAAAATAAATATTAAATTGCGGTGCACTCTAATTTATCGTACACTTTTCGCATTGACAGTTAATTATTCTTAATATTTGTCTTATTAATTTACATACACACAAACACACCGCAGCACACACACGCACACACTTGCATAGTTTAAAGTCTAAGGTTTCGCTCGATCTTAATTTATGGCACAGAATCAAAGATCAGAAAAAAAATGGTTTTTTTTTTTATTTTATATCATTTTGTTTTTGCTGTTGGCAATTTATTGATCTCCATACGTCCGAACGACACATAGACCGACCGACCGACCGACCGACCGACCGACCGACCGACCGTCTGTGCACCGGAAAGTGTAATAATTAGACCCGCCAACAGAGACAAATTGAGATCTTGGATTAACAACTCTCTCCCTACCTCTCTTACTTCTGCCGAATCCAAACCAATTTGCCCTTCTAGTTGCTCTACTATCTACCGGCTGACTTATCAGTGATTCACTGTACACAGGCATCTCACTTTTTGCCACTAGAAATTAGTCTTATCTAGCAAATTGCCTCAATGAAAGAGATTCAGCTTCTGGGAAATCAAATATGGAGACTGCGACTGAATCACACTTGACAGCAAATCAAATTTAATCTGGCAGTTCCTAAGATGAGTTCTTCTCTTTAGTACACTTCCGACCATATCGAAACTCAGTTTCGATTTCCAGGAACCATTCAATAATGGAAAACACCACACAGAAATTTGAATAACAAAACCATTAATATTGAATGTTGGAATGTGAATGAACAATGATCTAACTAATGGAAATATGAAATATGAGTTTGTAGGGCCACAAGTCTGAAATATGCGACTGCTTATGGAAAAGCCTCAACACAACTGAACTATTGATGATATTGAGACACAATCGTGAGCCACAAAAATTGTATTAGTTGTGCCAACTTCGTCTTTCCTTCCTTCACAATTCTTGAGGGCTCTTAGTCATGGGTTTTCCTTTGCCAGAACATCAATTACGTTATCAAGGGGCACCATTAAAGTAGTCAACTTTTAACAAAACAATCTTTTTCGTTCACTTTTTGGTTTTTCTCTGGTTTTTTTGTTTTTTCGTTTTTCGTCTTTCGTTCGGTTTATTTCCGAGAATTAACGATATTCATAAAACGCTGGACTGTATGAAGAAGAGGAAAAAAAAAGTTTCACTTTTTATCATTCCAAAAGGCATTAAAATAGTTAATTGGCTTTATTTAAATATTTTGTTATTTTTTGTCAGTGTTTTGTGTGTGGTTTTGTACAGTATTTTGTTGCTGCTTTTTATTTCTTCCTCATCTCATGCATAAATATGTGCCAGAACCGCCGCTTGACGTTTGTCGCCGCTGCTTAGCATAATTCTAAAGGCCCAGAGACGACGACGACGCGTCTCATAACCGCTGGCTTCTATAGTTATAAATATTAAGCGTAGTCGCAGTCGTAGTCGGATATGGGTAGACGACAGCTACTCATATGACCTCCCCATGTCCCATCCCCGTGCCCATCCCCATGCCACCGCGAGAGATGGAGATACAGATGCGATTGGGCATCGCGAGACACGCACCAGCACCACCACAAAGAAGAGCAGAGCCAAAAGCAATGAAAATGAAATCTTTGTTTGCTGCCGCTGCCGCTGCTGCTGCCGCTGCTGCTGCCGCTGCTGCTGCTGGTGTATCGATCCAATCCGATCCATTCGGATCCATTCCGTTCCAATCCGATCGCTCGTCGATCGGCATCGGAATCGGCATCGGCATCGGCCCGCGTCAAGGCCTTCTCTGACGTTGCAGGTTGAAAGCTTAAAATGCAAATTGATTTTGATGAACAAATTTAATTAGCTCGCAGCTAGAATCTTTTACCGATGCTAAATTATACAAGAGACTTCAACGTCGACTGCGAGCCGAAAAATATACAAAAAAAAACACAGAGACACAGAGCCACAGAGCCACCGCCACAAAAGCCAGCCTCTGTATAAATTTAAATTTGAAAGACGCACAACAAGTAAGCAACATTTTCGTTGGTTTCTCGAACCAAAAGGCAAATACCACACAAACGGTTACAAAGGTTCTTTTCCCAAAGCCAAAATGTGTCCAATATGTGGCCCGAAAAGTGTAACTGAAATTAGACCAACAAAAAACAGACTCAGGGCAACCGGTTTGATCAAAGGCCAAGAAATGAGTGACGTCTGGTGTGGCTCGATTCGTGTCTCTTTTTGGGGGGGTTTCACTTTCTTTAGACCAAGAGGCAATCATCAGGCAGCTGCTAATTTTGATTTGAGACACTGGCCCAGGCCCAGCCTAAGTCTATCTTCGTATATATCTGCGATGGACCACACTTTGCTCTGTATTACCTCATTTGTGGCTGTGCTGCGGCTTGTCTCCGAAAACGTTTGACATTTTCGGGCGACCAATAAAAAAAAAAAGCAATAATAATTAACATATATGCATATACACCATCCATATATAAATATATGCATGTATATGTGTTTATTGTATATAAATGTTGATTTTTTTCGCGCTTTTTTCTGTGTTGTTGTTTTTTTTTCTTTTTCTTTTAATTGGTTTCTTTCCACTCCACTCCGCTCGACGACAACGACAACGACAACGACAAAAGGCGACGGCGACTGTGTTTCATTTGTGTTTCATTTCGTATGTGCCTTTTTTTATGGCCTTTTATTATAAACTGTACTTGTTGACGTTATTTCCAATAAGCTGTTTACGCGGCTGCCGCTGCATGAATCACACACACACACACACACACACGGCCCCAAAGAAAAGTCAAAGAACGTGCACGATTCACGCACAATTTTGTCACCTCACTCCGCCTCGTTTGGGTCCAAATCGGACTCGGATTTGGACTCGAAGTCTGTCTGTGACCTTGTCGCGGGGCCCCATATAGTTATAGTCATCAATCATGAAATGCTTGGCCATTAGCCACACAAACACAATGCCAGAATGAATGCTCGAAGCGGAGATCGATCCATCAGCAGCCCCCACCACCCAATCAAGCATTTTAGTGTTAAGAATTCGCCCTACCACAAAGCAAAACCAAAACCAAACGCACATTTCCCTCAGATCTTGCACGTGGATGCGTCGCCACCAGCCGACGAAGCTGAGATTAGCGAGATTAGCCACAGACACAGTCCCAGCACACCCTGCACCACCAGAACCAACAGCTGCAGCAGTAGTAGTCCTGCCACCGAACTAGAGATGTATGCTACCACGGGCGGCACACAGATTTACCTACAGGTGAGTGACAGTGGAGCGAGAGGTGGTGCCCCAGCAACCCCAACCAACACCTCAAACCACCTGCAGACCTCACATCCCAGCACGGCCAGCGGCGCGGGAGGAGGAGGCGGCGGCAGCGGCGTCGGTGGAGGCGGATCTGTTGGAGCCGGCGCAGGCTCCCTGCAGGCACAAAGCCCCAGCCCGGGGCCGTACATAACCGCCAACGACTATGGAATGTACACGGCCAGCCGACTGCCGCCCGGCCCCCCGCCCACCACCGCCACCACCTTCATAACGGAGCCCTACTACCGGGAGTACTTTGCGCCGGACGGACAGGGCGGCTATGTGCCCGCCTCCACGCGCTCCATCTACGGCGACGTGGACGTTTCGGTGTCGCAGCCGGGCGGAGTGGTCACCTACGAGGGTCGCTTCACAGGCAACGCCCCCCCGCCCACCACCACGACACTGCTCACGAGCAGCGTCAGCGTGCACCACCAGCAGCAACAACAGCAGCAGCAGCAACAGCAGCAACAACAACAGCAACAGCCCCAACACCAGCAGCACCTACACCAACAGCAGCAGCAACAGCACCACCATCCGCAGGACGGCAAGGGGGGCGGCAGCACGCCACTCTATGCCAAGGCCATAACGGCGGCGGGACTCACCGTCGACCTGCCCAGTCCCGACTCGGGCATCGGGACGGATGCCATCACGCCGCGGGATCAGACCAACATACAGCAGGTACACACACACACATCCCACCATCACAACAAAAGAATCCCCACAGAACTTAGGTGACCCAAAGACTAGAAAGAGAAATGCGTGGCGTGTCCGTTAGAACAGTAACTTAAGCAACAACAACTTAGACTTAAACTATAGCTTATCAAATATGATTTGTACTTGCGATAATTTACTGAACATCCTTCATCATCTTCTAGTCCTTCGATTACACGGAACTGTGCCAGCCGGGCACCCTCATCGATGCCAATGGCAGCATACCCGTGTCCGTTAACAGCATCCAGCAGCGGACAGTGGTGCATGGCAGCCAGAACAGTCCCACCACCTCCCTGGTGGACACGAGCACAAACGGTTCGACGCGCTCGCGGCCCTGGCACGACTTTGGCCGCCAGAACGATGCCGATAAAATACAAATACCAAAAATGTAAGTTTTACAAAAGATATAACTAGGGGAGGGGCTGAAGGATCCCATTTAAGTTCAACTTAATGTTGTAAATATTCTCCAAAACGGACTCAGATTTCAGATGCTACAATTCAGAAAGAGAGTATATTCCTCAACCCTACTTACGATCTCTATCTGTTTGCTTTTCTTTCCCCGTTTTCTTGTAGATTCACAAATGTTGGCTTCCGCTATCACCTGGAGAGCCCCATCAGCTCGTCACAGAGGCGCGAGGACGATCGCATCACCTACATCAACAAGGGCCAGTTCTATGGGATCACGCTGGAGTATGTGCACGATGCGGATAAGCCCATCAAGAATACGACGGTTAAGGTAGGTGCCACGTACATTTCTTGTAGATCTGTAAGGGAAAGGGGAGTGGAGGCTTGAGCTCGAGGATTGTGTTTGGAGCTTTGTCAATCAAGAGTCCGCTTGCTGCTTGTTTTCCATTCATTGGCGGCTTTGTTTATGCCATCAACACCACAGAAACAAGGAAAAAAGGAACAAGAAACAAGAACGGAAACAGAATTGGGAGATCTCTGCTGCCCAACCCCTTTTGGGCCTTAGGGTGTGCTATTTGTCAGGGAGTCTGTGTGTTTGGATCTTGTCCTACCCCGAGGTGCGATCGCCACCCCTTTGCTCAATTACACACATCCCATATCCTGCTTAGGGGCACACAGTCCGATGATAAATGATACTGGGAGAGGAGAGAGCGATCCGAACCGAACCGATCCCTCTGTCTGATGAGAATTTGAATATTTCGTTCAATGCAAATTGCTGAAAGTCCTTCGCCTTTCAACAGCAATTCACTCGCATTCGGCCGCGTCAATGTTTGTTCAGGACGAGAGCCTCGAGCCTAGAGCCTGAGAAGAAGTAGAGCGCAAGGAGTAGGAGCAGGACAATACCCATCAACATCATCAATCAGATAAGCTTAAATGACGTCTGCGTCTGCGTCACGTCTGCGTTCGAGGACGAGGACGAGGACGAGCTGAAATGCAAATGCAAATTGTAAACTGAACCGTTGAGAGCCCAAAGAATGACATCTCAAAGTTACAGTTGAAAGTGGTAAATGGGTTGAGGAAATGCCGCGAGAGATTTGGAAGTGGAAGTGGATGAGGAAGTGGAAGTGGAAGTGGAAGCGGAGGTTAAGTAAATAACAATTGAAATTGAAGGAATCTGAATCCGAATCTGAATTCGAATCCGAAGCCAAAGCCCTTGCCATTTGCATACGCACAGAAGGAAACTTGCAACAGCAAAAAAATAACCAAATGAAACGAAAAGATCTTGAGATACATCTGTACGTACCCCTGAGCTTCAGCCCCCAGTCTGCCTTTGCCTTAGATCTGATCTCAGATATTCAGAGTGTCTATCGGGCAGAGAAGAGTGTCTGCTCCTTCTGGCTCGTATTACCATAAAACTGCCATATTTTGCAAGGCTCGACAAAAAAGTGTCAAAATTAATTTACGAGTTTATTTGTTTAGAGCAGCGCGCCCTTTTCCCGAAGAAAGAAAACTTTCAAACCAAAAACGTAAATGTGAAAATGAAAACCCAAATGAACCGAACAGAACCCAACAAAAAAAATATAAATATAACCGTAGGGGCATTTGCATACGGAGTCTGATGTCCATTTCTAACGGGGTACATAAAAAAGAGCACGAAACCCAAAGAAAAAGCGAGTATAATTTACGAGCTGATTAGCCCATGAATATGTAAAAAAGTAAACGACGTCCCGGGGATCCGAAGAAAACACACAAAAATATTTATGCTGTAATCAGTTTTCACTGCCATGCACCCCACCTCAGCCCTCCCTTCACCAAGACGATGGATGACGATGATCCGATGCGATCCTCAAAGGGGTTGCTTGCCATTTCGGCTATTGTCTCGTTAATTTTTTGGGAACTGTTTCAGTATCTGTGCGCTTCTTTCCTCGAGAGAAAAAAAGGAATTACTAATTATTCAAAATCTAAGAAATAAAAACACATAAATGATAGAGAGAAAATGCAAATGCTGGGAAAACAACAGCAGAGGTTCTCCTCGGTAGCGAAGCAGCCAGCCAAAAAGATGATACAAAATGTGTTGGACATTTTTCTGCTAAATCGAATTCGTCCCTTTGTGTGCCGGCATCTAATCCTTTTGACTTTAAAAGGCGTAGGGTGCGATCCGAAGAGTTGTGAGTGGAGTGTCACAACGTATATATGTCAGACAGAGAGAGAGAGAGAGAAGTAGAAACGGTGCCCATCTATGGGATAGTATAAACGGATTACAGAACAGACATGCCGTATCCTTACAGATAGAGATCAATCTTTTGGCTGCTTGGAAAAGAGATTTCTTGGAGAGAGAGAGAGAGAGAGAGAGAGAGAGAGAGAGTTTTGTATTTGCTTTAAATCCTTTCAAATAAATTCATGGCAGATTGATAAAGATTCTGATTAAGAAACTCTTCGCTAACCATTTTATGTTTTACTTCTAGTTAATTAAGATTTTGTTTGCCTTTACGACTCAGCTAATTGAATCCTTGTATCTGTTTGCAGAGTGTGATCATGCTCATGTTCCGCGAGGAGAAGAGTCCCGAAGATGAGATCAAGGCCTGGCAATTCTGGCACAGTCGCCAGCATTCCGTGAAGCAAAGAATCTTGGATGCAGGTGCGTAAACCAACCAAAAGGAATACCCAACACAAGTCCCAACCCCACACCCCACACACCACACACCACACCACACAACCCATTCGCAATCCAAAGCCAATGCGAAGTCCAGCAGCGTTCCGTGGCAGAGTGTCCATTTGTATTGTCTAGTATTTCTAGCAGTAAATTGTTGCTTTTTATTGAAAGGCCCGCACCGTTCCAGGAGAGTTATGACATTGATAAACGCGCATTCAGCTCCGACTGTGGCTCCACTCCACTCCAGTCCGCTCCGTTTGTTTGATTGCAGATAATCTTGGTTGCAACAGCAGCGCATCCGCGGCAGATGCTTCTACTGCTGCCAATGCTGCCACGCAGTGCCTTGGCCATCAAACATAACTCATTAGGCACTTGTCACTGGACGGCTGCGCAGAAATTTCCTTAATTGTTAATACAAACATATTTTCCAGTGCCTCCTCTGTGTGTGCCCCATCTTGCCGCATTTCTGATGCTTCATCTGCTTCATCTGCTTTTTGCCTCTTCTGTTTTTCCGTTCCCCTACTAACCATCATCTTCTTCGTTTGCTCTTCTTTTTGCAGATACGAAGAACTCGGTTGGCCTGGTTGGCTGCATCGAGGAAGTGTCGCACAATGCCATCGCCGTTTACTGGAATCCGCTCGAGAGCTCCGCCAAGGTAAGTTCTGCTCTCAGATCTCTCAGATCTCAATTCTGTGCCAATCCTCGTTATGGCTGTGCTCCCCTTAGTAGCCTGTACCAGGGGGGGGATTATTACGAAGGTATTCTGTCATTCGGGAAGCTGAAGATCTCTTTCTTCGGTTTGATAGAAAGAGTTAGAAATCTGCAGATCTTTGATGCATTCTATGCCAGGGTTATTCCCATAAGTTTCAGCCAAGAACAGGGTATCCCACAGTCCACACTCCATAGAATTTACTTGCTTACTTCTATGCGAGTGTGTGTGTGTGTTTGTGTTTGTGTTTTTCCCGCACTTCCATTTTGTTTACTCCGAGCGCCGCCTCAATTAAAAAATCTGAAAAAAAACATTGCGCGACACTTTCATGCGGCAGACAAAGACAGCAGATCCTCGCTCTATGTGTGTGCGTGTGTGTGTGCATCTGTGTGCCAGTCGAAGTATCTTTGTGCTAAGAATTAATTTCTGATTTATTTTCAATTGCCAGCCAAACGCAAATTATTCAGCAAGCGTCACCGTCGCCGTCACCGTCCGTCGCCATTGCCCGGCATTGCATATTGCCATCCCTTTCCGCCGCCCAGTTCGCTCACTGTCCGGCGTGTACTCTTTTTTTTGTGGCTAAAAGAATAATTTATGCATTTATTTATTTATGACACTTAGTTTTAATCACTTACTCGGCAATCTCAGGCAAATGCTTGGAACTAAGTCGCCGTGTCCGAGTCTGAGTCTTTATCCCCAGCCTAGTCTCTGGCTGTGGCTGTGGCTTGGGCTCTGGCTCTGGCTCTGACTGTTGCAGCAGTGTCTGACTGGAACTGCGAGTGTATCTGTATCTGTATCTGTGGCTGCGACTGCGACTGCGGTTGCAACTGGGCTCCCACCGCGTTTTAATTTAGCAATTATCAAGCATTTTAATCGTTTGGAAATATTTGCAATTCTATTGCGACAAGCGCCAGTCGGAAGGCAGAAACTTTTTAACCAAGAAAACAACAACCAGTAGCAACAGTCAGTAGCAGCAGTATTAGCCCTCTCATTGCGTATACTTCGCCACCCCCCTTCATTTCCGACTGCCCACCTGTCCACTTAGCCGCCAGCTCGAATGCCACAGAGGGGCACAATTTCCCCGAGACGGGGGCAAAAAAAAAAAAACAAATGCCAAAACTGAATTGATTTCCACTCAAGTTCAGTGACTCCACTCCTGTCCAGGCTGCCAAATTGGTCAGCAGTTATTAACCGACTTGGAGATGTAGGCAAGAGATGTGGTGGGTAGGCAGCGGGGCCTGGAGCTGGCCATAAGTGCATGTCGCCTATCGCCTGTCGCGCTCCCCACACACAGGCACACACACGGCCTATCCCCTCTCACTTGCCCTCCCCCCTCCCATGGCCATCATTTGATAGAGCTTTTTATTTACAAATTGTTTACGCGCTGAGATGTTAATCCCAGAGACATCGCAATGGCACACAGAGAAAGAGGCAGAGACAGAGGCAGAGGGGGTGAGAGCGAGTCTCGCCTCGTCTCGTTTCGTCTTCGCATAATGTCGATTTCGTTTTATGCCGTTAGCTGCTGCTGCTGCTGCATCTTGCCAGCTGCATTCGTGTGCACGTCCCGTCTCGTCTCTCTGTCTGTGTTGGCAATGCCTTTCCCAGCGGCAAAACTTTCGTACGCACCGACACGCAGGTGCTTCGTTGCCTCCCCTCCACCGCCGCTGCTGCTGCGCTTTGCTCTCTGCTGTGCTGTGCTCTGCGCTCTCCGCTCTCCACTCTCCACTACTGTCATGCGTCTCCTCTTATATGGTACGCGCCCGCTAATTATTCACATTAAATACTGCTCGTCCACATCTTCGTCGTGGTCGTCGTGGTCTCATCGTGGACGTCGTCGTCGTCGTCGTGGAGGCTGCAACTTTGCGACTGCTGCTGCACTTTTACCATTAAGATTGTTTCCTTTGGTATTTTTGCGTTGATGGATTTTCTTTTCTTTTTTTTTTTTTTCTTACGCGTGCACATTGTCCGACTGTCTCTCCGTCCGTGTGTCTGTCTGCCTCCCCTTCCTCTCTGTCTCTCTGTGCCGTCTTCTGTCCACTCGTCTGCAGCTCATCTGGAGTCGAACTCAAACTCAAAATCGGACTTGGACTCGAACTCGGACTTGGACTGGCATGCTTAAAATGCCTTCAGAGAGAGACACACACACGCACATTGGTACGCACTCACACACACACACACAGAATACGCACTGAATCGAAGTCGAACTAAAAATGAATTGGATGGCCATGCGATACAAAGTCTCGACTTGACTTGGCCCGGCCTGGCCTGTGGCTCGTTACTTGGCTCTGAGGGGCCTCTGGTCCGAGCCATCGATGGAATGGTCGCCTGATGATGGTCCTCTGTGTATTGCCTTGTTATTGTCTTTCCACCTTTCTGCGTATTCGAGAGCATGCCAGTGTATGGGTGTGTTTGTGCGGATTGGAATGTTTTAAACTGTCGTGGGCATAAAGAGGACATCGACTTAATAGAGAGAAAACAATTGCCTTCTAATAGCGGTCGAAGCATTTTTAGCGTGTGTTTTTTTTTTGTCATCCGATAATTTTCTTTTTATGTTCATAATTGTTTACATTTGTATATTTTATGGCATTTTCTCCATCTCTTTCTCTTTGAAAACAGATCAACATTGCGGTTCAGTGCCTGAGCACGGATTTCAGCAGTCAAAAAGGAGTCAAGGTGAGTAACAAAAAAACTCTTTAACAAAAACAACAAGCAACAAGGTGAAGGGTAAAGGGCGAAGCGTGAAACCAATTTAAAAGGCTTCACTTGTGACCCGTTCTCAGTGTATTTTTTTGTGATCCAATAATCGTATCGGTTTCATACCGAGTGAAAGTTCATTTGACACTTTGGAGGCACTCTGTAGAGACCAATCAATTGAATGCCCAACGATATATGGTAATCATAAATCGATACAGCAATTATCGATTGATTAGCTTCCACAGCGATTCGATGCGATCTGCACGTCGCATCTTTTGTGTAAATGAAATTCAGTTCGAGTCGAGAATGCTGGCCAGTGATGGGTTAAGTAATAACCAATTTAATGCCAACTTGTTAATGGAGAATCAATGCAGGCCAGCGAGGCAGTGCAGGCCAGACCAGAAAAAGAAGATCAGCATTCAGCCGGCGTTGCCCCTGTCTCCATCCTCCGCGTTTCTGCTCCTCCATCAGACGATGGCTACGTAGGATGAGGATTTCTCTTTGGCTCCTTCTCCATCTTCGGCCGCAACTAGAGCGGACCGGGGCCCCATCCTACAGCCTTCTGCGCTGGTTGTAATGCGTACATTAAGTCTGATATTTCATTGACAGAAACACAGGCAAACGCCGGAGAAGAAGTAGAAGGAGAGACTGGAGCGAAGTCTCGTTGCTTTTCATTAAAGAAGGAAATCGGAAAGGGGGAACGCTGTAAGGTACAGCCCCAGTCCGAGCCAGAGCTGCTTTGTGTATTTGTGTAGGCAATAGCCAAATCAAATTATGCACTTGCCACAATATGTTGCACACACATGCAACGGATGTTGGCAGTTTAACATCACTGAGCCACGCCCCAACTGCACCGGCAACGCCCCAAAACCCAAATGACAACGGCTAATTGCAGCTGTTGCAAGGTTGCTGCTGCTGCTGCTGCTGCTCCAATCTGTTGTTCGCAGTCTCCTGCTACTGCCACCTTGCCCCACCTACTACATACATAGCTAGTTGCAATTTGAATGTGTGTGATATTAATACGAATCCCCTGCTCATGGTTCTCCTCGTTTCTCTTTCAGGGCCTGCCGCTGCACGTACAAATCGACACATTCGAGGACCCCAGAGATGCGGCCGTCTTCCACCGGGGCTACTGTCAGATAAAGGTCTTCTGCGATAAGGTAAGTGATTTTATTTCGCAACAGAGAGTCTGATGATCCCAGTCCCTGCTACATAATTACGCATACAGAAGCAGTCGCTGCCGCTGCCACGTGCAACAGGTTGATGAGCTAACTAAAAGCTGCCTACGTGCTGGTTCACTCTCAGCTTGTGTGTGTGTTTGTGTTTGTGCATCTGTGCCTGCCACTTGCTGCTGCTGCTGCTGCTCTTCTGCCTTCTACTGTTGCATCCGACTTTTATCGAATTGGGGGCACCAACGATGCTGACATGGCTTGGGGTTCGGGCTCGGTCTCGGTCTCAGTCTCGGGATCGGGATCGTACTCTCCTGTCCGTCAGGCAGCGCAGCCTTTAGTGGAAAGCGTAACGCGTACAAAAGTAAATGGCCAACACAGATACAAAGACACACACACATACATGCGCGTGTATGGGTTGCGGCATCCTTTCCCTGCCATATCCATGCCCTTGTTTTGCTGCCGCTGCCGCTGCTGCTGCTGCTGCTACCTTTACCTTTTGCGAACCCTTCACTTTTTCGCTTGATGGGGTTTATTAATAAATCATTTCGTGGATTTCCAATTTAATTTTCTCATATCATTACACTTCGCCGTGGTCAGCTCTCCCCCATCCACCAACTGCGACTGGACATGGGTCTGGCCACTGCACAGCCTTTTGTTGTATGCCACACTGTTGCACTTTTGCACTGTTGCACTCTGCTGGGACCCTCAATCGGGGAGGAGAGCCATGCCGTATCGCTATCACGTCGGGCTTATATTTCGCATTGGGGCCAGCCCTTTGCCAGCCAGGCATCGTGTGTTTATCGGTAAATGTATCAATTAAATTTCGCGTACCACATTATTTTGTGCCCTTCCTTGTGGCATACCTCCTTCTCCTCCATCTCCCCATATTTTGTATTTTCGTTTCTCTTTGGGATTTCACTGCAATTGCAGTTTCAGTTGCAGTTCCATCGTTTGGCACCTTTGCGCCACAGTCTCCAATTATGGATCTTTACGCACGCCCTCGGGGCCGTGCCGCCCTGCACCCCAGCAGATACCAAAAATTATGGCAAATTCTGCGCATGTTCCACGGAAACTTCGAACCCTGCAGAATAACTGTATTTTCGGTTGGGTTCGGTTGGGTTCGCTTGGGTTCGGTTGGGTTCGGTTGGAGTTGGTTGGTTTTTGGAGAGAGTTTGTGGCTTTGATTTTCAGATAGATTTACCTTCGGATCGGATAGATAGCAGCCAGAGGAGTTTTTGGGGCAGAGTTTGAAGTGGCAATTCGTCTACCGGTGATGTTCCACGACCATTGGTCTTTGCTGCTTGCCTTTCTGCTTTCTTTCTTTATTCTCTCTATATTCAAAGTAAATGATTCGAAAATTGAGCTAATGCTAATGCTAATGTTAATGGTAATGTCTCACCGCCTCTGCGCCAAGTGGCGGCCCACAGCTGTGTGTGGTGTGTCTGTGTCCCCCATGTCTCAGTCATACTTTGAAGTCGATTAACAGCATCCCAGCCCCAAGAAGGGAGGGGGCAAAAGAAGAAGGAGATGAGGATGAGGATGAGGATGAAGAGGAGGCCAGGCAAAAAGGCGAACATTGACCGCATTGGGCGATTCGAGACGCCGTCGCCTTAGTCCGCTCGCTCTTCGCTGTCCGTTGCAGCCTGCGCAACATTGGCGATATTTTTGCCAAGATAAAATAAAAGTAATAAAATACAGTTATTTACATGCCGAACACACACAGACACACACACACGATCATGAGTGGATGATGTACATCGAATGCGTTGCTCTAGGCTAAAATGGTTTTTGATAAGCGCAAGACGAGCGAAGAACACCAATCGGAGGGGATGGGGAATGGGGAATGGGTATGGGGAATGGGTATGGGGAGTGGACGATACATACTTATACATCCTTGCATAATGTGATCGCCATTCAGAAGTTGCAGTGGCAGACGCTGCCGCATATCACTTCCTGCCACTGCCCGTTGCCAGCTGCCTCCGCCTCCCTGCAGCAGCAGCAGCTACCACCTTCAGCTTCAGCGTTGCAGCTTCCATCGCTCAATTGCTGATTTTTAATTACAAATGCAAAGTGCAACATGGGGCAGGAGAGTGGGGCTGAAGCTGAAGCTGAAGCTGCATCTGCTGCCTGCACACGCAAACCAGCAATCACTGCCGGACAAAGTAGCCAACAGACTCGTATGGATATGTGCATATATTTCAAAGTATCTACGAGTATGTGTGTGTGTGTGTGTGTGTGTGTGTGTGTGTGTGTGCAATCAGGCAGCAGCTCAATGGGGCAGGTGGGCCGCAGACACAGCCACAGCCACAGCCACAGAAACAGACTCAACTGCGATGCTGCATGGTTCGAGGCGCCGCCAGATTATTTATTATGTATGCATATTTATGTGGAATCTCTCTAAGTATTTTATAATAATTTTCCCCTCCATTTTTTTGGGCTCTCTGACCCTAACGGTGTAGACCATTTTGCCAAATGCCTCCACGGACTGCGACTGCGACTGGGACTGGGACTGGGACTCGGATTCAGATTCGGATACGGACTCCAGTTGCAGTCTGTGCCGTGGCCTCTGTCTGTGGTGGCTCTGCCACTTGTTGGTGCTGCGGTGGCGGCTTTGTCTCTGTGCGACAACAGAGCTCCCCAGGCGGGAAACTTGTTTTCTTTCTGCTTCTTTGCAACTGCAAGAGGCAGTTTGCAATGGCAACGACAGGGACTGTGGCAGGGAGGCAGACAACAGCCAGCAGGCAAGCAGGCAGGCAGCAGGCAGGCAGGCTGGCAGCTTATGGCACTCGCAGCCATACACGAATTTAATTAATAAGCAAAGAAATATCAAAAAAGGTGGCATCCATGCGTTTGATTGATTGCTAATTACACGCTGGCTGTGTGCACCTGTGCGAACTTTCGCAACCCAACTGAATGGGAACCACCAAAACACATATCTACATGCCGCATGATCATGGATCTCCTTTTTATTTCCCTCTCTCTGTGTGCTTGCAGGGCGCCGAGCGCAAGACGCGCGATGAGGAGCGACGGGCCGCCAAGCGGAAGATGACGGCCACCGGCAGAAAGAAGCTGGATGAGCTCTACCATCCGGTGACAGATCGGTCCGAGTTCTATGGCATGCAGGACTTTGCCAAGCCGCCGGTGCTCTTCTCGCCAGCGGAGGACATGGAGAAGGTAGGTCAGCCGGGCCTGACTGGCTTGACATTCATCCACACGAATACGAATACGCACACGAATACGAATACGAACTCGAACTCGAACTGCAACTCCAACTCGAATTCGCCCTTGCAGAGCTTCTACGGCCATGAGACTGACTCGCCGGACCTGAAGGGTGCCTCGCCGTTCCTGCTCCACGGCCAGAAGGTGGCCACGCCGACGCTCAAGTTCCACAATCACTTTCCGCCCGACATGCAGACGTGAGTAAAAATCGTCCATCCAAGATCTCCACACCAAGGATCTCCGCTCTCTCTCTCTCTCTCTCACTCTCAAAACAAAACCCAAACTAATCTGTGTCTCCATTTCCCACTTAAACCACAATCTCCCACACTTTGCAGCGATAAAAAGGATCACATACTGGACCAGAACATAATGACCAGCACACCCATGACGGACTTTGGTCCGCCCATGAAGCGGGGACGCATGACGCCGCCAACCTCGGAGCGTGTCATGCTGTACGTGCGGCAGGAGAACGAGGAGGTCTACACACCGCTGCATGTGGTTCCCCCCACCACAATTGGTCTGCTGAATGCGGTAAGCCCTTGCCACCAAGCCAGATCATAAAATATTTGTATTATCCTGCTCCCGATCCAACCTAAACTCGATCTAATCGATTATAACCAAATTTGTCTGCAAATTTTGTTCATTTTGGCGTAATTGGAAAAGCGAAATAGCGCCACGAAACGAAGTGCCAAAATGAAACGTTGAATTCGACTAAGACTAAAGCATAAATCAACTAAAAATCAGTCACATCAATATCTGTATCTGTATCTATATTTATCGTTCTACTCACCCTAATACCAAGCAACGAAATTTCTTAATTTTCGTATAACTTGTAGTTGAAACTAATTCCGAATTCATTTCATAATCAAACAAGGGAAAAGCAAAAGAAAAGTAAAACCAACAATGAACATCTCATCCAAAATGTAACTTTGTGTATACCACTGCCAAAACCAAAGACAGGATCAGAGCTACAGTCTGATCCTTTAAACACACACGATTGAAACCACACACACAAGAGCACAAAAGAACTATTATTTTTATACACATTTCGATTGATTGGCTGGCTGGACACGTAAAATGAACAAAATGACACAGAGAAAAACGAGTTATAAGAGAAATATTTTAGTTTAGTTTAGCTTAGAGAGCAGAGCAGAGCAGATTTAGAACAGATTACAAACAAAAGACAAAACAAAAACAACAACAACAAAAACATCATATTTCTCTCGTTTCTCAATTGCAGATTGAAAACAAATACAAAATCTCAACAACGAGCATAAATAACATTTATCGCACAAACAAGAAGGGGTAAGTAGCAAGCAAGTCTTAGCGGATCAGAAGTGCTGCTGCACACACACACAACACACACACACACACACACACAGAGACAAGTGCACCAGGAAACAAATCAGAACTCCCCCCCACAAAGATCATCTAACCCAAACCACTTGTCACCCAGCTTTTGTCGTGTGCTAACCCCAAAAATCAATCAACTATTTGCATGGGTGTGGTGTTGTCTGTCCCCTGTACTGATCTCTAGAAGTGTATTTATTACCCCGAAGCAAGCGCTAACCGAATGCTTTCTCTTGCAGGATTACTGCGAAAATTGACGATGATATGATATCGTTCTACTGCAATGAGGACATCTTCTTGCTGGAGGTGCAGCAGATCGAGGACGATTTGTACGACGTCACGCTGACGGAGCTGCCCAATCAGTAGCAAACAGTAGGACACTCACAAACACAAACACAAACACACACACACACACACAAGCACACAAAAATATGGACACAATTTTTGCCAAACAACAAGAACAAGGAGTGTTGTTTCAATAAGCCATTTTCCATAGAGCCTAAGCCTAAATCGTAGTAGTCGCAATGGAGGATCCGGATCCGGATCGGAGCCAGAGCCAATCCGAGCTGCTACAAATGTGGATGGATGGACGTAGGAAAGCAAATACAAAATAACCCCCAATATGCTTAAAATTCGATTTAGATTTAGCAACAATGAGATTACTGACAATTGTTTGATCAAATTTGAAATTCTCGCTATGTTTATAGACATTGTAATATTGCCTAAGCCCTAATCATAATCGTATACATTATATATCGAGTCTATATAGATATACACATGCTTATGTATGTACTATGGAGTGCAAAAGCTGTCTGTCCAGCAACACATAAGTTTCGCTTCCGCTCCCCTGCTTATGCTTCGACCTTAGGTCCAGGGCAAGTAAGAGTTACAGAATCTATCTATTTAGACCCCTAGAATTCTACCCTAGAGATACACATATATGTTTGTCGTAAGCGTTTACTTGTTGAATATAAATTGTACAATTATTTTTGGATAAAAACCCCCACACAAAAAAAAAGACAAAAAAAAAACACAAATCGTTTGTTCTATATTTCTGATTCTAAAATCTTCCCTCTGTCCCACACCACCCCAAAAAACACTCTGTTATGTTATCTATGATTAGGAGATCTCTGAAAGAAACAAAACAAAACAAAACAAAACAAAAAACGGAAATTAAAAGCGAAAATTACTTTGTGTAATTGTCCAAAAGAAAACAAAAAGAAATAATAACTATCCTTAGCTATAGAGATACACACACATAGAGATAAGTACACTCTGCAATAAAACATGTTGATAAAAATCGTAAATTAAGTCCCAGATAAGGCAAAACAATATCGAAACAAAATCCACAACAACAACAAAAAACAACAAAACAACAAAAGTTGAAGCAAATTTGTGTGCATTTGTTGTAAACAAATACAAACAAAAAATATCTAAAAAGAACAATCAGCACGGAGAGTTGATTCAAAACTAAAGAATGAAGCAGGAATGAAGATCCGATTGTAGCACCATGCAATAACAGACATTCGAAAAAGACATATAAACAAAAAGAAGTTACAGTACAGATATATACAGATACGCACTATACAGTATATGTAGGAATAGCATATCGCATAGCAGGAATGCGTTTACAATCTTTGTTTGCCATAATTAACAGTTTAATTTAATTAACGAAATGTTTTGTGTACAATGTCTAGGCGCGATCTAGGCAGAGGAGAAGATCGAGTCCTGCCTGGAGCCACGAATACTCCGCATCGATTGCTACCACTCTGAACAGTACGCGTTCAATGCTCAATATTATTATTATTTGTTTATTAATTGTAATCCCCCCCTTCCACTTCCACTTCCACTTCCACTTCCATTGCCACTGCTATATCTTGCTCCCTCCCCCGTCTAACACTTTACTCTCTTTCCACTTCTTGTACTTTGACTGTTATTTGGGAGGGGAGACCGAATCGCCCCGCCTTTTCCCCCAAAACAGTTTAGGTGTTGTACATCACAATTTGTTTTTAGTTGTAGCACTTAATTCTAAACGTACTTTACTCAAGATTACACAATATTATATGATACGAGATCAGATATGAATATCGGAAATGAATTGAAATGAAGAACAATCGAAAATCTTGCCGGAATGTTATAAATCTTTATGTTTAGTTTATTGTAACCCCTAAGTTCTATGCTCTTTCTATATATATATATATATATATATATATATTGTTTACAAACACACACATACACATATATGTATATGTATTTAAAAGCCAATAATTTATTTTTTGTTACTGTTGGAAACGATTCCGCGAAAAATAGAAAAGCAAAAAACAACAAAAAAAGTGAAAATCAAACTGAAACTGAGAAACAAGTGGCAGGCACTCCATGAAACGTGTGAGAAGCAAATGTCCAACTTGAGAAGTGACGAACAAAATGAACAAAATAAAACAAATTGTACAATATAATTATAATGAATACACAAAATTTAAATAAAGAACAAAAAGTAAAGCAAGCTGTGTACCTATTTTGAATTTTAAATGGGAAGGAATATTTAAGTTAGTTTAAGAAATTCGATTTCGTTTCTTAATGATTTCAGATCCACCGTTCATCACGTGCCGTTCAGCCGCAACATATGTTGCCTGGTAGTGTTGCAAATTTGTGCGCCTCATATATATTGCGAAGATGTTGAGAAACAATGTTGCCGAATTGGTGATTTCATACATTTGGCTGCTACAATGCTGCGAAGATGTTGCTGAACGTTTTTATTTAACTGAATGTGCGGGGCAGCTAAAATAAGCAATAGAAATTGAAGGCAACTCTCTTTTATGGCGATCAGGAAATCTTAATTAATTATCACTTTGGTGAAAATACCTTATCGTAAGTCAAATATGAACATTAAGAATAGACAGCTTCACTCTGAAAGCAATTATTTAAAAATATGCAATTTGTAATTCCCAAAAAAAACCCTAATCATATGCTTACCGACTTTGTTGCCTGGTGTAATTAATTATTATAAGTGCATTATTGCAGCAGATGACGCTAGCTGTGCTGCCTCTGCCTCTGCCCCATGCCTTTGCTAATGCTACGGCACGGGCACTATGGCCAAAAAGATCGTGGCACGTACGAGTCTGCCATATAAATGTTGCACTTTAGTTTTTATTTAGACTTGTGTGTCTTGTTATTTTGTTCCGAATGTTGTAATGTTTGTTGTAACAAATAGCAGCAGCGGTAGCAGCAGCAGCACTAGCATCAGCACCAGCACCATCACCATCACCGGCATTTATTTACGTTGGCTCTGCTCGGCCTTTCCATCCATTCATTCACAGCTCTCGGAGACGGACAGAACGTGTGAGCGCGCGCGGTGCCAGTTGCCAGTTGCCTGTTGCCTGTTGCCTGTTAAATATCGTAAATAGTGTTGAATTCTTGTTTCGTTCTTTTGTGTGTGCTTTTTTCTTGAACGGATCTCGTATTTATGTATGTACATACATATACATATGTATATCTTATAGTTTTTGCATATTGCTCAGCATCGCGACTGTTTGCCTGCCTGTGGGTACAGTGCCGGTACAGTGCCTCCCCCTCCGACTCGGCTTAGTATCTCATTTGCACGACAAACAATGTGCAAATATTTGGCCGACCGTTGACTACACTAAAATAATCATCACAAAGCGGATGACGGACGCGATACGGTACGGAGCGGAACGGAACGGGACCTGTGCCAGTCAGTGTCTCATTCACCTACACGAGTGTAGAGAGATAAAGGTGATCTCCTAATGTCAGCCGTAGATAACGAAGAGACCATGCATAAGCAGCTCCAGCTCCATTCATTGCCGCTTCCAAAAAGAGTGACAAGCTCCCAGACCCACTCCCAGTCACAGTTCCAGTTCCAGTGAGAAGCCAGTTAGCTGTCTCGTCTACTCCGCGCCGGTTGTGCCTTTTCTGTGTGTTTCTTGTTCATGGTTTGTTTGCTGCTCTTTCTGTTGCTGTTACAGAACTCGTGTAAGCTTGTTTAGAAAGTGTCGTCGGGTCGGGTGTAGAAAGTGCATTCGTTGGAAGCCAAACAACAACCCATGTTAGCCAACTAAAGCATGCCCGCTGTGATGCCATGTAACAAGCTGTAACAAATCAACAATATACACATTTATTCACTCTCAAAAGGCAGTAAATCGAATTACCTGTGCAGATACGCTTACAGGTAAGATATACAACCATTTCCTTTCCCTTTTCCTTTCCAATTGCAAACACCATACGCCAGAATGCACATTTTCAATTCAAAGTTAGTTGAAAAATTGAAATTCCAATTGACAGTTACACTTTCGCTGTTGAATGCATCTACAATTTGTGCAACTATTCCAAAGGCAATTACAATCAATTGAAAAGGGCGCGCGTGCCATTGCCAGAACAAAACAGAATATTATACCATTATATGTAGATCCCGATGGAATGAATGGAATGACGGGGAGGCCTTGATACTCATAGTTATAGGGTGGAGGAGGCCTCCTCCTCTGGCACGCCAACTTTGTGTCACTGCTAATAACTGTCATTGTTCTGAAGAGGGTTCTGTGTTACCTTCCGTGTTCCATATCGCTTGCATAACGGAATTATGGATTAGAAGCCACAGATTCTCTGGGAAAATAAAGCAATTCAGATTGTTTCACAATTAAACCGAATTAATTGCTAATCTCTGGATAGGAGGAGCATGTCAGAGCTTATCTGAATTTGCCCTTTATCTGGCTGCTGGCTCCATCAAAACTTGAGCAAAGTTCAGCTTCGTGCACAAGACGGCATTGCATTGGTATTTCCCCAAGCGCATTGAAAGTTATTTTTCCAGCAATTTTGCAATCGCTGCGATCATATTCGAACATCATTAAAAATTAGATGTTACCCAATTGATGACTACCGACAGCAGCAGCAGAGGGAGGGAGAGTTAATTGCCCAGCACTGACGATGACTCTACCCCCTCCGAAGTTTGCAAATTAATTTAGAATGCATAACAAATTAAACAAAAGAAAACAAAGTTAGAACGCAACGATCATCATGAATCATCGCTCGTGTGGCGTAGATTTATGGGGACCCCTGAAAAGTGTTTGTTCTGGCCTTGGTACTCGAACGCTCGTACTGCCACTCGTTTCTGTAGACAATTTTAAAGACTTGTGTAAATTGGCTTTGGGCATACGAGACAGACAGACAGACAGACAGACAGACAGAGCACAATGTGCGCCAGCTTGGACCTTCGTCTGAGTCTTGGCCTCAAGAGATGTGTTGACAAAACCTTTAAACAACTGAAGGGGCTGAAGAAATATCAGCGCTGATCCCGCGCAACAATATATTCGCAAGTCAGTTGGCTAGAACGAGAGCATCTGGGCAGATATCAGTGGGTCTGCATTTTTCGCATTCTCCGGTTGGAGACGGTGGAAGAGAGAGAGAGAGACCCGAGACCTGTAAGCTTGCCTCGGTCAAAGCTCCACACACACACTCGCAAGCAGATCAGCTGCTGTGGGCGCTGAGCTTTGGCACCGTGGAACGGGTTTAACAATTTCCCTTGTTTGTGTTTACCTGTTGCCCGCCCGACTCTTCCGCATGCATCTGTCTGGGCGGAGCATCAACAAACTGAGGGGCAACATCAAAAGTCTCCTCTTGATTACATTGATTACACTAGTCCACCACCCATAAAGTTTTCCAGGAATCATCTGAATATCTCGCAGCAATTAGACGAAGAGATCTTATGACCCCAATTGCTTAACGATCGGCAGTTTAAGGGTTGTCCGTAATCAGCGAGCCGTAAAAAGCATTTAATTAACCAAATATGAGCAGTGGAAAATGATCAACAAACAAAATAAAAACATTCTCAGCGCCAGGAACGTGCAAATAATACTAAAGATGACTCCTTATCGTGAGTGATGGTGGGGGAAGCACAATAAGATACAAAAAGCAACAAAAGCAAGCTACAACATTAAAGTTGAGTGATGCGAACATCAGATATCCACTAAGCACTACGATAAATGCTGGGATTTACCCATAGCTTGGTGAAACTAAACTTGGATTCGGAATAAGTACATCTGGGCAGTAGAACATTTTCGATCGAACGCACCTAAAAGATCATTCAATTTAAAGAACCAAACAGCTAGACAAACATATACAAAGTAAACTTGTTTTGCGGGGAAACACAAAATGGTACAAATATCTAGCTGATCTAGAGTCTAGAGTGGGATATTCCACGACTCTCAACATGCACAGTATACCCTATAAAAAATTACAGGTACTCCACTGGTACCGGGTACAGTAAGTGCCCATCAAGTGAGCGCACGAAGGTTTTTCCCCAACGAGAGTGGGACACACAAACAGACAGACAGAGAAAGAGATAGAGAGAGAGAGAGAGTGAGCTGGGAGCTGGGAGCCAGAGTTGTGGGTTAACCGCAAAGCGCCGCGCTCTGTGTGCTTTTAATCAAAAGTTTAATAGATTGGCGGGCCTCGTTGTCGTGCTTGAGGAAATTGCCGACTGGCCCGCAAAATAATTCCAGCAGCGAGAGCTACAGAGAGAGGAAGAGAGGTGTGAATGGGGCTCAGGCCAGTAAGCGAGAGAGAGAGAGAGTGGAGCTCTCTCCCCCTGCCGCTGGGGAGCACTCCGCTGCGAAAGCTCTGTCCGGGTTGGCTGGGCTGGGCCGTTCCGATGGGGGAAATGTGATTTCAGTTTCATTTTTGAAGATCACTTTGTGCGAGGCGGACGCGAGCGAGAAAGAGTGCGAATTATAAAAAGCAAGCGAACTGCGGAACCGAACCGACTGTATATGATTAATTTGTGTACTTAATACATAAATAAATATAATTAAATAAAGCAAGCTGTGCAATCACATCGCCCGCCAGCCCATCCCACTGGCACGAGGAGGAAGAGAGCGTTGCTAGAGCCAAAGTGCAGTTGCAGGAGCAAAACGCATCCCACATCGAATTCCGATTCCCATTCGCATCGATTCCAATATCAATGTCAAGTGGATCAGGAATCCGGGGTCAGAAGAGCGACGACGACTACGCTACGACTGATTAACACTCCAGCTCCATCTCCGGATCGGCTCGGCTCGGCTCGGCTCTAATGAGCGCAAAGCAAACGCAGAACGTAAAACGCAAACAAATAAATAAGTAAACAACGAAAACGGCAAATTAACAAAAGCGAAATCGGAATCCAACAGCCAGCAGCCAGCAGCAAAATACGCGGAATATAGAAAAACACGTTTTCCACAAAAAAGCGCATAAACAGCAACAAATAACACAAATTGTTGTGGCTTTGTCGCTGAACACAACACACTCTTACGCATTATACGACGAATATCGGAGAATAATCACGGGGGGAGACACCAGCGAGCGAACAGAAAAGATCTCAAAACAGTCAGTGTTTTGGGGCCTAACCCTGATTCTGGCTCTTACCAAATATGAGCAGAGGCTGCCTGTCGGACCAGTTGCTGGTGTAACGTAACCCGAGCAGCCGTGACCGAGACACCAAACCACGGCAAGCGGAGACACCAGACCAAACCAGACCCACATTCACCACACACACTCGAGCAACAGCAGCAGCAGCAGCAACAACAAAACCCCCACACACACACACACACGTTGTGCGTCGTGTGGCCATGGAACGCTCTCACAGTTGCAGCAATTTCGAGGCCAGAGTAGGGCCGGGAGCGGTGTTGGCTATAGAGGCCGAAGGGGCAGCGACAGTCAAGTGCAAGGAGCTGGCCCAGCCGAAGCCACACGCCGGCAGCAGCGACAACCTGCCGCTGAGCATTTGTGCCAGCTCCACGGATCACTTTCCGCCCAACAAGCCGCTGCGCAAGCGCAAAAAGCTGCAACGCCAGCAGTCGGCCGTCGATGTGGACGACCTGGAGTGCGATTGCGCCTATGCCGGCGATCTGGAGGAGAATGCAGACCACGACAACGACATCGAAAACGAAATTGAAAACGAACAGGAACAGACCAGCCTGGACGCCTTGCCACACTTGCCAAGCCACTTCTCGCAGCAGCAGAGCCCCGCCCACGTGAGCATGGCCCTGCAGCGGCACATCTCCATCTCCTGCAGCAGCAGACGCGGTCGCTGTCTGCGCCACGAGGAGTCCTTCGACTCCTGCAGCACGGCCCCGGAGCTGAGTCCGCAGGCGCAGCGGCAGCACCGATTCAGCAGCCTGCTTTTGCGAGACAGCTCCGCCTCCGTGCAGTCGGACTCCAGTCGGTACTCGAGCGTGGACAGCCTGTTGGAGTCTCGCAAGCCGGACCCTGAGGCCATACTCATCAACCTGGGCTTCGGCTGTCCCGTCGGCTCCGAGGACATACTCTCGCGGATACCGAAACGCTTCCTGAAACCCTCCCAGGTGCCGGGCATCGACACAGAGGCGTTCGTTCAAAGACTGACCCTGGCCAGCTCGCTGGCCGACTCGAGTGTTCTGGGCTATCGCGGACTCACCGGCAACCCGGACATGCCGCCCTCGTCCATTGTGGCCAAGATCATGCAACGCTTCGAGGTGAACCACCAGCGGAAGAAGTCAATGGGCTCCATCGACCATCCAATAAGATGAGGAGGAGTCGCCGTACCATACCATTCCAATTCTAATCTGTTACTATTAGTCAGCCAACTAGGGGGCTCCCAGCGCGGGGGATATGTGCTCTTTGGGATGTCTTATCTTGTCCATAGTCCTTAGGAATGCCGCGTACTTAGCTGTGTATTAATAATTATGCCAATCGATGGGCCATTCATTGTTTATGTGAACTATTGTAACCTGTAGTTAAGTAAGGTTTAAATTAAAGACAATTTGATAAGAAATTGAATCTGCATTATTGTAAATCTCTACCGTTTGTACTCGTAGCTCCTGCATCTGCTCCATCTGTTCCATTTCCATTTCAAATCTCTGAATGGGCGCTTCAACTCTAACAGAACTTGCTGAGGTGTCTGGTCTGGTGTGTGGTTGTGTCTCCATTGGATTCCTAAAATTAGAAATCAGCGTCACTTTCCCGTACGGCTGTTTGTTCATTTTGTAGTGGAACAAATTCATTTGCGATACAGTAGCCCCATCCCCATCCCCATCCCCATCCCAGCTCGCAATTTACATACATCTCACCATTGTTGTATGCCGTATTTGCCGCATTGTTATCGAAAGTCGGTTTGGTTGCTTGGTTGTCTGAGCGAAGTTTTATTAATAGCCAATGACTATGACTTGGCATCTTTTGGAGGAGCCTCAAGGGCCAAGAGAGAGAGAGAGACTACGTGAACGACCCAGGGCGCAGGGATTATGTACGAGTATGTAGGTACATTCTGTGCAGCGATCGTTTATTGATTTCAATTGCCTCTAATTGTTTACGACGAACCGAACTGCGCCACGGGCGGCACCAGAACCCGGAATCCAGCACGGGAATACTGCATGCCTTGGCATTAGCATTGGGCATTGGGTATTGGGCATTGGGCATTACCTCATTCCGTACACGTTAGTTGGCTGACTTGACCCCAAGAGGCCTTTGCCGAGCGCCAAACAAACAAAAGCGTTCGCCCCTCCACTGGGAACACTGATAACACACAACCGATAGCATTTGCGCACATTTGTAACGCCTTGAAAGTGCCCGCCCATACCACAAGAACTTATTGAGAACTGTGTGCGAGTGTGTCACAGTGGGGGTATATCCAATAGATAACTGCTCTGGTCACATGACTCTCTATCTATGTCTCTATATTTATGGGTGTGTAGCCTAGGCTGTTTGCCAAATTAATTCTCAGACAAAGCAAAGCAAAGCAAGCCAAAGAAAGAGCACTCAAAGAGGCCGAACATTGCGAAAGCAAAGCCATTGCCACCTCGACACTAGAGCAAACATCCACGAGGATGGATATGGATGTGCGTGTCTGGTGGTACAGTTGTGCAATCAGCACACAAATGCAAGTTCAAGGCGCCCCACCAACCACAAGAAGTGATGCACTTTGATATGTTTTTGTGAATGTGCAGCCGGGGGTGCAGCGCTGCTGCTGCCTCTGCCGCTCTGCCCCACCCGGAATAATGTAAAAGAAAAATTTGCAAAGCAAAACACACACAACACAAGAAAAGAAAAGAGACAGCGAAATTCGAGGAAAATTGAAATGTGTGTCACAGCTGGCGGGCAGACAGAGCAACGGGCAGACGGGTCGACGGATGGAAGGACGGTCGGACAAACAAGGAATGCATTTAGATTGTGTTGAAAAACAATTTAATTAATTTATCTCTGTGTGGGCGTTTGATTAATTGCTTTATCGGCCATTGAGATGCAGCGGGTTCTGGCAGAAACAATTTGGGAATAGTGTAAGAATTTGACGAATTTCAATGTTTGAAATGCCTTAAAAATTAGCCACACTTTGTGGTTCTGCTGCTTTTAAATTACATTTTCGCGGGCAATTTGTGCAGCATGTGTATATGAAATCTCCAAATTCGGAACATTATACAGCAACAACAGTTTCATGCCGGCCAGCTTTTGACACAAGGGAAAAGCCAATATTCCATAGTGAATGTATATTTTGGTATATTTCTGAGGGTCCGTCGGTATATTTTATCGATAATTCCGCGGTCACACTGTACTGCATTGATCAGGGTCACCATTTAAGGTATATTAAATTATTTTCAGGATATTTTTACTACGAAAATGAGTTCATTATATATTTTTGAGGTAGATCACTATATAATGGTATATCTAATGACTTACATCGGTCTATTAAATTCAATTTTGAAGGTATTTTCCAAAATTTTTGGAAATAGGGTATACAAACGCCCTTACTATACTATACATGCCGGTTGACAAGCAACAAATTGTAAAGTGACGTATATTTTATGCTATTTTTGTTGGTCGACTTTTTAGTTATAAACTTCATTTGGGAACATTCAAAGAAAGGAAGACTGGAAAACTTGTCCATCTTGTAGAGAATTGATTGATGAATCGGATAAAATTATAGTTTTAGCACGGAAACTCCTAACTAGCTAGTAATATGAAATAGGACATCAAAATCTAGGAAAACGATTTTAGATTTGCGATATACTTTTGGTATATTTTGAAAATGCAATATTTCGGTATATATCCGATAGCGTATCGATAATTCCGCGGTCACACTGCCACTGATGTCAACAACAAAAAATCAAAACAGTACTTAATTTGATCGTGCACTTTTTGTTTGTTTAATTTGCCTCTTAAAACCGACACCCGACCGTCCCATTCGTACTTAATTTACACATTGTCTTTATATAGTTTTTTCGTGTGCTTTTTCCACCGCCGGCGTTTGTTGCTTGCATCAACTAACATCGATTTTCTTACATTTGATTCATGCAAAATGGATTTCTTCGCGAAAACAATAGCTGAGACCGCTGGCACTCCATTTGGCAAGAGCTGCAACATCTCGACAAGATGTCTGTGTGGACCACATCTAACTCAGGTGGCCTAGAGACCCTGCCCGAGTCGCAGCAGCTGCCCAAGCAGCCGGCCCAGGGGGCCCACACTCCGAAAAGCTCAGCCAGCACGTTTCTGCAGTCCCAGCGCCAGTCCGGAGGCCCCTTGAACTTGAATTCCGCCACGTTCACCACAGCCAACACAGCTCATCACTTCCAGCACGTTGTGGCCGCAGCAGTAGCAGCCGCCACATCCGTAGCAACCGGACACCACCAGCAGCAGCAGCACCACCAATTCCATTCCGGCGGTGGCAGCAATCACGGCAGCAGCCCCACCAGCAGCAACGGATTTAAGCGCTCCAGCCTCAGCAACTCGCTGCTGCAGTTCCCCCCACCGCCGCCGCCTTCAGGCCAGAGCCATCCAAAGGTAAGTCAATATCAAATCAATCTATCCTTCGCTCCCCCTTCCACCCTATTACATTCCAATCCAACTTTGCCATGGAAGCTGTGGCCGATCTGCGACGCTGACAATCAATCGCGAAACACAAAATCGGAACAAACTGCTGGGTGGGGGCAGCTGCGGGTGGCGGGAGGCTTTCACATGTTTCTCAAATCCGAATCTGGCACTGGATCTCTGGAGGGTAGGGGGGTACGGCCTCTGTTTCAAGTGGAACGAGATCCCACACAAATACACTAATACTCACGCACACACACTACCGCAAGTGCGTGCAAACAGCGCTCACTTTTTGCCTACCTGCTGGAATTATTATTGAACGGTGCTTAGAACAGCCGCCATGGCGTCACGGCACCCCTTCTCTCTAATTGACTGCACGAGGGTCGCACTCGCGCACACCCTGCCCTTTGTCTTTTGTCGTCGCTTATCGCCGCTCTGTTTGCCAATGATAAAGAAAAAGCCACAAAAAGTGGGCCTGCTCCTTGGGCGGCGACTGTAAAATGGTAAATTGTGTTTGCATACGTGTTCCGTATGATATCGCATTGAAGCCACAGGCGGAATGGAAAACAAAACAAGAATACGAATTAAAGACCGAAATATCCACATCAGCATGCTGACACCTTCCGTTTCGCTGTTTTTATCGAGTTGACTTATTTTTACACGCTTTTACATTTTACATTTTGCTTCGTTTTGTGTTCCTCGGCGGAAGTCAAGTGCTCCCCCAAAACAAGGGAGAGGGCGAAGGTGATAGGAGACAGACAGAAAGTCATACGGTGAGCAGAGAGATGGCGAGAGAGAGAAATCGTCTGCTGATAAAGACAGCATCGATACGGGTTGAAACCTCGTTCAGTTGGGATCGCAAAATATGATTAAACAGAGGAACGAACATTTATTTGTTCATCCACAAAAGGAAACAATTTTCCATCTAAAAAGTTCTCGAACGCGAGCAACGTCGTCTTTCAACAACATCAACAGTCGCGTCTTTATTGAATGGCTGTCACTCATCAACAGTCGCGTCTGTTGTAGATGGCGTTGTTAAGCATCAACAGTGGAGACTGTGCAAACGTGTCTGGCCAGATTTCTTCGATTAGCTCCAACAGTCGCTCCTAAGCAAACATTCCAGCCTTACAATACAGATCTGTATATCCTTTCCGGAATTGACAAACTCTTAGATGCTCGGACTCTGCTCCTGCCGATATCGAAAATGAAGGCATCCATCCGTATGCAGCTGCCCCTGTTACTCTGTCCTCTGCGATCCCACTGGAAGCTTTAGAGAGTCATAATTATAATCCAAGATTCCAATTGTGTGGTGTCGATTCGCACTGTCAAGCCAATTCGGGTTTCGTCATCTGCGCGATCAGCGGTCATGGATACGGGAGCAGTTGCCAGGAAGATCTGGGCCGCTCGTCTGCGATCGATCGCTCAACGTCGTGTTGGGTTGGGAGAAATCTGCCATTAATGCGAACCCATGATCTTAACCAGCATCCACGATCACATGAGCTTCATCATCAGTACCATGTCGCAGTTTTGGACTCACCCTGACCCTAATCCTGACCTTGTCAACTCTTGCGCGCCACTGATGAAGATGTTAATAATGATGCTGGAGTGTGGGTTGCGCTGCTGGTTTGTGGTTGGGTCAAGTGGGTGCAATCGATGTGGATTTTAATTGAATCGAAATCGCTCTTTCTTCATGGTCCAGTTCAGGGTGTCTAACAGTACACCCCACAGCAAACAGCCATGGCAATCACTCGAATAAGTGTACCCTCCCATTCATCAATAGATCAGGTAGAAAATCGTGTAACCGCTGATTGATCGCCAAGAGAGCCAGCCCCCGAGCACCTAGCAGCGCCCCCGCAGTCGTGAAATTTCGTTTTGTTTTCGCAAATTTTTTTCGTTTTTTGTTTGGTTTGGTTCATTCTTTCTTTCCCTTTTGGCAGTTGTTGTCGTTGTTGCTGCTGTTTCTATAGCCTTTTTCTGTTCTGTCTACACCGCTCTCTCTCTCCTGCTCTTTCTTTCTCTTTCTCACCATATATGCTTTCATACGAATGGCATTAGTAATTTCGATTGCCATTATTGTTGTTGTTTTTGTGTCATCGCAGGCCGCCGTTTGAATTGATTGTCGAATTTGAATACCGCGCCGCCAACGTTGCCGTCGCCGTCTCCGTCGTAGTCATCGTCATCATCCGTCGTCGTCTCTGCTCAGCTGCTCTGCGGCCTGCTGGCTACGCTTCGTATCAGTTAGTTAGTAACTTTTGCCGCAGTCGCTGCTGTTGTCAACGTCGCCGCATGCCCTACACCCAAGGAACACGTGAAAGGAAGGCAAAGCGCGCGAAGGCAGACAGAAGACGGTGCACAAACCAAGAATGAAATTGAATTTCACGTAAATTAATTGTGTCGAAAGCAGAATTACTTTTCGATCTACCGATCTACCCGTCAGTGGTTGCGCACTGCGCGGAAGTGTTGCGGCTGTGGGTGCGACTGCTTCTGCTTGTTTCTGCTGCCAGGTGCCTTTGCCAGTTGCCCCAATCGCCTGTTGCCATTGCCGTCGCGTCGCGTTTCGTTTCTTCGCGTCGTCGCCTCTTCTGCTCTGCCATCTGTCTGGTGTATGGTCTGTTTGTGTCAGCGTTGGCCGCCGATGCAGCTTCCCCAACATCCGTGTTTGCAGTCGGCAGTCGGGATCGGTGCTTTGAGCGAAAACGTACGCAAAGCAAACGTCTACGCTGCGTGGTGACCTTGTCCGTGAATGTGTCTTGAACTCGGGGCTCGCTTCGACTCGAGGATCCGTAGTACATCTCGCCGTAGTGCCCTACGTACGCCCCGAATCACAAGTGTCGTGTCGCCTCTCTCCTGTCAGTGTGTGTGTCGTGCCAAATTCGTTTTATTGACACTCGAATTTTACATTTCATAAACCCCATAAAATGTTTATAAATAAAAAGTAAATATTTTAAGGCACTGCGGCGCAAGATCAGAGAGATAGTGAGTGAGAGAGAGAAAGAGAAAGAGCGAGGAGAGCATTCCGTCAAGTGTGGTGTGCTGTGTGCCCCAGACCCCAGTCTCTGTTCTCTGTAGTTATTCCGTCAGTGTGTGGGTAATTGCTGATCAATTGTCATGTGCCCCAAAAGATCACACACCAACACACACACACTCTGATCTACACTGTCGCACAAACAACAACGACAAAAAGACGGACAAAACATTAACAATAGCAAAAGCAGCAAAAGCAGCAATGGGAAGCGCAAAACCAACCAAGTGAAACGGAAATTTAGCAAATAAACCCAAAAAGATTGAAAACTTGACTAAAACAATTCCCCGATCCGATCCGATCCGATCCGATCAAATCGAAGCCCCAGTGCACGCTGCCCTCCGCCGATAGAGTCATTGGAGCGTTGGTGAATCGTAATTGATTGAAGCATGAGAGCAGTCTGATCCGTAGACGAACAGAGCACCAGCACGGAGACCAGACAGCACATGCCACCACGGCCCCTCGAGGAATCCTTCCCGCCCAAGGCCCCCCGCCGCAAACGTCAGATGCGGCCCGAACAGGAGACGGGCAGCCATCACCCGGAGACCCAGTCCCAGGCGGAGAACGAGGACGAGCAGCTGCTGCCCTCCACCAGTGCCAGCGCCAGCGCCAGCAATAGCAACAGCAACAGCAATGCAAACACCAACGCAAGCACCAGGAGCGACACCTACTCCAGCCTCCGCTACACCCGTTCCAATCTCAGCCGCAGCAGCCTTCTGCTGAGCCACCAGCAGAGCTCCTTCGATGGCACGGAGCGCACAGAGAGCAGCGAGACCCTGGACATGCTGCCCATGGGCAGGGGTCGCTCCCAGATACATCCATCGGGCAGATGCATGGGCCAGATGCCGATGAATATGCAGATGCAGATGCGGTCGGGCCCGCCCTCGGCCCTGGCCAGTGCACTGCATGCAACGGCCAAGCTGGCAGCGAGTGTAGATGCATATGCGTCAGAGGCGACGGCGGCGGCGGCGGCTGCAGCGACAGCGACAGCGGTTCCCTCTGGTCACCTACCGCTGACCGGACCTGGCGCCGACTACAGTATGTGCGACTCGTGTCGCCCATTGCGCTTCCACAGCCAGAACCCCGGCCAGAGCTGTCACGTCCACAGCAATCTCGGCAGTCGACCCGTCCACTCGGGCCCGAGCAACTACGTCGGATCGTCGCGCTATCTCTACCACAATTTCAATTCGAATTCCCCACACGCGGGCTCGGGACGCTTCAGCGCGCAGAGAGACGCCTCGCTCCCACCTGCGGCAGCTGGGCCCCTGCCGTTACCGTGTTCACTGCCGTTGCCGTCAGGGCTAGCAGCTTCCATAGCACCGCCACCATTTCAGTATCGCACCTTCCAACAGAATCAGTCTTATCGCTTTCAGCCGCGCCAGCACCGCACCGGCAGCAGCAGCATGTCGCAGTCCGGCGAGGATCTCCACTCGCCCACCTACCTCTCCTGGCGCAAGCTCCAGCTGAGTCGCGCCAAATTGAAGGCCTCCAGCAAGACATCGGCCCTCCTCTCGGGTTTCGCCATGGTAAGTCATTAACAAATAAACAAATGAAGCTAATTATATTACTCGAAAGTCATGAAATTGTTATTTCAATCGGACTGTTGTGAACATCTCGTAGATGATTATTTTTATAGAAAAGAAATTGCAATTGTCCCTTGGCTGCGTTGTGAAACGCAAACGTAATTAGATCATAAATCGTATGTGTATGCACAGCAGGGCCATAGCTACAGATTCTGGCAGGAAACCCAAATTTCCTAGACCGTTTCTGGGTCACAACGAACTCTGCATACACTGAGAGCGTTAGAAAGTTAACAAATGTGATGGGAATTTGTTGTATCATGCGAGCTGTAATTGATGCCATTTCAATGCTTTGAGACAAATACTATCCCAGGCTTAGGAATATACACAATAATAGTAGAGTATGATGATAGAAATATTCACAGATATAATGGTTTTCCGTATTTTCATGTGCAACGTCTGAACATAATTAACATTGACTAGGGAAAAAGTAGAACCAATTAAATTTGCTAAATTCATAGCCTCTTCATAGTCTTTGACTTTTACAAGTACATATTTCGGTATGTTTGAATACCCACTAATCTGGGGTATGTAGAGCTTTTAATCATCGAATAAATACCGCTGACAGAACACAGATGGCTGACAACAAACAACTGACGATTATACTATCAAAATATGATTACTAAAGAATTAATCTGCATTAACAATCTCTGAATTCATTAAACAATAATATTCATTATTTCAAATACATGTTGTTTGTTTGCACAGGAGGTAGCCACTATTTCCGACACTGTTTTCGCATGTTTTAGTTGCTAAATACATATTCCACATTGTGTGCACCTTCGTAGGTGGAAGGTGGCAGAGGGCCAGATCAGATAAATTAAACCAATGGGTTACTTATTATATAAACAAATCTGCTCGCGCCAGCAGCACTTGCCAAAATGTTGAGAAAGATGGCTAATAATAATAATAGGAGCAGCCTTGCCGCCTCGCCCTAGAGCACAGCAGCGTGATCTTCTTATAAGCGAAATCCATCAACGACTCTCACTAATTCGCCGATCTCTTCTGCTCCCCACAGGTGGCCATGGTGGAAGTGCAACTGGATCACGACACCAAGGTGCCGCCCGGCATGCTAGTGGCTTTCGCGATCTGCACCACCATGCTGGTGGCCGTGCATATGCTGGCCCTGATGATCAGCACCTGCATCCTTCCGAACATCGAGGTGGTGTGCAATCTGCACAGCATCTCCCTGGTGCACGAGTCGCCGCACGAGCGCCTGCACTGGTACATTGAGACGGCGTGGGCATTTTCCACGCTGCTGGGGCTGATCCTGTTCCTGCTGGAGATAGCCATACTCTGTTGGGTGAAGTTCTATGATCTGAGCCCGCCGGCGGCCTGGTCGGCCTGCGTGGTGCTAATACCCGTGATGATTATCTTCATGGCTTTTGCCATACACTTCTATCGGTCTCTGGTGACGCACAAGTACGAGGTGACGGTCTCGGGCATACGGGAGCTGGAGATCCTCAAGGAGCAGATGGAGCAGGATCATCTCGAGCACCACAACAACCACAATCGCAATAATGGCCTTCACTACGGTGCTGCCGGCGACATCGTTTAGCAGTATCCACCACGCGAGGAAGTCTCCACGGCGATCCTTCGCTGAGAACTTAACGAAAACGAAAAGGAAAAGAAAAGACACTTTCGGCACTGGGCCAGAGGTCCCGCCGTCAATCCTCAGACTAAATAAGTGAATAATTTTTTTGTAAATTTGTAGTTGACGCAAATTGTGATACGCAGAAGGCAGTAGATTTTTATTATACGAGAACAGTATGAGAATGAGTATATATTCGAAAGGATTGTGCCACGAGCAATGCATCCTTCAGCTCAAGCCCTTCAGCACATTGTAGCGTAGACCCAACCGTAAAGCAATACTACTTTCAAGTTTCAACCACTGTGTTGACTAAATATTCCTCAAAAATTAGCTCGTATTTGTTGTAACTACTTAACGCTACGCGAATAATATGTATTGTATTTTTTAATGGTATGGAATGGCATCGTTAGCGATAGCATACCCATTATCTCACCCATAGCGCCGTCTTCCCGCCCCTCCACTCCACTCCACGCCACGTAGTGCGTAAGGGCCCAACTTATTCGGACCAAAACCCCGATCGTGTTAGCCCATATTTTAATATTGTTAGGCCAATATGTAAGCGCAATGTTCGCTGTAATTTATACACGTACGATTAAACGATTTTTTTCTACATAAACTTAACCAAAGCAAGCGAATTTCTATGCCTGACCTCCTTCGGCTCGTTGGGTTTGCGTGCCAGGAGCCACTGGCGGCACTAGCTAACAAGCGCTGTTGGATGGGGAACCAGGAATCATGGCTGGGGGGTTGATTAGAAAAGGGACACCGCACGCACGACTTCGATCCACACCCTAGGACAGACACGGAAGAACATAACAGAACAGAACAGATGACAGTCTGGTTCTCAGTTAGTTGTCTGCAACATGTCGTGCCATGCTGGTGGCGGAAGTGGAGTTCGTTGCCTGCGCTATCCTGCCGGTGGGCATGGCCGCTATCAGGGCAAGTGGCTGAGGAATCAACACCACGGCTACGGGGTAAAGTCGAGCGGTCGCGGCTTGGTGTACGAGGGAGAGTGGCAGCGGGGCCAGCGTCATGGATACGGAACCATGCGGCGGCAGTCTCCCGATGGTCAGGTGCATCGCCTCTATGTGGGCCAGTGGCGTCAGGACAGGCGCAGCGGCGAGGGCAAGCAATACTACGACGATGGATCCGTCTACTTTGGACAGTGGCAGATGAACAAGCGGCATGGACGCGGCATTCAGTGGTATGCGGACGGACGCATCTATGTGGGGGAATGGCTACAGGATGCCATGCACGGTCGGGGCGTCCTCTTCTCGGGTGAGTCCTCAAACAAAACACAAACCCACTAGGCTCCTCGTTGATCCATCTGTTCCGCCTGTGTGTGTGCTCAGCAAACGGAAATCGCTACGTGGGAGAGTTCCAGGAGGGCTGCAAGTCAGGCGCTGGCTGCTTCTACCACGGACAGGATCGGATACAGTTTGGCCAGTGGGTCAAGGACATCTGCAAGAGCTCGCTGCTGCCTGTGCTGCAGGAATGATGACAATTCGCACATTCTCTGGAGGCTCGATGGTCTCCTTGAAATAACGTTTATAAATACAGAATAAAATGGATTAAGAACACGCAAAAATGGACAAAACTATTAACATAAACCTATGCACTAGTTATCCTTAATCAGTTCCTTTGTCGCCGTCTGAGGCTGACTGTCTCCTGCTGGGGTGCCGTCTCCGCCACCTTGGCACGTGGTCGTCCTCTCGTGGTCGCTGGCGTTTCCTCGGCTTGGCGGTTGCGGGCACGGGTGCTCCTCGCATCTGTGGTCGGATAGCGCTTCACTGTGGCTGCCGACGTGATCGGGGGGTTCGTCTCATTTATGGTATCGTCCAGTTCGATAATCTCTACTACTTTCAGTTGGCTGCGAGCTCTGGCAGAGCGTGTTCTCTGCGTTGTGGCTTTGACTGGCACCGATTGGGATCGTTTGAGTGGAGCTGAAGTCGATTCTGGAACTAAGGCGGACTCGTCATCGCTTATCTCGATCGCCTGGCAGGCATTCAGATCCACATGATCCGATGGGGGCGTGTTCTCATTGCCGCTCTTGCTGCTACTGCTGCTGCTGCCTCCAAAGGGCGGGCACAATTCCAGTTCGGTGTAAATCTTGAACCTGGGCGCCTTTCTGGCCGATGCTTTTACCTTGGCCACCGTCTCCACAAGAGCTTTCCTGCCCCTAACATCTGGCGAAGTGTTGAAGGCGAGGGCTCGTCTGAGCGTCTTCATCTTCTCTTTGCCCACGGGCTGCTGCTCCACTCGGACCGTCTTCAGCTGCGACATGAAGTTGAAGCCATAGTTTATGTCAGCCGTCTGGCGCTGTAACATGAGACCTGCCTCCGCGTAGCGTATGGCCTCCTTATATTTCTTCCTGTAGCGCAGATAGTTGACGTGGTAGAGCTCCTGCACGAAGCGCATGGAGCCCAGTGTGGCGGTGCGTGCAGCATCCTCCTGTAGCCAACTGCCTGCCCGGACGTAGAAGTCATCCAGCTGATCGTGGTCCCTCTTCAAGAAACTGAGGCGTGCATGGAGACAGCCTACGATGAAGTAGATGCTCTGCAGATGCATGCTGTCCCGGAGATGGGGCGGCGCCTCGTGCTTGCTCACATAGCGCTGCAGCTGGAGGCTGCTGGGACTTGAATCGCGGATGGTCGGAAACTTGGGCGTGGCTATGTCCAGCTGGTTCTGCTTCCGAATCGGTTCCACCAGCTGCATGAGCAGCATGTTGCTGGTCAGCTCGCTGATCGCATTGGACTTGAGGTCTTCTTTGGCGTTGGTTGCGAGGACTCCTTGGGTCGATGGCTGCTCCAGCAGCGTTTCAGTGAGCGGCTTGATGGCGAGTAAATGATCCAATAGGCGCAGCTTGGACTGTGCCTTGTCCAGGTACTCCATCTGCAGGTTCATCCAGAGCCACGAAATCAACACCTCGATGGACCGCAGTGCCATTCCCGATTGCAGCACCATGTTTAGCATGATGCCGGTGAAGCCGAGCCGCTCGGTCAGCCGGTTGGCTGCACACTCGGTGCTCTCCCGCACCAGGTCGGCCAGCAGCAGCTGCAGGGCTCCCAAGTCCACGCTGGACAGACCATAGAAGTTGCGAACGCTGTCGGCCAGCGTGTCCAGCTGTCGCAGGGGCGTTGGCATTCGGGGCAGACCGCTGCTCCGCTTCTTCCGTAGATACTCCAATCGAAAGCGCACTGTCTGCACGGTGATCAGCACAATGTCGCATTTGCCCTGCCGCTCATCGAACTCGGCGCGCAGCTGCTCCGCCTGCAGCAACAGCAGCTGGGCGTGGCACAGACAGTCCTGGCGGGCATAGTAGCTGGCCATGTGGCAGAGGCAGAGCATCACTATGGAGTGGTGGCGCTTGTAGAAGTGTCCGTCTTTCAGCTGCGGCCACAGATCGTCGAGCAGCTCCTGTGCTCGGTCCACCTCCTCGGAGAGTTGCAGCTGCTGGTTAGGATTCAGATGGTCCTGTGCCAGAAAGTGTGTCAGGGCTCGCAGGTAGGTGAATCTCTCGTCCAGCATTCGCCCAATACTAAGCAACAGCAGCCAGGCATCATCGGCCTGTGCCGTGTAGCCCATGCTGGACAGAGCCATGGCTGCGGTAACCGCATCGTCGATCAGGGCTTCCCAGTCGATGGGCGTCTCGTCGCATTCGAGCGGCTCTTGGTCAGCACGCTGGAAGAAGGCTGCAAAGCCAGCGATGGCCGCAGTAGCCAACTCCACGAGGCGATGCTCCCGCTTTATGTTGAGCTCCAGCAGGTTGTTATTTATGATGAACGTCTCCAGGCTGTTTTCGGCCGTCTCCTTGATCGAGACTTTCGTCTTCTGTGCCTCCAAAGCCTCCAGCAGCACACTGACACTGGCATGGCCCATGGCCAGCTCTTGCATGCGTGTGAGCGGCTGCTTGAGGGCCGTGCTTTGCAGCTTGGAGCGCAGTTGCTCGCACTGACGCACCATCGTGCTTTCGGCGCGCATCTTGCGTGCCAAGAGAACCAGGTGGTAGTCGTGGCGACGACAGCGGAATAGAGACTGCAACAGAGACAGTGGCGGCGCATTAAAGAAGTGCAGCACGGCCATCAGATCCACATCATAAAGCTGCTTCTTCTCGGCGGGGGTTAGGGGGCTGGGCAGCGGACTGGACTCGTGCCACTCGTAGACGCACTTCTCTGAATTCTTTGCGTTGTGGTAGTGGACGCAGAGAAGTGCGTGCAGTCGCGAGGGATTCGTTTGGGCAGCAATGTAGCTGGACTGCAGGCGGCTGGCCATGACAGAGCTCTGGCAGTGGGCACTGGCTTTGTAGATGCGCCGCAGCAGATAGCTCATATCGTTGATGGCAATTAGCGGCCGTAGACTTTGCAGGGGCTCCAGTAGGTGCTGCAGTAGGGAAATTTGTTCGGGCGACGCCACCTTCTCGAGCACGAGCGCCAGTTGACGCACAAACCTGATTATCTCCGGAGCGGCGGGACCCAGACACTTTGTGCTCTTGGCCACGTCTACGGTGTACACCAGAATGTTCAGCAGAGCCTTGTGTATTGACTGTGGGGAAATCTCATTAGTTAAGAGTTGTTCCAGCTTGGGGGAGACTTACTGTGTCCGCCTTTTGTTCCGTCGTCTGCTGCCAGTTGTTGAATGCTTCCAGTGCGCACATACCGAAGGATAGCAGACAATGCCTGCGTATGCTCTTGCAGGCCTCATTGGTGCAGCTGGTGCCCAGCGGACTCCTCACGACGTTCACCACCACCCCAAGGCAGCCGTACAGCAGCTGAAAGTGCGCGGTGTAGGCCTTGGGACTGCCGTCGCCCTCTAGCTGCTGCCAAAAAATGCCAAAGGGACATTCTTCCTTGCTGCTGCTCGGAAGGAGCAGCGTCTCCAGTCGCTGGAAGAACACCAGCAGGTCCATGAACCACTGCTCTTTGCCGTGCGTCGCGCCCTTGTGCTCGAAGAAGGCGACGAACTTATTGCACAGGTCGATGTAGGTGCGCTTGAAGTCCGGCGTAGCCTCGCGCACGTACAGCAGCTTCACGTAGTAGTAGAGCAGCTGGATGGCGTAGTTCTGAGGCGAAATGCTCCTGTACAGGTCGCGACAAATGCGCAGCAGCTGCAGTGCCAGTTGCTGCTGGAGCGGCGCCTCTGTGGAAAAGCTATCGATGTGCACTAATGCCAGAACGAGTCCCAGATACTCAGAGAATTGATTACTCAGCTCAGAGCTGGGCATGCCCCAGCTGCAGCTCAGGAGCTTGAACAGCGGCTCGTACATTTTCATTGTGTACTCAAACGGCAGTGCGCTCAGAGATCTTAGAAATCCTCTGCTTCGCTTCATGAAGAGAGACTCGTTCAGCTGGACCAGAAGAGCCGCATTCTTTGCCACTTTCTGTTGGCGCATGGTGTCGAACAGGACACCCAAAGACTCTAAGGCGTAATAGAGTTGATCTGTGGCTGCGAGAGGCAACGTTTGCTTCTGCATTTGCATGTGAATGAAGTTGAAGTGCATCAGATGGATGTCCAAATAAAACTTGTAGTCTCCCTCCTCCTGCAGACGGCAGCGCTGCGATCGGATGAGGCCGTACATTTTCTGGCATTCTTTCCCAGTTTTCTGCAAACACTCGTGCAATTAGCTAGCCCGCTTGCAGCATTTGGTTGCGCTCTTTCACTCACCTCCTGAGACAGCCCATGGTGTATGTAGCGCAGGCTCGTTAGATGAGCTTCCCACAGGCTCGGCTTCTCCTCGTAGGGCTCCATGTGTGGAAGCATGGTGGCCACAATGTCGCAGTAGAGGTCTGCATGCTGGTGCTGATTGTCCTTCAGGGCCAAACACAGCTGGCGCAGCACGCTCAACTCGAACCTGATGGGATAGGCGTCGTTTGTCCCGATGCCCTTGCTGAATTCCCTGAATTTCCACTCAATTGTCGTGGCGGCTGCCTTAACGTCGGATCGAGTGCCTTTCAATTGGTTTACAATATCTGCAGACATTTTATTATTCGTTCGGAATTGTCACATTAAAAATTAAATTTGCGACGCTTGCTCGGTTTGAGCGTGTTTGCGCCAGCGATCAGAGTTGCCGATCTTTTTAAAACAGGGATGCCATATATTCACGATCCGAATACGGTCACACCGCTGCAACTTCGTTGCGATGTATTCGCGAGCATTAGTCGATGTTACGTTAAATTGAATCAAATAACAATCGAAATAAACGAAAAGCGCATTAAAATTCTTTAGTTTATGTATTTCAATTTAAATGGGTCCGGGTCGGGGGGAGGAGTGTACAAAACACATCTGAGAAACATATGCACATTTAGAATGGATTATGGCTAAATAAATGTGGGCCCTTCGTTAATTGTAATTGTTGCATACTCGTACGTGTTTATTTAAAAGAAAGTTCCGTCCCGTCCTAAAACACATGCCTTTAGTTTTACGTGTGGCGGGCGTGTATAGAGAGATATATAATTATGGATACATATGGGGTAAGGGTAATGTAAGAGATGGATAACAATGAAAATGCTCTAAAATGTGGGTCGGACTTGCGTTCGCTCATCCGCGAATCGGGAAGGGAAAGTAGATATCGCTTAACTTATCCACATTCAAAGAAGGAATGACTTAAGAGTTAGTTAAAAGTTATTAGCAGTAAATGGGTAGACTGCAAAACATTGGAAAAGCAAATAATAAAAAAAAAACACGTCATAATTGTTTAGATAATGCATGGAATTGGGTTTTTGCTTTGTGTTTGTTGAAACGCTAGATGGGAGAGGATCGACTCGACTCGATCCGACAAATTGTACATAGTTCATAGTTATACATTTTGCAACTTAATGCTAGGCAATTTTACAATTTCTCCAAGCAATTTTCCATTTGACGAATTTTACTTAACTGGAGCTGGAACCAGGCTTCGCTTCGGATGAGGCTATAATAATGTAATGTGTGTGTGTGTGTGTGTGTGTGCTTGTTTGTTTGTTTGTTGCTGGTTTCCACTCAGCACTTCCAAGTGTTCGCTTAAATTTATCTCTTAATTTGTTTTTTGATTAGTACGTTCTCCATTTCATTATTCTTCTGTGTTTGTTTTGTGTCAGTTTTCGATCTTGTTAGCTTACATTTTAAAGAAACAAATGTGGGGGGTCCTAACTGTGTTTAGTCATCTTTTTTCTATCAAAACATGATGTGTGTTGCCGTGTGTATATATGTCAGTGTCGGTGTGTGTATATTTAAATTTAAAACGTCCAAAGATGATACAGCGGTAGATCAAGCAAGAGCTTAGCCGTCGTGCTTTCTCTTCTTGCCCCTGGCTTCCGACTCATCTGTAAAGTGGAGAAATTCAAGAATCAATAAACAGTTGGCCGCCAAAGCCTTTGCAGCACTTCACTTCACTTACCTGTGTTGTTTTCGGGTTCCTTCTTGGAGGCATTCAGTGAGGCGGTCGATTCATTTGCCTCGCCATCGGCATCGTCGATGTCAGAGTCCTCCTCGTCATCGTCGCCTCCACCCTCGCCCTCCTCCCAGTCGGAATTGTCCTCTTCCAAGTCATCATTGTACACCTCCGACAGAGAGACCTCGCCATTGTCCCCATCCTCATCAGTGTCATCGCTGTCGCCATCCTCCTCGTCATCAACTGCAATGCAACAAGCAATACAAGGAGAATTGTAATTGAAAATAAATATGCGTAGGCAATGCTTACAATATGTTGCATTGGCCAGATTTAAAATTGCTAAAAACCAATAGAGTAGAATTGCGAAATTTATGTTTGGGTTTCTATTTGGTGGCTGTTGGCTTGCTGCACGGTCTGCCTCTATCACAGATTGTTGGTCTGTTGCCGCTTCTGATTCTCTCAGCTGCAACTCTTTTAAATATTCGTCTAATTCGTCTACGTCAGTATCCACTGCGGGCGCAGTTGGCATTTCCTGCAAACTCTTTTTCGCCTTTACGCGCTGCTCCAGCTCCTCGAGCTCGTCTAAATCGATTTCTAACCCATTCAGACAGAAGGCATTGCGCTTATCTGAAAGGCGACAGAAGCTGAGGTTGAGATGCGTTTTGTGAAGACAGATGGAAGAACCCGAAATCGGTTCTAGACTAGGGCACACCCTTTTTCGACATCATAATTTAGCAATAACACAGACTGAAGCCGGACAATGAAAACAATTGATCTTGATATTAGATCCGAAATCTCCCCACTTCCTTATATATAAACATAGCAATAAACACACCTTCTTCCTCGGAATCATTGCCGTTGACCTCTTCATCGTCGTCTCCCTCCGACTGCGCCTCCTCTTCATTACAATCGAAACTGCAAGAAAGTATAGAATTTGGTTGGTTAATTATTAATGCACATGGGAGACAGTACGAAGACTCTTACCCATCCAAAAAGTTCAATGATGGCAACATCTTAAATATCTTCTCCCGATAGTTAGCCACCCAAGTGGCATCATTGTTAAACAGATCCAGTACCTCTAGGTTTTTGAACTCCTGCAAGGGCTTTAATGTTTCCAGGTCCTTTATTTTATTCCCAGACAAATTCAGATACTGAAGTTTGGGGCTGGTGGTCAGATAGTTGAGGCCGCTTGAAATCCTATTGTCGGATAGTTCCAGCTTCTTCAGATTGGGCAATTTGGGGAAACCTTTCAGTGTGGTGAGACCCACGTTGATCAAACTCAGTGATTCTAAGGCGGTGTACTCATCTGTAAAGCCAACAATGCTTGTACTGCGGCAGTTGTCCAGGTTCAGCTCTGTGATCTGTGGTCCCGGAAAGAGAGTTACAAATAACAGTTAGAACAAACATACTTCATAATGGACTATCGATAGAGCGATATACACAGATAAAACGACTATTTAACTCCTGAATCGCACATTAATTAACGCAAGAAGCATAATACATTCAGTTTCGATTATAAAATTCGAAGAGGATTTTTACATAAGTAGTTTTTTGGTTCAAACATCTAAAAACTTGCGTTTTCATCGATGCGTCTATTCGAATATATTAAAACCCTAGTATCGATAAAAGTACATCGATTGCCTAGCAGCGGCAACTCTACATTTCAGTAGCGCCGCCATGTCTGTGTGAACGTGAGCAGAGCAAACGCAGGAAAGAAAAAAAAATGAAGAACAATACACACGCAAAAATCGATCAAACGCAGAGAATTTTTTTTAATACAAATTTGCCGTCACCTGCATTTTGCACTAATTGGCGCCACTGCCAAAAGATTTGGTAAACATTTGGGAGTGCTGAGAGAAACATTTTTCAACAAATTACGCTTCAGGGCGACAACCCGAAGAGGCAGAAAAGTGGCAACGCGCGTTTATGTAACATATCTGGCATGCGTGTGTGTTTGTGTGTGCATGTCTGTACGTTCGAGTGTGTGAGTGCGAGCGTACACGCCGCAAAACAGAATGCGCAAAGAGCAAACAAAATGCTGATATCATGACAAACAAATGGATTTGAACGTAGGGGAGGCTGGGGAACGAGAAGGCAACAGCGGCCGCAACATGTTTGGCAGTGACGTAGTATGTAGTTGTTGCGCCTCTGCAAGAGGCTGTGATGGGCGCGCGATAAGCGTCTAGATTTTCCTGCCCTCTGGCTCTGATTGATAAGCAGAAAATACGCATTTGTTAGATTGTAGTAGCTGCAGCTGAGCCTCTCTATCGAGATTAGCCAAAGCAGTACGTAAGCCTATTTATTCTTCTGTCCGTTTATTTCTGTTGGTTCCCCAGCTGTTACGTAGCTAAATGACATCTCCACCTCCCTCGCTTCAAGCCTTGCTTTTGCCACAGATTAGTATGTGTGTATGCGTGGCTGCTATTTTTTGTGATGTATGTATGTAGTGGTAGCGACTGGGCTGCAGTCGTTGGGTGGAATGGGTGTGGGAGGGCATCCACTGATTGAGTAGGCTTGCCAGAGCGCATGTTTATTAATGAGCAGCAAAAAGTCAAACGGACAACAGACCAGACTTTGTCTTTCTTGTGGTGCAGGCTGGAGCGAGAGAAAGCCATGCGGCATGCAGGTGTAAACATGGAATAGAGAGCGGCGACAGCCGGATTTGTAAAGTGGACAAGAGAGGAGGCAGCTTCGAGCATAAAAGTATTATGACTGCGCAGTCAATATGTGTATGCCTGCCTGCCATCCATGTCAAATACTACAATGTGTCGATTATTTTGTGCATACGTTTCTTGGCGTGTGCATGTACTTATGTATGTTACTGTGTGTCTTTTGTGCGTATTTGGGCATGTGTGTGTGTGTGGTTGGTTCTTGCGTATGGATGATGCGCGCTATAATGTTGTTATAGATACATTTTGGTATCAAATAACCTGAAATTACAACATGCACCACGTACACACACATACATACAGTCTCTTGCTGAAGTGTTTGTCACAATTGAAGGCCGGCAGAACACAATAGCAACAACACGAAAAGCCAGAGCCAGAGAGCAACAACAAGCAGCAGTAGCAGCATTGCCAGCTGTCTAGACTACCGAACTTCAGGTGCACACACACGATCGGCGCCACTGATTTGCATACATACAGATACACATAGAGTAGATGTAGACACACACATGCACACATGCTTTCTAGGTTTTCTTCCTATTACACGAAATAATTGGTAATTGTTAAGGAAAGGAAAGGTGCAGTTTTGAACAAAAGCCAAGGCGCAAAATTGCGCGCACATGGCAACACTGTCCGGCATCACATACATAAGTACCTACATACGTACACACACGACAATCTCATGTGTGTAGAATTTGCTTATGGCGATCAATTTTTTCGTTCGCCTGCTCGTTGTTGACGATGGATGCCGCTTTTGCTGCTGCTTCTTCTTCCAGCAATCATTTTTATATGGCGTCGAGTCGGGCGACGGCGACATCGACACAAATTGAAACTAGATTTACATGATGGCGTAGTTAATGTAACTGCCCCGCGCTGCCGCTGCACTCCCATACACACATACACATAGGACAAACACAATCACAGAGACGGACACGGAAAACGGAATTTGAATGAAAATTTGTGTAATCACAAAATGCAAAGGATTTTTGCGCGGTTTTCGCCTACAACCACACAACTAACTCACCTGGTTCGCCTTCCGTGCTCGCCGCTCCAGCTCTATTCTCTTCTCCATTGCAGAGTGCGGCTTGGCTATTGGGGTTTCCTGCTTCACGCCGCTTTACGCTGCACTTGTTTATTGTTTTTTGGTGGAAGCGTACGCTTTTCGCTCTGCTCGCGCTCGTGTCACTCCAACCAAGCTCTCAGAAATGCCAAAGGATACACTAATACTCGCACAGTGTGTGTCCCTACTAGAGCGCACGCACCAAGGCAAAGACTCGATTCGGTCCTCGACGTCACACAAACACACACACACACACCTTGCAAATTTTTCTTTTTTGTGCTTCTTCGGTATTTTTGATGCCGCCACCGCTGCCGCGCGACTCTGTATATGTGCTGGTGTTGGTGTTTGGTGCTTGGGCCTAGCACAGGGGAAAATGTGTTCAAGAAAATTATTTACTAACTTGCGAGTATTATTAGATTATTCAAACCACTCCGAATTCGACTAGATTCTAACGCATTTCACTCGGTTTCAGAACATGACGCGCTTTTTCAAACTGCGTTTTTCCACGAATTCGGAGGGATATTTGATTGAAAACACATTTTCCGGCTAACTAACTAGCCGTTGTACTGGACAGGACACTAACTCACCTCGTGTTGCAGAATATCCCAGTAGTTAGAATAAATTTTTAATTATATTTTTCAACCAAGAAGCAACACACGCTAGGGATAGTGTGACCCGTGGATTTGTCAAGAAAATATACCGTCTGATGCTCAGAAACATGCAGTATTATACCAAAATGTGATGAAATATACCAAGGGGTTGTGTCAGCTATCGAAATTAGCCGACCTAGCCCGCTCTGTTTGAACATGTAAAAAACACCTTCAGTGAAACAATACTATTTTTACATTATTCTTCTATTCTTTTACATATTACCACGATATCTTTCACCTTAATGGTGTTTGATTGGAAACCTAGATTTTAATATTCGTCTATATATTGCTAGCTAGCTTGGACTTTCAGCGCTTTAAATACAATTTTAGCCGAATTTAAATGGATAATTGTTTTATGATTGATGATTAAACAAAGTTAAGAATATATATGTTAGGAACTAGCGCCGAACTTGTGAACAGAGCGTTTTTGTGAGTTTTTTGCAGACCGGATAATTTGGCGCGATTTGACCACTTCTTGCCTTTCAACTGGTAGGATGGATATTTTGTGTTGTATTATTGAATTTGTATTGTTTTTAGGCTATTAATGCACCCAGTTGGCTCGTTTGAACTTGGTATTTTCCGGTATTTGGTTTTTGGTTCAGGAACCGGATTCGGAACCAAACAATGTTATTGTATTGTGGCTCCTAACAGCACCTTTGCATAAATCGAAAGAACTTTCCATCACTGAAATCAAAACCAACCATGTTCTGTAAATTACAAAATTCTCTAAAAACCGTCAGATATGCAACAAGTGCTTATGGACAGGCCCTTCGGCTTGTGAGCAGCGATGCAGCAGAGCTGGTGCTTGTCAAGGAGGCGAACGGTGTGCGAGAGATTACACTGAATCATCCTCGCACCCTTAATTCTCTATCGATGGACATGATGTGCGCACTACAGAACGCCCTGGTGAAGGACAAGGATGATGTGCAACTGCGCTGTGTCGTGCTCTCGGCTACTGGCAAAATCTGGTCAGCCGGCCACAACCTCAAGGAGCTGCACGGCAACCCGGAGATACAGAGAAATGTCTTCCAGAAGCTCACCGACGTCATACGCGACATACAGCTGCTCCCCGTGCCGGTGATAGGCAAGGTGAATGGTTATGCGGCTGCTGCTGGCTGTCAGCTTGTGGTCTCGTGCGACATTGTGGTTTGCTCCAAAACCAGCAAGTTCTCCACGCCGGGGTAAGCGAGCAATTCAATATTATATTGAACGTGAAATCTAATCCGTGCATCCACACAGCGCTGGCGTAGGCGTATTCTGCTCGACTCCAGGTGTGGCCATTGGCCGTGTAATGTCGCGTCCCAAGTCGGCGTACATGCTGATGACTGGTCTGTCCGTCACTGGAGAAGAGGCGTACATTTCTGGCATGGTATCCAGGGCGGTACCAGCGGAGGATCTTGACCGGGAGATCGATGAGATAACTGGTGCCATCAATGCGAAGAGTCGGGCCATCATTAGCCTCGGCAAGGAGTTCTACCACAAGCAGCTGGCCATGTCTCTAAAAAAGGCCTATTCGGCTGCGGGCCAGAAAATGGAAGAGAACCTGCAGCTGGGCGATTGCCAAGAGGGAATCGCTAGCTTCATAGAGAAGCGTGCACCCCGCTGGAAGCACAAGTGATAAATATCCTAAGAATTGCCTTTGGAACGAAACTGTGCATTTATGTAGTTTTATGTACTATATTGTTGAACCCCTTGTTATGCAGAGAACTGAATCGAGTTAAGTGATAGATCTTAAGTTGAATGTTCTTGCCCATCAATACCCACACAAAGTAGCTCCTTTGCAATGAAATAAAACGAAATCTCGTGCTTTCAAAGTGCTCATTCCTTGCTTTTTTGGTGTTTTGTTTATTTAGGTGTTTCTGGTGCTAAATATTTCATTGCAATTGGCAATTACAAAATTGCAAAAGTGCGTGTGCAATTCGTGTAGAAAAATAAAAACAAAAATAAAAACGTGGCAGTTGGTGTCTGTTTGGGTGGCAATTATTGAAAATGATTCAACTTGGTTATAATTTTGAAGGTATCCGGTTCTATTTGTTTGAGTCTTTTATCGATTTCTTTAGAGAGGGATCTTAACAGGATCAAGACGAAGAAAATTCCTGGGGCTGACTAAAAGTGTGTGATGTGTGTAACCAAAATGTTCAAGTGAATGCAACAATCGATGTGCAATTGTAATTGTTGCTGAGCTTTCGCTGTAGTTATTTAAATATTTTCAATTGGCCTGTGAGCTGTTCGCGGTTAGATAGCATACAATAGAATAGAGTAGAGTAGAATAGGTCTAAAAGATAAGTTCACGTTATAGATTCTAGAAATAGTCTTAGAGTAGGCGCTTGTCTGGATGCGTATGTCCTAGAAGGTAAGCAGAAATATTATAGACTGTGCAATAAGTATTATCATTTTCATTATGATTAAGCGAACGAAAGTCGATCCGTGGGAGGATCCAAATAGATATAGATATAGCGTCATGCAAAGAGAATTATAACAGAAAAAATTAAGCAATTACGAGTTATCCGTAGGGCCATGTGCCAAAAAGAACTGCGGCTCAACGAAACGTAACCCCGTGCGAAGTACCGCCTGCTCAGCGGATCCCATTCGATCCCATCCTAAGCCAAAAAGGAACAAAATCTGTGCAAATATGTGCAAAAATGTGTGTGTGTGTGTGTGTGTTTGTGTGTGTTGTTGTTGTGCAATGTTTTTCCTTCCTCCGAACATCGTTGGGGCCAGGCTTAGACCTCGGTGACGGGACGCTTCTCAATCCAAGCCTTGATCGGCTCCAGGGCATTGATGGCATCGACCACGCCACGCAGAGCCGGATACGGCTCCAGCAGATCGCGCTTCACCATGTAGTTCATGTAGTCGGTGATGCCGGCAAAGTAGACATCGGCCCAAGTCAACTAAAGAATCGACATCAATTGGGATATGAGGACTCGTGTAATTCGAACAAGTACGAACCTTGGCCAAGGCCAAGTGGCCGTCGTTGTCCTTGACGGTCTGCTCCAACTTCTCCAGATAGAATGGAATGACCTCGGCATTCAGGGTGACCAACTTCTTCTCCTTGATCTCGTCCTCCGGCTCGTACGAGACGACTGCAATTTCTATACATTAAAAATTCAAGAGTTAATCAAGGACACTGAACATGAAACTGGGGCACACATTGCTCGCTACTTAGACGGAAGTCGTTGATGGTGTCAACAACAATGTCGATCTGCAGATCCTCCCAGGGAGTGGCACCGCACAGGCCCACGGTCTTGGCCAAGAATCGGGCCATTGAGATGCTCTGGTGCACACGCTTTCCATCCACCTCCAGCACGGGCATCTGGCCCATGGGCATGGCTGTGGCAAAGGGAATAGAATGGTCAGGATTAATGGACTGTTTTGCCACCAACAAATAAATACTTACTCGGCTTGAGGGCTGGCCATTCGTCGCGTGTGACGCGCACATCCTCGTACTCCAAGGCGCCATAGGCGAACAGATAGCGAAGTGGTTCGGCCAGAGCCTTCACGTTGAAGTAGAACAGGGTATAGCTGTGCTTGATGGGCTCAGCAGGCTCGGCGGGTTCGGCTGGCGGTGCCTCGCCCTCGGCCGGTGGTGCGGCCTCGCCCTCAGCTGGTGGTGGAGCCTCGCCCTCGGCGGGTGGAGCGCCCTCGGCTGGTGGGGCGCCCTCAGCAGGTGGTGCTTGTGCTTCGTCGGCCATTTCTGCGCTAACTCAATGCAATTCCCTGAACAACAAAAAAAAAAACAAATTAAATGATCCGTTTCGATCAAGTTTCGCTACGTTGTGAAATAATTTGTTATTGAAATTTCGACATTAATCTGTGACAAATTCTGTTTATGTTTGTGGAAATTCCTAACCGTTAGATAAGGTGAAAACTACCTGATAAATGTGTGTGCTGCTTCTGACACTGAAGTGGGTCAGAAAGGCGTGAGTGATAAGGAGAGCATAATCTGATTGTAGAGCAAAGAAATGTGACTAGAAGATTCTGCACACGTTCTGGAGGCACTTTTGTTTTATTTTTAATATAAAATTGGTATGGACTGCCTTGAGATACGTAAATAAGTTGGGTACTTGCCTCCTCCGTATATGGCTCTTTTTCAAGACCATGAAAAAATAAATAAATCATTCAAGTGCGCTCATGGCAACAGTTGACAGAAAAGATAATTACCATAATACGGCAATAAGTGTATTTTACAGATATATATGTATGTGTATCGAGTATTTTCCTATGGATGAGAGCGGAAATGCATTGATTGTCTGCCACAGACATGGCACAGGCACCAACACACACCCACGCACATCAAAGAGACTGGCACCCCAGCAAGACCGATGCTTCTCGGATTGCTGAGGCAAGCTCAAAATCTTTTGGGGCGTTGGCGCTGCTGGAAGAACGCAGCTGGCAGACGCCCCTTTTGTCCATTGTAGTCGACACAGTTTTAGTTGGTGTGTGTTTTTTTTTTCACGTGTCGGATAAATAAAATAATGAAACGTGGGCAGTCTTGAGGATGGGATGGGATGAGGGTTCCTCCTGTGGATGCCATGTGGAACGTAAACCAGTTTTCGATTGATTCCCCCCAAGTACCAGATCTCTGCCTTTGCCATGCTTCGTTGGCAGATTTTGGCAGGGCGCCCAGTCAGTCACCAAGTTTCCTGCCCCCCTCACAGTAATGGCTGATTGGCCGCCGCTCTTCTGCTGCAATTTGCTGCAAGTCGATTCGATTCTCTGTGTCTCAAATTGCAACAATCGATTTGACTTTTCGGCGTTATCTGTGTCCGTCCCGCACTCGTTTGATCCGTCGGAGCCTGTATTGCTGCCTCTTTCACACTTGTTGCCATGTCGGCTCTAATTGAATTTAATTTGGTCCCCCCCTGACCATCGGGGGGGCAGATAAAGCAGATGAAAGTGTTTCGGTGTCATGATTTAATTAAATTTCGATTTTCTGATCTATTTTGGCTCTTCAATCTGTCACTTTGGCAACAAATTCGAATTTATTCGTAGGAAAAGGTCACAAATTGAAGAGGATCGCCAAGAAAATGATTCAAAGATTATCCAATCCATGGGAAACGCCATCTTTCGGATCTTAATGGGTCAAGGACCTGAACACCTGAGCTAAGCGATATTTCAATTCACGTGCGAACTGAAATCCAACCGTCCAGATGGACAATTTACTGGGAGGCCGATTAGAGATTAGAAAGCACCTTATCACTGGGGACCTCAAATGGCACCTAAATATAGTATACAGACTCGATTGGCGATAACGCATGGCAGTCACATTCAATTATCTGTTAAAGTGTTTCGGAATTGCCCGAATTTCTACTTATAAGGAGGAGGGTGTTAATGTTGATTGAATGGAGAATCGAGTGGGGGAAATAGTGTCTGGGATCTGGGATCTGGGGTCCAATTCACTTTGGTTCCAATTCAGATTGTTCCGATTCGAGTACCTCACGCTTCGAAATTCGTTCACGCACTCCACAGTCGACGACGGGGGACAACACTCGGTCGATTCAATTCGATTCAATTCGATTCGATTCTATAATATTCTATATTATGCAGTTCGAAGAGGGTTCTGGCTCTAGTCGATCTGTCGGTCCACACACGTCGTTGTCCTTCACATATTTGCTTGCGAATGATTCGAGTCGAGTGGCCGGCGAGGACTGTGAGGGTGCGAAACGAGTTCAAAACTGATTCGTCTTCGAATCAATTGACCCACAAATCAATCACATCGGAGCCAAAAACAATATACGCGATTCTATATTTAGAACCGACTCGACACGAACACGTTTCGGCTTTCCGATTTCCGATTCGGCGGAGTTCGAAAAATGTTTTCCAATTTTTGGCAAGGGTAAACCTTTTTTCGATTGTGCGTAAATTACATCACTGCGCGCAGTCGGAGTGCCCGAAAACTGACCTCCTGGCAATGGGACACCTTCACACACTCATTGGAATGCTTACCTCAAGTTGCAGTCAAAAACTTCAGGCTGGCTGGATGGCTGGATGGCTGGCTGGCTAATTGGAAGTCGGGATGGGGTTCGCTCTCGCTCTCGCTCTCACACGCTCACTATCCTATCTCCCTCTCTCACTGGGATGCCAACACACTGAACCGATCGATCAACTGCAACGATTGCACGCAACTGAGTCCCAGTGGGTGGCAGCGCTGCTTTTATACACACGCCACACTCAGCGTCGCTTTGGCGCTCTATCTGCCCACTGCCGTCCGCTCATTTATTTTGCCAGCTTTGCACTCTCTTCCGCTGTTCCAGCTTTGGGAACCGAATATTCCGTCGCCCGTTTTGGTGTCTGCTTATTCTTTCGCCCGCTTTGGTGCTGTGCCGGGAGAGGCTTGTTGCAGGTTCGCGTGTGTGTGTGTGTAAGCCGGCCGGTGCGAAAAGATGGAGAGAGAGAGAGAGTGAGAGAGAGCAAGGGCGTGGACGAGAGAAAGATCGCGAGAGAGTAGAACATCTCTTCCGCGTGACAATTTCAGAGGGCTTTGAAATGCAATGTTCTTGCGGAATTAGTTAACATATTAACTATGCAGCTGTTTATCTTAGCATTATTTCCAACGTTCTTTTCATTTATTAGATTCTGCACGCTGGGGAAGTCAGACAGCTGCCGAATTTGCATTCATTTCACGCGACTCTCTCCACCAGACAGAGTTCACTTCGTTTGTTCTCTCTCCAGTCGTTCGCTCTTCCGTTATGGCTTTCATTCCAGGAGAGACGTACTAAAACTTGGTTTCGTTGAACAATCTTTGATGGCCTTCAATTATGAACAAATTATGAATAGTAGCAGAAAAACAGAAAGCAAATATTGATGTGGGCTTTTAGTGGATGATGTTTGCTTAGGCTACGGTTTGGACAATAGTTTAAACAACGAAAAATATAAAGAGACCAAAGTTTTTGCGAAATTTACTTAGCATTTCTCTTACCTCTTTATTTCGGCTAACTTCTCCCTGCACACTCTCCAGCTTGCTCTCTCGCTTTTGGTCTCTCTCCTTTTGGTGTTCTTTTTAGGATCCACTGGAGCTCGGCTTGCAAATTGCTTTGCTTTTGGCGTTCTATTATGAACCAATTATGAATATTAGCTACAAATAGGCAACAAATATTAAATTAAAAGCAGTGAAATTTGTCTTTTTTGTACTTGCTGATTGATGGTTTAAGATGTCCCGTCCCACACACATACACACTCACATACGATGATCCCTTATCTGTCTCCCCCCCTGTCACAACTATTGTTGAAAACTTTCCACTGTTGTCGGTAAAGCTGTGCCAGCATTCGGTTAATATAAACATCAGAAAATAATGAGAAATCAAAGCTATCTGATCCATCGGGAAATTCGAAACGTGAGCGTGGGGTGCTGCTGGTTGCTGGTTGCTGGTTGATGCCACGGACCGACTGTCGCGAATCGCCGACGCCGGCGACAGTTGGGCGGGGAAATTTGAGTGGCTCCCTGGCGCCGGCTTATGTGGGTGGCTTCTGGTAGCCAATTTATTCTGTGTGTTGCTGTGGGAGGTACATATATACACTGATGGGCACTGTAAATGAGTCAAAAGTTTAATATTTAAACTTCCCGCCTAATGGATTCCGATATCAGATGAACACATGAAACGATAGCTATCGATATATAATATTGAACTAAACAGCTACATTCTATCAAAAGCTGAAATGCATAGAACTGATATGTAAGGTAAAATGTAATGTAAAAATGTCTGTAAAATCGTTTTATAGCAGAATTTTCGAATTTATAATTCAGTTTTTGTGGCTTTTTTTTTATTAAGAATGCAATTAATCAAAATATTAACCTTGTAAGCTACATTTAAAATAGAATTTGTAAATTTATGGCATTTGATTTGTTCACCAAAAAAAAACTCTAAAAATCACAGCCCTCCTCCCCCACAAGGGCTTTCTGCACCACTCTAAATCTTAGCTGCAGCTCAACCTGCTAATAACCTCAAGCCGTACGGTTAACTCTGTATTGGCTTCACACAAAAAACAATTTCACTTGGGAGTGGCTGGGGGCGGAGTGAACTTTATTTGGGCAATTTTGGTTGAAGTACGTTCGAAAATGTGCAAAGATAAGCAGAAAAGAGTTGAGGCTGAAAACTGAACCCAAAGACCAACAAAAAAGAAACCCCCCAGAATGCAAAGCCAGTGGCTCAGATCGAGTCAAACACCATGACAAATGGGCAATTTGTGGCCGTGTGTTGGCGCTTTCGATTGGAGAACACGAGAAGTCGAGACCCCGACCGATAAGATATGAAAATCAATTCCGATAACGCACAAATTTCAAACACATTGCAAGAGGTGCGAGAGTCAAGTATGAAATTAAAACGAAACTCAAACAAATGCCCATCAGCTCGCTCTCTTGGATCGTGAAATAGTATTTATGATCGTATTTTACAACATCCTGAAAACATTTCCGGGTCCATCACCTTCGTTATCAGCTGAATTCTTGGATGGAATGTGTGGGGTTTGATCACACTTCCGTCGTTCCTGCAATATGGGAAATCTCTCCACTCGCGCGAAGCCCTGCTCTCCAGTCTGTGGAGAGTTGCTTGGCCTAGACTAATTTGGAATTTATGCCGCCCGCCATCCGACATTGCACAAATGCAGCAACAATAAAGGCGTGCTGCAGAGGGGGGGGCAGAGCAGAGGCAGACAGCAGAATAAGCTCACATTTTATCACAATAATTTGCTGTAGAAAATGCGACACAGAACGAACGGAAAGACCGCTGCTAAGCCCCGCGAGAGGCAGAGAGGGAGCTGGAGACAACACAGAGTCTGGACTGCAATCGCAATCTAAATAATAAAAACCGACACATAAAAAGAATTATAACTAACTCGCAAAAGCAAACAGTTAAAACAGAGAGAGAGAGAGAGAGGGTGGGAGAGAGTCCCAGCTGGCGGAGAGCGCAGTCGACTATGATCAAAAGAGAACCAATGCCGCCGCCGCGACCGTGGTCGTTCAGCCGCTCAGCTGCTCTGCTGCAGTGCGAATGTCGGCGTCGGCGGCCTCTCCACAGTGCGAATTCAAATGCACAGGTGAGCGAACGTTACCCCGTCTGTCGTTTGTCTTTTTTTTTATTTGCCTTTACCGTTCAACGTTTATCGCTGCGTCAGAGATCGTCGCCGTCGCCGTCGTCGTCGCCGTCTCTGTCTGTGTCTCTGGCGACCGTGTTAAACAGAATTGTTGTCAGCCGAGCGTGTCAGAGCAGCGCCATTGTAAATATTGCGTATACGCAGCGTGCGGTGCTTCGCCGAACCCGTGACCTTAAACTAATAACAAAAAATATCAGATAACTGCCATTTGCTTAGAGCCACAACCGCCCACTCCCGCTCCGCTTAATGTAAGTGTTAAAGCAAGTGAAACGAATACGGATTTGAGACGCGAAAAACGCCATCGAAATACACTGGGAGCCCTGCACGCGCACACAGAAATTGTCTCATTAACACGTGCCCACAAATTATGAAATGTGCAAATTTGGAACAAATCAAACTGGTATACAAAATTATGGTCACAGAGCCAGCACATTTGTTTGCAATATTCCTACATTGGAAATACGTTTATTTGTGTCTCTCGTTTTCTACTCCGAATTGCTGCTGGGCTGAGTTCCCCCCACTTATTCTCGCCGTGCCATTTCGTATCAGCAGCGAGTTTTTCCCACTTTTAGCTATTATCGTTGTTTGCTTTTTGTTCATTATTTGTATCATTGTTATCGGCTGACTAAACAGCAGTGATCGTCCCCCGTACCCGGACAAACACACAAAACAAAAAAACACCTGGAAAACATTTGCACTTGTCATAAAGGGAGAGCGAGAGAGAGAGAGAGGAGCTGGTAAAATTCATCATTACATTGCAGTTCCATTCAACGTTTCTTTACTCGTACTCAATATTGAGTTTGATAGGAATTATTAAGATAGTTCCCTATAAACGGGCACCGGAAATTCCTGGAAATACGAGAAAACGAGCTACAGGCATGGAAGTATCGATTGCGTTTCAGCCATAGAAAACCAATAAAATGCTGCAATAAATCATTTTATAACCAATAAAAAAGCAAATTCCTGTTCCTTAGATTGCGTAGACTGATAAACACTAGCCGAATATGTACACTTATCCCACTCCAATGCGGGTGCCGTGCACTCAGAACACAATGGAACCAGCATGTGACGACGCTAAATGCCCAATTAGGCGGCTATAGCCAGTTTGAGTTCTATAAATAAGTATTGAAAAATCCCCTCGAAGGCATAAAGAAAGAGGTTGGAAGCGCAGTCAAACGATTAGGAAAGGGAAGAAACTTCACAGCCGACTTTGACCTAGTGAAACTCTATAAAGTAGAGAGACCTTCAGGCTGAGTCAGCATAGATAAGCGAATGGAAGTAGAATTACCTGCGGGATACACACCTTGCACCCTGCAAGTGGTTCAATTAAACGAGAGATCGTAATGGTATAACCTCCAGATAACTATTTGCCGCCCCTGATTAGATTGTTGCCAAGGAGCGTCGAGGCTCTCATTATCTGTTGTCTTTTTATCTAAATGGGTCATAAATGGCATACACAAATGAGTGTTCGCCTCAATCACGGCTGAATGTTACACCTAATGCTGGACACGATACACGATTACAGCAAACTGCAATGAATTGGAAAGAGAAGTTTAGTTCAAGAGTTGGGTGCCAATAATCAATGTGGAGACTCAACTGAGGGTTGGTTTTTATCTTTTAACCACACAATTTGTGCTTTAAAGCAGAGAAATACGGCAAAAAACGTGACTAAACAAAGCGAGTTGTACAAATGGAATAATAAGCCGTGTTTGGGTACAGTCTATAAGGCAGAACTAACAATTCCCAAGGCAACTTTGATGGGGAGAAAGAAAAGGGCTAATGTGGAACCCATTCAAGTCGCAGCCAATTCCGGAATTGAAAGATGCCAACTTTAGTGACTTTCTTTTGTTGGAAGGGAACTGAACGTCGGCACTTACGTATGTACTTCCTACTAGTCAGACCTAGTCGTATCAGCCCGTTTCGCTGTTCATTTGCTTTTTTATTCGTGCCTCAATTGCGGTTTCAGTCGCTTTGCACTTGTTTTTGCCATGCTTTGCCATGCCAATAAAACAACAAAGTCAGCGTCACACATAATTAGCGGTGTACCAGCCAAAGCCAAAGCCAAAGCCAAAGCCAAAGCCAAACATTTCTCTATCTTTCCCACTGCTGTCGCCTCTCGCATGAACCTCAGACAACTTGACGTCATTTGTCATATAAATATAAATAAATCGCTTGTATCTGTTTTTAGTTAAACTTTTGAGCAAAACCCATACATATGCACAGGCGATTAAATGCGATTATCGTTGGGTTGTTGCTGTATGCAAAAACTTCCCTAATGAACTTCTTCCACAAGCAGGGTTTCCCACTGGTTTCGAACACTCATTCAGGATAACTCTAACGCTGCTGTGCAACACTAATTAAACCCTTGTCATCTCTCTCTCTCCGCGAGCACGTACAGCCCTCGGCCCCGCCCTAAGTACATGCTTAAGTACTTCTATTCGTTATTTGTTATTCATTTAAAATACTTGAGCGTCAAATGGCTTTAATTACGAATTTCTGTTTTGCAGCGCAATAAAGCAACGGAATCAGAATCAAACGCAAAAAGGAAAAGGCAAAGACAAGAGCGCAACACACACACACACACACACTCACACAGGGGAGATACGTATGCGTGTAAGCAGCCAAAATAAGATAAAGATTATATATGTACATGCAGAGCATGACAAGAAACAAAAGTAAATAAAAAATCCCCCGCAATAAATGCTGAAATTCGCTGGAGAGTGGCGGTGGAAGCAAATCAAATCAAAGCAAAGCACAGCAAAGCGTGTGTAAGAGTGTAAAGAGAGAGGGAGAGACCAATTACGATAAGTGTTATCAGAGGGCCAAAGAAAGCAACAAAAAATGGCCGACTCCGATCTCAGTCCGCTGCCGTTCCACCGCGAGCGCAATCTGAGCAACCGAAACTTCAACAAGCGCAACTCTCGGCGCCGCATCAGCCAGCAGCAGCAGCAGCAGCAGCAGCAGGCGACGGAGCAGGAGCGCCAACACAGTGCCAACATGGAAGCCGAAGGCGCCGGACAGCGTGACAGTACCGTGAGCAGCAGCTCCAGCTCGTTCCAGCTCTCGTACTCGGTCAACTCCGACACGGAGAGTGCCTTCCAGCGTCGCTCTCTGCTCAAAATGCGCGAGCCCGAAGAGGTGGTGGAGGGCGAGGCAGCGCCCGAGACGCCCCAGACGCCCACAACGCCAGATCCCGCGTGGCTCGATGTGCGGCAGAAGGTGCAGCGTTTCGAGACGCTAAAGACAACCATTGGATACCTGCGCCAGGAGAGACACAGCCTGAAATTGCTCGAGAATCGGCGACATCCCTCGTTCGAGGATTATGCGGGAGAGCACAGGACGCCGCCGGCCACACCGCCGCGACGCATCCGTCTGCCTGGTCTGGCCGGCAGTCGGAGCAGCTCCATACCCAGCACACCCGGCGCCACCAGCAGCAGCATCAGCGAGGTGCGCTCCGAGGACGAAGTGGATCAGATATCGGACTTTGAGACGGATCCACATGCCACCGGGGAGTATGTGCTGACAGAGAGCGCCTCCGAGGTGTTGCCCAGGCATGCCGCAGATGAGGAGAACGATGACGAGTCGAGTGGCCAGCAGGTGCAGCGTTCGATCAGCGTTGATCAAGCAGCAGCAGCAGCAGCGAACCACACATTGCCGCTGAAAATGCGCAATGATCCAGATTTTCCAAGGTGAGTTCCTTTTGACCCTGTCCAACACTGAGGGCGGCCTTCCACAGTGTTGATTAAGTAGATTTCGCGGTCTTTGAGCTTCCCCCTTTTGGTGTCAGAATCCAATTATCCGAATTGAAGCATAAAACCCCAGGCAGAGCGAGGCATTCAATTCATTCGCCACTCGACGCTTAATTGGCAAAGCGTTAATTCAGTTTTGGAGCACTTTTCGCTAACTGGTTTGGGGTCCGGGGCCAATGGAAATGCCCGCACAAGGGAAGTGACTGATAGCTTGCTCTGGCCGAGAAGTCATTCCCAATAACTATTGGGCAATGTGTCAAAATTTATAAAATGTATCAGTGGGAGTCGGTTGCCCTGAAGCAGCTGCAGCTTGAACATGAATGGACCAAAGAAGGAGCCGGAGAAAGAACCCGATCACAGCTCGGATGAGGAGCCTGTGGGGCGGCATGCAAACGAGACAACGATAGTGATTGAGGAGGTGCAGGTGCAGGTGCACCCACCCGAGCTGAGGCGAAAGGTGTCCATGGCAACGTCGACCAGCGACGATCCATTCCCATCGCGAAGAAAGCAGAAGCGCCAGGAAGCGGACTTAGAGGCGGTTGAGCAGCCACTAGCCGTTGCCACAGCAGAGGAGACAGAGGAAGATACACATGGCCAGCATGAAGGGGAACTGCCGGAGGAAGACAGTCGCAGATCTTCGACCAGAAATGACCATAGCAAACGTTCTTCCAGCAAGAGCAATGTAACAATAGCCGACTCCACGTCAGAGGAGGACTTGGAGTCAACACGGCGGAGAACGGGCAGTGAGTCGCTTCTGCAGTGGCGAATGTCCTCCATCTCGATGCAGAGCACGGATACATGTGCGGAGGGGGTCAGTAGTTGAACCACCGTGGTAGTTCCCGGCAAGCATTCGAAAGTTTTATGTTCATGTGTTCCAGCTGACGGGCTTCCTGGTGACTGCCCTGGCGATGTTCATGCTGATCATGATCTCCTGGTTCCTCATCATGCAGCTGGACTTTATGCAGTACTGCGTGAGGTCCATGTGGGAGGCGTTCGAGAGCGCCTTGGGCATCTTCGACTCTCGCAAGACAATACTGCGGCACATGCTGAGATCCGACTAGAGGTGACTCAGTCCACTCAATGCCCATGTAAATATGCTCCTCGCACTATCTTTGGCTTCTACAGTTGCATAAGGGTTGGGTCGGTGGGTCGCTTATCAGTCGCTGCTTGTGACTCACTTGGCAGCAGCTTTGGGGGTTTATCTCTGCTGTTGTTTTGGCTGTTGGTTCTTCCCCCCCCTTGGGCTAAACATACAAACATGAAAGATAACGAGCCACTTATGAACCGCTGTCTCTACTTTTGTCCACAGAAACTATCGCTCCACGCCGAGACGAAAGACTGAAATTATTGGCACAACAAATCAGCATCTCGTGGGCAAATTTCACTCGCTCTACCAGCCCAAGGATGAGTGAGTATTCAGCGCCAAACCCTTTCAGCGCTCTGTTCTTTAATTAGCCCTCATTCACGCCTTTCAGGGAGGAGGAAGTGGAGATTGAGCTGCGGGACAAGAGCGACAAGTGCGTGCATCCCATACTGGAGGAGCTGATCAAGACGGAGGAGGCCTACGTGAACAATCTGTACACGGGCTTCGAGAACTATGGCAACATCTTCCAGCGCAAGGATCTGCCCCTGGGTCTGCGCGGCAAGAAGTACGATCTCTTCGGCAACATCGAACAGATCGCTGAGTTCCATCGCGATGAGTTCCTGCCGATGTTGCAGCGCAACAAACGCGATCTGAAGCGCCTCTTCGATGAGTTCCTGCAGCTGCTGGACGTAAGTTTATTCCCACAAATCGAACATTGAAGCGGGTGCCTAGCTTTTCTCCTCTATTTTTGTAGCAAAACTGCTTCTATGGTTATGTGATCTTCACCATGAACAAGCAAAAGTCACTGAAACTCTGCGATCTCTACAAAAACTACTTCACGGTGAGTTCGCGATTGCGCTTCCAGCTGGGTTCAACGTAACTTATCTTTGGTTTGTTTTGTTGCAGAATATACGCCTGGAACGCGATGATAAGCTGGGCATCAATAGCTTTCTGGTGCAGCCCATTCAGCGCATGGCCCGCTATCCCCTGCTCCTGACGCAGTTCATCAATGTGAGTGCAAATGCAGTTTTGATGCCAGCAAACTTTAGCTAACAATTGCACTCTCCCCTCTTAGACGTTCTTCAAGAACCGCGACATTGTGATGAAGCCGCTCATCGAGTCCTGCTGTCGGCTGGAGAAGCGACTGCGCACTCTGCTGACCACCACAAATGAATCGGAGATCATCAACGACATTGTGGACTGCCATGAGGTGAGTGACTCCCACTCCCACTCGCACTCGAGTGTCTATTTCTAACTGTTGGCTCTTTGCTTTCGCAGTTCAATGTGTTCTATCAGGGCAAGTTTCGGAAGGTGAGCGAGTTCCAGGTGTTCGACTGCAAGCAGAAGCGCAGCTACCGGTCCAAGGTCTTCATATTCGACAAGTGCATCATCTACACGGAGATCAAGGGCAAGCATCTGCTCTTCCACGGCCGCTATCCCTGCGAGCACATTGGCATCGCGGCCAAGACCAAGTCCTTCACGCTCTTCTACGAGCGTCGCAAGCAGCAGGAGTGCGAATTCACCGCGGATCCGGCACAGATCACGCTCTGGCTGGACCTCATACGGGACATGATCAACAACTTTGCCAACGAGGAGCGGCAGAAGCTGCAGGAGCGATACTGCCGCGAGAACGATCATCTGCACCGGAAGGCGCCCAGCTTCTCGCTCTACCGCGACTCCAATCGCTTCAGCACCGACAGCGGCATCGGCAACATTTGGATCATGCCCAAGCCGGACGAGGAGACGGCCAGTAATCGCAGCACTTGGTATGCCAACTCGTAGGCAATAAGCCCCAACCCCAGAGCCAGTGTGGGACATGGCACTTAGCAATCCGATCAGATCGGTCCATGGGAGACCGACAGTTAATAGATTTCGCCTCGTACCGAGAGCAACTTCCAGTCCGGAACTGCTGCGGACAGCCCCCAGGGGCCATTGACTTTCTTGTTTCATGCAAAAATGGCAAAGCGAAACCCGAAAAGCGAAGAGCGAAAGAAAAAGGAACATTTCAAGTTGAAAGCTAAATCACCAAAAATATTACTCTAAGTTTAGTTTGTTGGCTCAATTAAATTCTTTATAATATTGTTGTTATATTATTATTGTTCTCTGGTGCCTAAATAATTAAGATTCCATTAATCAAAGTTAGAGTAATGGAAAAATGTTAAAACATAAAGTGGAACTGAAGCTAAGCAAATGTTTTATTTTATCCCATGCAAAACCAACTTCAAAGGCACTCCGACTGATTATCTCTTCACTCCTAATGGGGGGGGGGGGGGGGAGAAATAATTTACAGCAATAATTTACAAATATCAGCAACTTCCTTGCACTTTCTCAGAGATTCTCACACGCCTCACAGAGAGACGTCAAAACAAATGTGAATCCATGGTGGAAGGTCGGTCTGTCGGTCGCATGCCATTGGCGTTGTCATGAGAGTCAGACGTGGGACAGCTGTTGGCCCTTCCCTCTCCTACGCCAAAGCCATCCTCCACAACATCGCTCTTAACAACATTGTTAATGATGCGACACGGCATGCCACGCCGCCACACGGCCAACAACTTGTTTCTGGCTGCCTTGTGACATCACTGGGAAAATGTATATAAATAAACAAATGGCGCATATAAATAAGTATAAATAAAAAATTATAAACAATTATTGGTATTGTTTGCCTGGGGACTTGCAGCTCATCAAAATCGCCCTGAAATGCTCGCCGTTTATTTATAATATTTCTCGGCTTTTGTTGCCTCATCACGGAATTCTCTTGATTTTAATTGGATGGTCGGGATGGGCGGGATGGGGAGGGAGTGTCTGACTCGCTTATTGTCTAAAAAATCAATTGTGGCGAATAAACAATAAAAACGAAAATCCAACAAGTTGATTTTGTGAAATTCGCAAATGCAAACGACATCAGTGACGGCAATAGAATACTCGCAGGCAGAGAGCCGTTCCCCCCCCTAACAGATCTCTGTGAGATCATCGCTAAAGAAATTCGCACGTGATGCTGCGGAAGAGGGGAAGTGAGATAGGTCCAAAAACTATTCGAGCTTTGATTTATAACCCCAGTTGGAATGTTCCCTCACTCACTCATTCGACACAATAAAGTTCAAGGGGAAATCAAACTTTATGATTGTATGGCAAGTATATCTTGGCATGGCTGGTAGCCGTAATTACAGTTATTATGGGGCCATTAACCAAAGCTCCCTAATTGGTATGCAAATATCGAATAGCAATGGATCAAATCGCATTATTGGGGCGGTCATAAATCCCCCCATGATGAAAGCAAAAGTGTGCAGCAGACTTTTGGTACACTTTGTCGGCCTCCACCAAAGCACAGTTTTCACAGTTATCGAATGGCTTTTGTCTTCGATGTTTACAAACAAGTTCGCGTGCAAAAGAGAACCGAAAGCAAAGAGAACGAACGATCGTGAGTGAGCTTTCGGCCAAAGCTTTGGCTCGCTTCAGCGCTCAGCAGCAGCAGCTACGCGCCTCCCCTCTCATTTGATTTTCTCGTGTGATTCGTAACGGACTGCAAACGGCGACTACCTGCGCGCGTATCGGGAGTGTTTTTGCGCGACTCCTTATCGAAATGCATCCAATGCGATATCTTCGCAGCGAAAGCCCATAGAAAACAGTGCATAAAATCCTCAGCATGGAGCTGTTCAACTGGTTCGATCTGATATCCGTGACTCTGACGTTTCTCGTGATTCTGTTGGTGCAAGTGTTGAATGTGTATTTGCACATACTGGACGATAATAGCGCGGGTGGTGCCAAGACAATCGATGTCGTTGACAAAGCCCTGGAAAGGGAACCTGTGATGGTGCTAGAGGCGCCCAACACGCCCAACACGCCCAACACGCCCAACCGAAACTCGACTTCGACTCCCACAACACTCAGCAAAAATGGCAAGCTGGAGAAGCAAACGAGTTTGCTGGACAGCGATAGGTAGGTCAAAGTTTATGGCATACACAATGAATCTTCCACTGGTTTCGATTGTCCCTACATCTGTTTGTATTTGTGTTTGACCTTTGTGCTCCACTCAAACCCTGTTAAAACGTGATAAGATAAGGTAAACTTTTTAGCATTTATGGATTTCTGGGGTTTTTTCATGGTAATTGTTGATCCAGACATGACTTGCATGATAAACGTGCATTTGTTACGTTGTTTAAGTTGTTTAAAGATTGATCTTTATAAAACTTTATAGAGGATGTGGCTGTGGAGTAGTTGGGTCTCTCCCCGCAGCTTATCTATAAATACTTCATTATCAGTCCCCATTTGAGTGTTTCCCCCTCCACCACCACATTCACGGCTTTCTGTTCTTGTGCTTTCATTTCTGTTCCAGTGGCATCTCATTGAGCTCCATGTACACCTCAGCAACGACAGCGACCACGGCGGCAGCCACGGCCAACTCATCTCCAACACACCGAACCCCAAATGGTTTCCTCTCGCACACGCTCAGTTTCGAGACTCTGGGCGATGAGTAGTAAGTACAAACCCCCCCCCACCAACAATCCAATCCACTCCCCACACCACTGGCACGGCCACTACCACTCACAGTCGCGCGCTAATTGAGTCTGTAAATAATTTGAACATCCCACTGTTCGAGCAGCCACGAGGATGAGGACACATTGTCGCTGGAGAATCTGTTTCCGTGCGACCAAACCGAGATCTACGCCTCCCGCAAGATCAGCTTCATCATCGACGAGCTCATCCAGACGGAGGTCAACTATGTGAACAACCTGAAGAAGGGTCTGGCCAACTATGGCAGCCTGGACACAATCGACGAACTGCCCGAAGGCCTGCGCGGTGAGCAGCGCCAGCAGCTGCTCCTGGGCAATGTCTCCGAGATTCTGGAGCTGCACGAGCGGGAGATTCTGCCACTGATGCTGCGCAATCAACGCGATCTGAAGGGTCTCTTTGATGAGTTTGCCGCGCACTTTGAGGTGAGTAGCGGGAGGAGAGGCACGGCACTCCCCGTCTGCGTGGGTTGGGGTTGGGCCTAGTCCATTAGCCGCACTCGTGTCGGTTGCCAAGTAGCCGTTGGACAGGTTCCGACACCCCGATTCGGGCCATCGATCAAAAATTCTTTTGTTTTCCGTAGCTAAGAACTCAATCTCAAATATTTATTCAAAGACAACGTTTTTTTTTTTAATGTTTATTCTCTGTTTTGTTTATGCTCATTTGTGGTGGCGACACCTGCTATTGAGTGACGGTTTGTCGGTTCTTCTCACGTATTTTTTGAACACATTATTTTTAGAGGGAAAAACTCGTTAATTAATGCATATTAAGCAGCGTTCAGCCATCGGACGTTGGCAGTCGTTTAGTTGTGGGTTGCATAAACACTCTGACAATTTCAATTAACGAAATATTTGAATTATTTTATTCGACACTAGGGCTCTGGTATTATTATTATTATTTGTCGCCTGACACTTCGTGGACAAGTGTGTCACGATGTTGGGGGGGCCCAAGCTCATTCTTATGCATATGCCGTGGCCGTTGTAAAAAGTGATTTAATGAACAAAAAAGAAACACCAAAGAAGCACTTTCGAGAATAATTATTTACTGAATGACAAATGGGGGAGGGAGCTTAGTAAAGTCCCCTGATAAGATTGAAATAATCGCCGGCACATAGTAATGATAAAGCTAAATAGACCCGACGACCAGTACGAAAATCACTTGAAAATTGTTAAATAAAACAAACGATTTTTTTTCACGTCGTTCACTTTGCCGGCAGCTGACGTCATCGCTTGACTGGCTTCGCTCTACACATTTAAAGCGTTCGCGAGAGAGGGAGAGGCAAATACACAACTTTTTAGCGTCTGTCTGTGGCTTGGGGGGGGAAAGCTTTCGCAAAGCTTTAAATACTCTTGCAGAAACAGCGGGGCACACCCGCTATAAGTTATAATGATTTAGTTTATCTTTGGCTTGTTGACACCGATAAAGAATAAGAATAAAAATGTCCACATTTGCTCGTAGTTATTTATGCGGCTCCCTTCTCTGCTATCAAACATTGTAGAGTCCACAGTTGATAAACCCTCTAAGAGAGAGTATGAACATGGAGCCACACTTCTGTGGATCTCGTTATACATATTTCTTTGGTGTTTTTGGAAAGATTTCTACATGTTCTATGTATGGCCTGCTGCCATGTGGCGCGGCCGCGTTAAGTGTTGACAACTCAAGCGATCAATTTAAATTGAAATTGTCTGCTGGAATACTTTGAACGCAATTCTCTTATGTCATCTGCAAGTTCCGAGAAACCCACACAAAAAAAAAGTACAGAAAATAAACTGAAAAATCTGCTCCCAAAGCAGGTAACATTCTTCGAGGATTTGGCTTAATGCTGAACAGACATGCTAAGCCGCGGGGAGCTGATTTATGCTACAGAGTAACCCCTCCCACCCTTGCCCCTCTTGCATTCTTCGTGTCGTTTTTGCCAAACATTTCTGAGTCACAGGACAGGCGCAAGAGCCAGCAAATCTTTGCTAAATATATTATGAAAATGCTCGAAAATGTTCAAAAATTGTTGTTTATACATACTCGCAGAATATTGTACATATTTTTGAAATGTTGCCCCTTCTTCACGGTTCCCGCCACCCACTTCCTGCTTGTCTTGGCAGCATATTGGATAAACAAAAGAAGACGCGAGCGAAAGAGCTTGTTGATAAATATACATTTTCATTTATGAAACCCCGAATAGGTTTTCCTCCTCTATTGCTTTTCTCAAGCAAATTAATGAGGCTTTTCACAAATGTATAATTGCCGACGAATCGATTAGTTTTGACCCGATTTGATTGTGTGTTCGGAAGAGGCCTTGTCCGCCCAGACAGACAGACAGACTCGATATTTGGACACGAGCGTCCATCCCACTGATGCCCACTGAGTGGAGGAGATCTCCTCCGTAAATAGCTTGGCCTTCATTTATTAATCGGCTTTAAATGGTCAGAACACAGAACACAGAACACAGATCCCCAAGTGACAAGCGTGTCGATATGACTGATTTCTCACCCTCAAATCGAATCGAAATGAATCGAAACGAATCCAAAAAACACCAACTCAAAATCAATTAAAAGTTTTACAACATTCTGATGACTTTCGTCTGGTCGGGGGGACTGATTCAATCGATTTAGAGATCAACATTTGTTGATATTTGGCTGTGCAATTGACAGGCTTCCTCGCTTGGAAGAGCGCGGCACGGGGCTGCCATCTGTTTGCAGTACTTTCAGTGGGGAAACGCTCATCAAATCGCTTAGCGTTTGTGTCAGCTTTATTAGCATTCGTATTAATCTATTTATAGCACTGAAAATGTATAATATCTACGAAACAAATGTCTGAGTGTCGAGGGGAATGCATGAAAATTCAGTAAAATGCAAACATACATTTTTCACCTTGCGCCATCAGACAATTTGTCCGACTAATCCGCATTAGACATGCAGAACAGAACGACCGCCCTGCGGGATGCAGGAGATGATTACCACCGCCAGCCACATCATCGTCATCATCATCATCTCGAATCACAGCTTTGATTTTGTGGGGCGGGTGCGAGGCTAATGAAATTAAAATGGAAAGGAAATCGTTGGCCAAGCAATTTTCTTTGCAGTTTGCAGTTTGCAGTTAGCTAGCTGGCTGGCTATCAACTTTGCATGGCATTGGTCCGAGTTGGCGACAGGAATGCCAAATTTTTGCTCTAGCTTTGCCAAGGCTTGGCCCAGCCCTTCCCCCCACCCGCTGCCGAGTCTCGGGTTACGTGACTTAAATGCTCAAAAAATTATGATTTCGCCAGCAGGCTGATAGGTGGCGAGTACATATGGGGAACGAAACCCGAGCCTCAAACGAAAACACATGTCTGGCCCAGGCACAAAGTAAACAAGAATTATACAAAACGATCACTTGGGGGGCATAGGTGCGGGCGGGTCTTACTTCAGTTTAAGTTTAAACCTTCTGTTTCGTTTCATTTTGATAGAAAAACAACTTTTACTGCTACGTAAGCTTCACCATGGGCAAGAAATCTTCCATGCAGCTGCGTCAGGAACATCGCGAATGGCTGCAGGTAAGCCTTGGGCAGTAATATCAACTCCAGTGAACCATTTCTAATATATGCTGCCACTCGTAGACCTATCAAAGCACAATAAAAGACAAGCTGGGCATCGACAGTTTCCTGGTGCAGCCCATACAAAGACTGACCAGATATCCATTGCTGCTGCAGCAATTCATATCGGTAAGAGACGCTGGTTTCCCCACAGTTCCATCTTAAGAGTAAACTTTTCTTGCAGGAATTCTACAAGAGTGGCATCAGCTGCAAGCCCGTGCTGAGCTCCGTTTGCAAGTTGGAGACGCGCATGCGTCGCGCTCTGGATGTGGTCAATCAGGCCGAGGAGATACCCAACATTGATGAGCTGCATGAGGTAAGTAGTGTCCGTGGATGCCAATTGTTCTCCATCTCTTCATAATTTATACATTCTATTTGCTTAGCTGGACCTGCTGCAGCTGGGCAACTTCCGACGTGCCACAGAGTTCGATGCTCAGCACTTTCCCACACGCAAGAAATACCGCGCCAAGATCTTCCTCTTCGACCGGTGCCTGGTGTGCACCGAGGTGCGCAAGAAGCGGCTCGCCTACCGCCAGCACTACCACTGGGAGCACGTGGAGCTGCAGCGTCCGCTGGAGGGCAGTGCGTCCAATGCCAACAAGATCATCAATCTGCTGGTCAAGCAGCAGGACAAGGACAAGCCGGGCAGCGGCGCCAGTGCCAGTGGCAGTGGCAAGCGCGAGGAGTTCTCCTTTGTGGCCGCCGAGGCGTCTGTGGTGAAGCAATGGCTGCACGCCACCCACAAGATCATCGAAATTGCCCGCAACGAGCACGCCCAGCGGAACACCTTCAGCCTGCCCATGGATCTGGTGCTGGGAGTCGGTCTGGCCATCTGGCTGATATGGCAATACTTGTAGATAGATCAATCCTAATTCCTATTCCCCATCCTCACACAACTCTAGATCATAGATTTACGATATAGGAATAAAACTAAGTTATTTCGTAGTCAATGGACTCGTCCCTTCTTTTGTTGGTTGTTGGCTGATGTCTTGCGGTGTTTGTCCGAGCGTAAAATAAGTTTGCTGCACTTCCTTGACAAATATTCATGATAAATTGCCTTTGCAGCAGCGGCCACTCCCAGTCCCCATCAAAACCTCAGTCCCTTGTCGTTGTCCTTGCAGCAGAATGTAAATAGCTTTTCATCTTTTTCGCCACATAACCACACACAAGGAAGTCCACTTGGGGTGCACTGTGTGTGTGGCAGCCACCGAAAAATGTATGACAAATCTATTTATTTAGAATTTATGATGGCATGCAAGACGCCAGCTCGCACATGTCAAGTCATGCCTGTGTCTGTGGCTGGGTGGGGGAAATCTAATGAACCTTGGACAGGCTCTAGCAACCAAGTTGCTATAAGCTGCTCAAGATGGTAAAGTGTGTGGACTTTATAATGCTGAAAAATTGAGGAAGCTTGCACCGTCCGCTCTGTATACAAATGGATTGTACGTAAAATATCTGGCATAGAAAAATGAATGTTCTAGTAGGTAAACTACAACTTACCCATGGTTCTATAATTATGGTATTTCCTGAAATAAAATGAAATAAAATGGATTTAATTTCCTCCTGAAATTATGCTATAAATATGAAAAAAACGTATTAGAAGGGAATCTTCTTACTATATTCATAAATATTATTCAGATGGGAAAGAAGTGTCTCCTAGCCAGGAATTTCTCAGTGGAAATTCACTCAGTTTCAACCACTGTTGGCCGGACTCCATCAAAGCCAATCAAAAACAGTTTCAGGCCCTGATTATCCGGTCAAATGATTGCCAAAAATCATATTTCTCATGTGGAAGATGTTTCCCTCTACTGTTTTTTGTCCGGAAAAGCTCAAAGGCAAAGTGCAGCAACAAAAAATGCACTAATGAAGCCACGACGCAGGCTGAGGATATGGGTTGGGCAGGGGGTAGGGCGAGTCTAGCCCCATGTGTTTGTGCTTGGGATGTGACAAAATTTGCACAAAAGCAATTTGTTCCAAGGCCAACGACAAGGAACAAAAAAGACGCGACTCTCTTGACATGTGCTGTGAGGAGATGGCAGGGGGGAAGCAGAAGAACAAAACAAGAGAGAGAAGAAGTGTGGGAGCAGAGATCGCACTCGCGATAGACAACTGCGACCCAGAAAGAGAGAGAGAGAGAGAGAGAGCGGCAAACGAGGCAGCAGCAGCAGCAGCAGCAGCGGGAGAGTGGTGGGCAGAGCGCTCTATCTCTCTCTCTTTCTCTGCATGATTTGCTGTCTAAGCAAATTTGTTGTTGTTCTTTTCAACGTTTTGCACTTCCACATCCTCGTCGGTTTGCTTCTTGCGCGACGCTTCGTTTGCCTCTCCTACTTTTTGCTTGCCTTCCGCTGTTGCTTTATTATATTATGTCATTTATGTTGGAATGCCGCCATCGTTTGCTGTCGTTTGCTCTGGGGATAAAGGACCCCGCACATACGCTCGCCACGGGAACGCTGGGCTAAAGGATAATGCCGTGTTCTTGCCTGGCAGCTTAAGTGTATTAATGTCTGTCGAGTAGTTGTCACAGAAGTGACGTGTATGTAAACGATTTGACATTTTTATGAGCCAAAAAGCGCTGCTCTGAAAAAAATACACAGCTTCAAGGAGGGAAAACCCCAACAGAAGAGAGAGAGAGAGAGAGAGAGAGAGAGAGAGAGGGAATGAAAGAGAATAGACTGTGGTCGTGGGAGAGCTGTGAGCCTGCCTCTCTGGTGAGTAAATATTTCAATATTTCTGGGCCATTGGCTTTCGGGCGATTCCCCTATTTGGCTATGCCCCTCACGTAGTTTGCTCCACATGCTCCACATGGTTTTTGTTCCAACTAAATGCATAATTTCGAACACGACAAAAGAAGTAAGAAAAAAATAAGACAAGGCACACAAAATACGGGCGAAAAAATAAAAGGAATAGAATTGTAAAATGCCTTGAGCCGGCATAATTTATTTGCATTTTTTGCTTCACTTTTTCCCCCGATGGTTCCTGGGCACGTCGCGGCAGGAGTGGCAGTGGCAGTGGCAGTAGTGGAAGTGCCAGCGAGGACAGCACAAATTTGCCAAGTAATTGCACAAATTATTGCACGTAGGCTGGCAACACACGATGGCCGGGCCACAGCCCACCAGCTGCCGCCACGAGATAGTCCCATGACACGGCACGGCACGGCACGGCACTGTTCATGCTACATTAAATTAACTTGACATATTCGGAAATGGAACACACAGACAGACACTGGTACAACTGTTGCTAATTCTTGCTTAATATGCCCCACACACACACGCACACACGCAGGCACACACTCGGGCCGGGCCTCATCTGAGTCCTTCCTTCATCGTCTCATTCCGCCTTACTGCTGCTCCATTGGATTTTGTGCGTATCCAATTCACGCCTCAATGCCAGTTGTTGTTCCCCCCCAATCCCATCCCCCAGCAGCAAATCCTCCAAATTGTATTTCCATCGCATGTAAATGCAACACTTAGGCACGCATCGGGCACACATCTCCATCAGCATCAGCATCACCATCACCATTCGCATTTCCTATTCGTATTCCTATTCCTATCCATCCAGCATCTGTAGCTCTACTTAACGGATTTTCGGTGGCTCTCAGTGCTTGAAAAAGTTCAAATTTCAGCTGCGAAATGGTACGTGAAACAATGTCCTCCTTCTGGGGAACACAAACGCTAAGAACAGTGGAACAAAAGCTAGAAAAAGCGTTGAAAATATCTACTGATATTTGGTTTTATTCTTAGCAATATCAGAGATACCTTCATTGATCAGCACAGCAGAGTTTTAAGCGGCTTCAACCCGCTCAGTTCGCGGCTCCCGGCTGAGAATGAAGTACGAGTAAATCACCCAAATGAAGTAGAAGTAGCAGGCTAAAAGAGCCAACAAATTAATTAAACAAATGTAAATTTGCCGATCCCTTACCAAAGTATGCAGGTATGGCAATGTAACGGACATTGCCCAAGTCCAAACCCTTCATTGCGGGAGAGACAAGGAGACCCACACAGTGGACGAACAAAATTAGAATGCACCCAGAGATAGTCATGAGAAAGATGGCCACAAGGGCACGATTATGCTGCGAAAGAGAAGGTATTTGAATATCTTCTTAGATGTAGGCAAAGGTTTCCTCACATTTAGCAGTCCGTACAGCAGAATGATGGCATTGAAGAGCTTCACGAAATGCAAAAAAGTCACTAAAATGTAGAAGCCACTGTGACCTGCGGCACAATAACAACGATCAGCAGTTAGTACCAATAAAATAAGTATAGGTGCTTACGAATCAGCATGAAGCACTGCCAGCCAAAGGCTAGGGACTCCAACCACATGATACCCGATATGACATAGCAACCCCATAATAAGTTCACCAACAGGCAGCACCTGTTCAACAATATCACCTTAACCATTTCGATTTGTGGAAATCACCGAACGTCGAACTGACAAGTGGCAACCGGATTGCTCCGTGCGTTGACCACTGTGCTGGCCCCATTTGGTGGCACAAATCAAGCAAAGCGACAAATGCGAAATGCCCATGCGAATGTGTGAATTTGCCGACGATGACAACTGATAATAGATCGAATTACGTACACGCCCAGGAGCACCGGAATCAGACGCGGGTCTCGGGACACGTTCCACAGACACAGAGACACAGAGACACAGAGCAGACCCTTAAGACCTCTCGGGTTAGGCATAATGCCGCCTGGGCGTTAGATAAAAAAACAAAGGCATGTCATTTTTTTGTTGGTTCATGGCCGTGGCCGTAAGCCACAAAACGAGCTGAGCAACGAAAACGGAAACGGAAACGCTTTGATAATCGCACACAGAGAATGCAGTGTCATAAGGGGAGCAAGCGTACGGAGAGTGGGCGAGAGTGGAGAGGTTAACACGTATGGGATGATGATGCCTGATGGCTGATAATGCGTGGGGTGCGAATCACGTAGGGTTAGGGCAATGCCCACCCACTCTCTCCCCCTCGTTGGTGTGTCTGCAGAGCGGCAGAAGAGCCCATTGATAAATGCTCTCTGTTAAGTGGCATGTTTTGGGTTAAATGCGGTGTAAAATGTGCCTCAGCCTCAGCCTCTACTCCAACTCCAACTCCACCTCTAACCCCTAATGGCATAATAACATTGAAAGGGCTGGGGGTTGGCATCTCCCAGCTGAATGACAGTTCAGTTAGCAGTCGAGCCAGAAGCAGCAAGCTCTCGGCACCTTGAAACTGTCAACCTGGCACGCTGACGCATATAAATCGCACCTCGTTGGCGCACCTGACGCTGTCAACATATGTTCTGCAGTGCGGCAAAATCAGGCAGTGGGAGGCTGACTCCTGGGCATCTTGTACATACATCTTGCTTACAGCGTGGCCCAGGCGCCAAATTGAAATTTAAAACGAGAAAACCAATAAAAAACAAGTTACAGACGCCGACGACAACGTCGGGCGGCAGGCAATACAAATTGCAGTGACGACAGCTGAAAGGCCATTCCGACCCGAAAGCCACCCAATCCCAAATGCAATTCGCGCCCTGGACCAGCATACAAATGCCTTCTCAGCCAAAGGATAATATAATGCACGTTGTGGAAGAATAATGGTTCTGCCAGAAGACAACGTCGCAGTCGTCCAAGGGACTAAGCCGGCGATGGCAGACAACCCAAAAAAAAAAACAAGGGAGGGGCAAACAGCAACCAGCAAAGCCAAAGGGCTGGGGCGGAAGGGCGGACAATAACGATGCCAGCGGCAAACGGCAATGACAGGCAATTTTAATAGAATATAGGAAGGAAGGAGCGGGACTCCTGCGTGCCTCTTGTTGGTCTCTTGTTGTCGCAGCCAGACCGGGATATAGCTTCAATTTGCACTTGCAGTCAGCCTAAGGAACTCCAAGCAACGTGCAATTAAAGTAAATAAATCTATAACATAATTATCGCCAGGAAAATCCATTAAGCTTCACACCTGCCACATGCAAAATGAAGCCAAAAAGGATTGCCTGGCGAACCCTTCGAGTGTTAGGAACTGAACGCAGAATCCTTTACTGAATCAATAAAGATGGACAAATAGATCGAAAGGAATGTTGCTAACGCTGTATGTGCTCTTGGATAAAGGGACTGCTCTCCGTTTGCAACGCTGCTGGCTTCGATGTTGTTGTGGGTTTGACCCGCTTCGTAGTCTCCACTTCGCCATAGTCGAAACGAGATTTTCCATCGAAGTAGTCATAGACCACAGCAGCACTTGGAGGAGTAAACAGATCCACAGTTACCCTGCGTAAACCTTTGGCCTTAACTGATCTTGGTTTTGGCTTTCTCCTTTTATTTGCTGGCTTGCCTTGGGTGACCGTTGGTAGATGACGAAACTGAATAAATTTGCTCCTGCTTTTGGGCGTCTTTTGTTGGTGTGTCTCCATCATGGGATACTTTTCGCACTCGCTGGGCAGCACACAGGGTCCTTGGTATCTGCTCACTCGCATGTAGCCTCCAAGGCAATTGCATCTGCCGTAGCACAAGGACCGCACACAGCTGTGGGGATGGCAGGACTTGGGGCAGGGATTGCCACAGATCACCTGCACCTCGTTCCTGCCACAGAGCGAGCCGCTGGAGATTGACAACAGCGAAACGATCAAACCAAGCCGGAACATGGCCCACGACTGGGACCTACGAGTGACAATCAAAAGTGATTTGGTTACAGCTGTCAGAGCGTGACTAAAAGCACTTTCTATGCGTATTATTTTGATTCAGTTTTCTCTCCTCGGTTTACCATGAATCCACAATGTGCGCTCCTCCAACTGCGATCAGCCGAAGCTACAAAAGGCAGCATCGATGGAAATCCCCCATGGATTGAGTGCTTCACAGAGAGGAACTGCTGCCCAAATTGTAGTGTAAATAAAAGTGTAGATTAAGCAAATAAAATTATGTGCGTTTGTGGTCCAATTCCGGGAATATCTTTTGATTAGCCCCATGGAAAGGGAAGGGAATGGAGTGGCTAGAATGGAATCAAAATCCAGGTCATGTAGCCCACATATAAATCCCAGCCAAAATTCATGCATGACCCATAAAAGCCAAGGACTGCGACTGCTCCATAAACACAGACCTCACACTTTGGCAACATATTTCCCATTTACGATTGGGGGACAGGGACAGGGTTCAGTGGCTGGCGGTTGCTCTTGGGGTAGTATAAAAATTTCAACACGCTTACACAAAAATTGCCAATTAAGCGCATTTATGACTGCAACGCAAAGGAAGGAAATATTTACTATGCGTGTGTGTGTTTGTGTGTGTGTGTGTGTGTGGCATGCAACTAGACTGGAATGGACTGGACTGTCTGGGCATCATAAACATTGTTAATGTGAAGACGTGTGCACTCGCTCGCTGTCTCTCCCTGGATTATTAAGAAACAATGAAGCCCGGAATGGACCCTGAGTTGCAGTCGCTGACGGAGATGGGGAGACGCCGCTAGAAGCCATAAAAGTGGACACATAATGCCCGGCTTTATGGCGGCAACTTAAAACCGGAAACTAAATAGTTGACACCGCGCGGACACTGGCCAAAGGGGGTTGGGGGGGATTTACACCCTCCATGGCACTCCAGATTGGGGGGAGTGGAGCTTGGGGTTTGTGCCTCGTAAATGACGAAAACATAATTTGTAATTTGAATTTGTTTCGTGTTCGAGCATAAGCAATGAGCTCACAGCAGCAGCAGCAGCAGGGGGACCTCCCCCTGCGGCAAGGACAGTCAGTCGACCTCTGCCGAGGTCTCCCTTTTCCCTGTAACTCCCTGGGATTTATGCGAATGCAGTTCCTTGACCCTTGGCCTCTCTCGATGCTCACTCAAATGAGCAACAATTAATTGAGCCAACACAACTAGGGTAAGGGGGTGGTGAGAGGGCAGAAGGGAGAGTTACATAATTTTGAGACTTGTTTGGGGGCTCTTACTGGCGGACTCTGATTTATGCGCTTATCACGCAGGCGGACGCGTCCGACGCTTTTATGTCCTTGTCTGACGCCCATAAATGTCCTGCAGGGCCTGACTCTGTGTGTGTTTGTCGTCCTGGCATTGACAGTGCACACAAATTTGCCATTTTAATGCTCTTTTGGCTACCAGCCACCAAAAGGCTCCCCTCTGCCAGCGCTTTTCAATTTCTGCCTCATACCTGTCGCCGCCGCCGCCGCTGGCTTAGGCTCATCCTTCGCCGTCGTCGACGTTGTCGTCCTTCGACATGGTAGTGTGGCGTGACAGTTTTTCATTACGCACAAATCCTTCGGGCATACAGAGAGTCACATTAAAAAGGGATGTGGACTTAAAGTTTGCTTTACTGCACCCCAAAAAGAGGAAAAGAAAAGGAGAAAAGAGTCTTCCAAGAAGAAGGAAATTGGGAATTTCATAAGAATCCTTCTTGGCTTATCGCACAGCTTTAACGTGTCTGTGGGGTGCATGTCCTTTTGCCCTGCGACACTTTGAAACTGACATTATGCAAGTTGGAGCCACGTTGGATGCGCCGCTGCAGCTATCTAAATTACCCAGAGACATCCGGCATGGCATGGCATGGCATGGCAGGACGTTCCTATATGCTTAAGGATCAACAGGAAGTGCTCCCCCAAAAGCTGTCTGACTAGCTGCACTCCCACACTCTGTGTTCGATGTGTGTCTTGTACGTTTTTTTGTTGCCTGTTTTGGGCAGGAAGGATATGTGAACATGGCAAAGCCAGATAGAGACTGGCACAGCGTTGGCTTTGGCGAGTGCTTTGGCACGCGCATAAAAGATAAGTTAATGCATCGCAGACGCCTCCTGGCTGACTGCCCAATTAATGAATCCTCTTCAGGATGTGTGAGCTGTGACTCGGAGTGGGGGGGGTTAACATTCGGCCAAGTGTTGCACACACTTCAGGCAGGCAGCCAGACCTACCGTCCGTCAGTCAAGGCCAAAAGTCACGTATTGCTGCGTGAGTCCTGCGAAGGATTCGTTTTTGTTTTTTCTGCCACTTCGCGTACTATTCGCTGCCATCCAGCGGTAGTTCAAATATGTTTGTGCACGTAGTGGCGGAAGGTAGTGAAACACAAATCCACTGGCCAAGGCTACGCTGAAACACTTTTTTTGTATATTTTCCGATTTAAATAATCTTCTAGTTTCAAATAAATGCATTTGCATAGCCACAAAATTGGAATTTTCACGGTTTTTGCAGGGGAACAGCTTCACCACGTATTGGCCGACAAAAGAACTTTCTTCCGTCCTTATTGCATCATTCCTGGCAATCGCCATCGCAGACTGTTGAGCATCGTCTGCAGGCGTAGGGTGACGGGTGCAATCATCTGCAGGCCAATATGCTGATCCAGACTGTGGACAATCTCCTCGTGCAGCGCCCACTCCAGTGAGCTCGAGACGTTGCGCTTCTCCACAATCTCCACGAGGGGCCGCTGCATCGGGTAGTTGGTG